ATAATTTTTTTTAAAGATACCACATAAATTTGTTTGATTATTAGTTCATATAACATTAAAAATGACATTATTTTGAATATTTAAAATAATCATATAAGTTTTGAATTATTACAATAACCAGTAGAAACAAAATTATAAACAATAAACACAAAGTTGGGATTATCTTTGAATCAGGGTTTACTGAATAGTCTGTACTGGACTATCCCAATAAACTAGTTTCCACCTAGCCTAAACACATTGGCTTTCCAAATCCTCTAGGGTAAATGGAAAGCAAATGTCATGTAAAATTATGTGGTCTGCATCTAAAAAAATCTCAAATGAAGATTAAAAAATTGAAATTTTATGCATTTCTGAAAATAAAGTCAGGGTATACTTTTAATGTTACATATGAATTTAGTGAACTTCAGAGAAAAGGAAAAACATGTATGCACAAATTTTTTGTTATTCAGGATACCCTAATGTTCATATTTAAACATTCATTTTTTAATTTCTATATTTTTGTTGCTTTACTTATAAAAAAAATACTCATTACCATCTTCGATTAGCTAAAAAATTCAAATTATCTATACCTAAACATTGAACTGTTTATTGTGGCCATGAATCTGTTAAATATCAGGGCATATGCACATAGGAAGTCTCCACTCACATTTAAAATCCCTCTACATTTTCCAAATTTAAAAAAAGTTCATTTAATTTTTTATTAAAAAAGTATTCTTTCTAATTCTTATGCTCCTCTACTGCTAACTACCTATTATACATTTTAACTTTGAACTTGTTTGAAAAGGGGTCTTCAAATAGCATACGAAAGCATATGTGGGGAGGGGGTGAAGGTTAAATATAAAAGTATGCATGTTCTAATTTGAAATTTTTTTTTTTTGTAATTTATTATAATTAATAAGTACTTGTTAATAACTACATGTTTTTGAATAAATGACAACATAAAAAAACAAAAATTAAACCATACCATCTCATTATTCTCTATAAATTGCCAGCTAACCAATAGAAACCAATAGAAATAGAAAAGCTAACCAATAGAAACCAATAGAAAAGTTATTTTTCTGAGTAAAGATCCTAGTTTTTCAACATAAAAAGATGTATGGTATAGAGGAGGTGAGGGTATAGGTTCCATCTATGTACACACGTGCCACCCCTTATACACTTGCCCAGAGTATGACAGACGCTTTTTTCAAGCCATTCCTATTTTGAGTACCTAATCAACAGGTTTTAGGCTTTGTTTTCAATATTAATCATTTTACATAAGGCTCATTTTTTAAGGACTTACTAAAGTGGGGTGTCTGAAAAAAACTTCGAAATAATTTTTTAAAATAAATAAACGTCATAACAAGACAAATTGAATGACATAAAAAAACTATATTATTTTGTAATTTTAAAAAAACTATATATTACTTTGTAATTTTAATTTTCATATTATATATTTTAAAAAACACTGTTAATTCGAAATTAGGGGTCTATGTCCCTAATTTTGGATGCATATAAAATATAAAAAAACTCGCAGTTAGTACTAACAGTATATTAATCTACTAATGAAATGGAATTGTTTTAATTAAAAAAGAAAGTATGTTATTTTACTTACATTTATTACAAATAAATTCCATAGTTGGATGATAATCAACAACACATGCAATGCGTGACCAATTAGAACACTGCTCACATGCTATCGGTTATCTAAACTACTCACCCAACAACTTTCACAAGAAAAACAAAGACGATCATCAGATACCAAAATGCTATTTGAAGTTTGAAGTAAATGTGACTTTTTTTATCTGGTAGTTTAGCCGATTGATTATGTTTCAACTTTCTTTTTTTTTCTTCTATTTTGTATACACTTTCTGCTTTTTGAGTAGCAGTACCAAACTTTTTTTGTTTCTCTTGCCAATTTCTTTGCAAGTTGTTTGTCTAATTTTTGTATTTTTGTTACTTGTTCAGCTTCATTAAAAGCTATGCCATCCGCTGAAGTTAGCTGGTTGCTTTATTCTCTCACTTTATTGAATTTTTTATTTAAAATTGGTGTTAATTGATCTCTGATCATATTTAATACTGATTTGCTTATATCTTTTCTTGTTGAACAGCACAATTCAAAGTATCAAAGCTTTTTAAGCAAAACCTCACAATTTGACATTCTTGACAATGTGTTTGGTGAATTAATATAAATTTAATGGACAGTTCATAAGGGTTGAAAGTTTGGTGATCACATTAAAGCTTTATGTGGAAAAGCTAGTAGTAAGTGTTTTGTCCTTTTTCGAATAAGAAGTTTTCTATCTTATATTACAAGCTACTCAATTATTTAATGCATGTATTTTGTCTCATTTATCATTCTGTCCTTTTATTTAGATGATTTTCTCAAAATACAATGACAACCTAATTCTAACCTAATTCTTATGCTCCTCTTCTTCCTATTATGCATTTTTTTTTATGCAACTTTGTACCTGTTTGAAAAAGGGTCTTAAAAAATGCCACAAATTTTTTATGGCATTTTTTATGATATTTGCGTTAGTTTGTATTGTCTATGCAGTTTATTGTGTTGATTTTATTTAGTTTGTCTTTTAAACTACTGTATGCAGTCAACTATAAATAAAGTTTTAAATAAATAAGTAAATATTGGTTGCATTTCCCCAAACTAATGGACTTGATACTTTAAATAATCAAATAAATTTTTAATATTGTTGTTTTTGACTGTTTGAAACATGGCTCTGATGGAAGTTTTTTGAGAAGAAATTTGTGAATAATTGAATGGAAATATACCAGTATATTGGAACGTACTCCCTGCATTTTCAGTTTAAACCCACCATTTTGGATGAGATGTTTAAACATGGCCGGAAAATGTCAATTTGTTGGGCTTTGAAAATGTTTTTTAATCAAATAACTTTTGATTATTCACTTTCATTCACCTTTTACTATTTTAAAAATGCAATCATCTAATGGCTGTAAAAAAATGACCAGTATAAGTTGGGAAACTTCAAAGTAAAACAAAATTTTCTAGAGCTATTTTTTCAATTCTAAGCATATATTTAAAAAATTAAAATTTTTAAACCTGAAAGTTTATTTGCGAAAAAAGAGTTTAAACCATGACAAAAAATGTTTGGATTACATCCAGTCTGAACTACACTTTTATAATAAACATTCTTGGCATTGCCTTTGCACCAGTCTTTCATAATATGTTGGCTTTTAGAAATTATTTTATGGGGTAAATAATTACCAATAGAGTGACAACAAGTCAAGATTGTTGTCTTTATAATTTTGTCTTTACATGGATCAAATTGCAAACCAGAATCATCACAATTGAATATATGAATAACCTTATCATTAAATTATTTTAATTACATGTTGCTGCTAATTGTTCAAACCAATTGTCAATTTTAGCTGGTTGTGTAACCACTGCTCTAATAGCTTGCATGCCTCTTACTTTTCTTGGAAAAATTTCTTTAGGATATTTAATCGTGAAACTGGAATACTATTTTTTAGTCGGTTTGCTAATTTTGAATAAACTAGTTCAATTTGACTCTTTTAAATACTTTTTAACAACAGTCAATACGTTTTTTTCTATCAAAGCCAAGGCCTATATCAATCATAAATTTTAATAAATCAATAATAACCGCTTCAGTTTTGCTGCTGGATTCAACTCTCTTGCTTTTCTTTTTGTATAAATTTATCCATATTCTATAATGCAATAATACATTTAATTCCTATGCATTAATTTTATGCACATAAAATAATAAATATCAGGATTTAAGTGTCAATTTTTTTTTTTTTTTTTTTTTTTTTTACTGGTGGCTAATTTACTTTTTTTTTATTTTCATGCACATAAAATAGTAATCACATGTATCCATTTTTAAGGGTCATTTTTTTATTTGCAGGCAGCAAATATTTTTTTTCGATCAACACAAATGATAATTTAATAATTTTTTTATTAAAATAATCAGCATAAAGTTCTGTACAAAATAGTGTTTTTACTTTAAAATTTTTCATTTCAAATCTAAGTTATTGTTCTCCTTTTTTTTTGTTAATTTAATTATAATAGATTTCAAATTGTTTTTTGGGGGGCTTAATGATAAGATGAATTTTGTCTTCTTCAAGCCCCAGTCATGTAAATATTTGTTTTTATAAATTACGAGTGTAAATTATTTTCAATTGGCAAATACAATACTAAAAAAAAAAAAAAAATTGTTCATCATTTTTATTTTATATTGTTTGATTTGTCTTGATTAGACGTTTATTAATTTTAAAAAATATTTTAAAAATTCGTTAAACTTTGAGCTATGAAACTTTTATTAAAACTATCCGCAATAAGGTTGCATCCGGAATTAGGGAGTTTTACGGTATACAATTTTTTCTAAATTAAAAAAAAAGTACACACTTTTTAGGGAGGGGGGTTAAGTAAAAAGTACGCATAGCCATCAGGGGAAAGAGGGGAGGGGGGGGTTAAGTTTCAATGCTGATTTATTCTGACAAATACTTGTTCTCTTTTTAATTTTTTTTCATAATAATGTTGTTCTTTATATTACTATTCTATTTAAAACTCTCACTTTTATAATTGCTATTTTAAATATTTTTTTTATTATTGTTATTATTACTATTAAAATTGTTCTTTTTGTTGTAACTATTATTATTTTAATTTTTATTATTATTACCGACATAAGTATATACTGGATTTTTTATTTTTATTACTTTTTATTATTACTGCTACTATTATTAATACTACATTACTTATTATATTGTTACTGTGTATTATTATAATTTATTTTTCTTCAATTGTAATGTCTTAACTAAGTATATCATAATCTTATATGTCAAATAAGTATATTTTGTTTTAGATATATAAAACTTCTCATTTTATCATTAATATGTAAATTTTTTGTTAAAGTATTGTACTGTTTTTTTTAGTTTTTCATTAAGGCGTTTACTTAAAATTAGTACTTTAGATTTGATTTTTTGCCTTAAAATCATTTTACTGTATATATTTAAAAATATAATTTTATTAGATAAATAAAAAAGCAGGAAGTAAAGAGTTAAAGTTGGATTATCAAACATATGTAGAAAACATCCAAAGATTTTTAAAGTTACACTTTGGTTTTGAATATGGCACTCTAAAAACAATTCAAAGTTTCAATAAATATTTCCCAGATATTTTCTCTGAATTAAAATTGACAGCATCGTTTAGTCCCAACTATGACTTTGTTGAAATTATTTTTGGGTAAGTTAAAATTTGTTTAATTAAAATAAAATTAGGGTAAGAAACATAATAATTTAACTTTACATTATTATGTTAGGGATACAGATCATCACAACAAATTTTTTATTTATCAACAATTTGCAAGCTCAGCAAGTTATTCTATTGGATTTTTCAAAATTGTTGAAAATCACAGCATTAATGAGGCATTAAATACTCAAATAAATGAAGATTATTTACCAATAATGAAGAAATCCCAAAGCTCCTGTAAGTTTATCTCATTGTTATAAAACATTTATTACATGTATCTAAGTATATATGTTTTTGTTCATACCATTTTCATTTTTTATCATTATATCATGATCATATATGTTAATTTTGAATTCATACACATCATAAAAAATTTAGACTGGTTTAAAAAACTTATTTCTTAATTTTTTTAACTATTATTTTAGAGGGTATATAAAAACAAGCAAGGGCTCAAATAAAATATAGATGAATAGCGTCATCACAATCTTTTCATTTTTAACAATAACAGTAAAGCTCACATGGCTCTAATAAGTTTAAAATAAAATATATTTTGTGAAAATATTACTTACAAAATAAAAAATAAAAACTTTTACAATTAAGGATTCTAATACTGGTTTACCGGTAAATAGCATTTTCTTATGGTAAACTTACCAGAAAATTACAATAGTTTACTGGTAATTTGTCTGTTTTTTGTATGAATTGTGTTAATTGCTATTTATAATAAAAAAGATGAATAAAGTTTTTAGTGTTTTTTGTATTTTTTTACTTCTTGTCTATAACATTGCATCCAGAAACATTGCCAAGCTATTTTTTAAGTTTATTTATTAGACAAGTTTGATGAAACATTTAGCTTAAAAATATTTAACAGAATTTTTGTAGGTTTTTAGTAGATTCTTTTTAGGGACCATTAACAGGTTTTTTGTAGACTCTTTTTAGAGTAACAGGTTTTTTGTAGACTCTTTTTAGAGACCATTATTTCATTTTTTTTAAAGGCAATTATGGCATTTAAAATAAACAGTAAATCTGCAATTATTAAATATATTTTATCATTATAGAAAGCATGTTGTACAATAATGCAGAATCTATCAATAGTGGTCAGAAATATTCGAATGAATCGGGTTTCAATAATAAAATAATATTCAACTGAATGCTGATAATTTTATAAATGAAAAACTTCATATTTTTATTAAACAAAAAACATAACATGACTCAGGGTCAGTTTAAGAAAAAAAAAAACACTGAAAAGTAATAAAAAAAGAATTTCTACAAGAATATGTAAGAGAAAAGCATATTCAAATTGTTAATGATTATTCATCCAACAAACATTAAAACAGAAAAAGTATTTTCAGGCGCTGGACTATTCCGCACTAAAATTTTTCATCGATTAGGAGATATGACATTTTCACTTTTGTTCTGTTCCTGGGTTGAAAGTGTGTTTTCCTAACCCAATAGGTCTAGAACAGAAAGGAAATCGCTGTTATTCCAGAAAAACTTTTTACGTTACATCAGTTACCTTACAGAGCAATATTTATCGTGGATTTTTTATATGGATTTTTTTAAATGAGTTAGAGTTTTGTAACAAAACAATTGCAAAAGTATTGAACTCATTCATTATTATTTAACAAAAGAAATTAAAAAAAATTGGTGGCACTCTTCCTGAGTGATTTTTCAAAACATTTGTTAAAGTTAACTTTAAAAAATTATTTTAGTATTACAACTTTTATTAATACTTATTTGAGTCATTTAAATAAGAAAATCTTTGGTTTGTCAAAGTTTTTACTACACTCCTTACATTTATGCGTATTGCCTTATTTTCATTAGGTTGAATTTTAAAAATGCTGCAAAATATTTATATTTAAATAAATATCACAGTTTAGAAAGGAGAGGGTTCAGGTATATGTGTTTGTGACAGGAGGGAAGGGTTAAGAATTGAAAAATATAGGGTGACATGCATTTAATTGCATTTACAAACAATTTGTTTTACTAAAACAAAAATAAAAAATACTCTAACTTTTTTTATGTTAAGAGAATAGCAAATCTTTTTTTTTTTTTAAATACAATTATATGACAACAATTATATGACAACAATTATATGACAACAATAAATCACAATCATATGAGCACAATAAATATGACCACATTTTATATGTGATCATTTATGTTACACAAATTTAAAATAAAAATTTGTGCTTTAACTTAGCATCATTATTCAAAACTTTAAATGTAAAAACGTAACATTTTACATATATTATTGAAAAACTTAAGTTTTTTTAATTAAAATTAAAAAAAAAAAAAACTTTATCATGTTTTTGTTAACTTAAGTTACATGAAAATTGCCAAAGTTGTTTCGTTATTTTCATGAAATTTATATATTTTTAAAAGTATAAGATTTGACCAACAACAATTTGAACATGTTATCTTCAAATTATTCAAATAAATTCAATTTAAATATATATATTTTAAGTTATACAGTATCAGACAAAACAAGTGCAAACAAATAATGCTTATTTAGTTTCTTTATATAAAAGTGCTGCATTTTTTCAATTTAAACAAATAACTATGTAACTGTTTAGAGACAACGTTCTTTAAGTTTTATTCATCACAAAGTTCATTATTTGTACATGAAAGTTAATAAATTAATCAAAAGTATTAAAAAAAGTTGATTTCCTTCTGGACAAAACAAGTGCAACTCCACAAAATGTTGACCAAGCTGTATTTCGCTAACAATATTTCTTGGGGAATCCTTTGTTGTCGATCACAGCCTTGCATCTTCAAGGCATAGATTCGATCAGGTGATCAATGAAACTTTGTGGAATCGCTACCCAGGCCTTTTGGATTTGTTCAAACAGTTGATCCTTATTATGAGCACCTTCACAATTAATTCTGCGGTTGACAATCTCTCACAGGTTCTGGATAGGGTTGAGATCCGGAGATTGAGGCGGCCAATTCATCACTGGTAGATAGTTGTCTTGAAACCACTGCTTGACTACTTTTGCAGTGTGTTTTGGATCGTTGTCTTGCTGAAAAACCCATTTTATTGGCGTATTCCATTCAGCATAAGGTAACATAACATCTTTCAGGATATTTTTATACATGAAATGGTCCATTATTCCATCAATTCGATGTATTAGACCGTTAGCAGAAAAACAACCTCAAACCATTACATTGCTTCTACCATGCTTCATGGTCTTATGGCAGTAACGTAAATCAAGGCTTTTTGCGGCCGGTTAACTTACACGGCAAACGCCATTTCTGCACATTCCAGTCAATATGAGATGTAGCAAACAGGAGTCTTTTCTTCTGGTTTTTTAGTGAAATCAACGGTTTCTTTGCAGGGCGTCGAGAAAACAATCCGGCTTCAACAGCATGTTGTCTGATTGTTCGGTCCGATACAGGCAGCTCTAATTGCTTTTGATCTCAACTGATGATATCCAGGGATCTTTCTTGACGGATCTGACGATCATAGAATCCTCTCTAGAAGTGGTGGAACGCTATCTTCCACCTTTGTTATCTGCTGCCAACTTCACCGTAGAACGATATTTGGAACATAGTCTTGATACGGTTGATTTTTTCACGCAATTTTTATCACAAATACTTTTTTGTGACATTCCACTTATGTAATCGCCAATAACTTTCTTTCTTAGTTCCAATCCAAGACTGTCGGAAGCCATTTTTGCTCTTGAAGTCATAAAAATAATAAAAAATAAATAATCACGCTTCTCAAGGCTTACTGTGTTACATTTATCTTGTGAGGATACAATAATGCTCTGTGGAACACAATGTCTGGATACTTCTTTAATTATTAAAAAACTTCCGTGATGTTGACATGGACTAGACTTAAGAAAATGAAACAAACCAAAAAAGTTGCAATTGTTTTGTCCGCTGCAATATGGCACTTGTCAACGAAATTCTGCTTGTGTGCTGTCACTTGTCAGCTGATTGCTCCTGTCATGGCATGCTATGACTCCAGACTCCTGAGCTGTTTGCTGTGGTAATATAGTTTGTTATGTTTTTAAGAAATGTAAAATTAGGAGCACTATTTAGCATTGTTTGTATATACTTATATATACATATATATATATATATATAAATGTATATATATATTTATATATATATACATACATATATATATATATATATATATATATATATATATATACATATATATACATATATATATATAAGTATATATATATATATATATATATACATATATATATATATATATATAAATACATATATATACATATATATATATATATACATACATATATATATATATATATATATATATATATATATATATATATATATATATATATATATATATATATATATATATATATATACATATATATAAATGTATATATATATACATATATATATATAAATACATATATATACATATATATATATATATATATATATATATATATATATATATATATATATATATATATATATATATATATATATATATATACATATATATACATATATATATACATATATATATATATATAAATACAAATATATATATATATATATATATATATATACATATATATATATATATATATATATATATATATATATATATATATATATATATATATATATATATATATATATATATATATATATATATATATATATATATATATATATATATATAATGCATTTATTAAAACTAAGCAACCTAATCTAACATTAGGCATAACATCCTTAATGATATCTTTGTACATATTTTTGTCTATTATGCCATCAATCAAATGGATAGGACCGACACAATCTCTATTGAAGCAACCGCAGATCATAACATTTCCACCTCTGTGCTTTACTGTTGCGCTCTATATTTAATTTCTTTTTTTTTGTGCAGCAACCATGTCAACCATGTTAAAAAACATTGCAGTTTATTATGCATTTATTATTTATGTTTTTCTAAAAATAACTTCGTGTTTTTCATTTTAATTACAATAATAGCAAAATCAAACAAGCTGTAAATTGCTACCGTAAACAGTTTTTTAGGGGAGTGTGGGCATGTGCTCTATTTTAATTTTGCCCTGCCCAAACCAAATCCTCAGTCGATGTAGCAGCAATCCATTGCAAGTCAGGCTGTAAGATAGTTGATGTAGCAGCACTTGCTTGTAGCCGCAGGTTATAAGATAGTTAATGTAGATGCACTTCCTTGTAGCAGCATGCTATAAGATAGTCAATTTAGTAAAACTCTGCGCATGTTTTACAGTGAAAATATAAAAATAAAAACATTCAGAATTTTTTTATTTTTAAAAATAAAATAAAAAAGTTCACAATGTTTTTAAAAACATTCAGAATGTTTTTAAAAATATTGCAGTCTTCTAATTTGCATTTTGTGATTTTTTAATCTTAATTAGTTTCCGCAGTTTAATTAATGCATTTTGTTATAATCTAATCTTAATTTTGTCAGTTTTAAATTAGATAATTGAAAAGCTGTTTTTTACCACAAACTGTATATCTAAGCCCTTTACTATAGGTATATATATATACATATACACTACCGTCCATAATTATTCGAATGGTCATACTTTTCGACATAAGATATCAAAATTTTACTTACTAGTTGGAGAGAAACTGAAAACAAAGTCTACCTGAATTATATACGTTATCTTCCTATTTATTCAGCTTACAAAAAAATCATAATAGAATAGTTTTAAATTTAATTGCCTTTTAATCACCCTTAACAACAATAACCGCCATACATATTTTTGGCATTCTACTTAACAACTTATTCATTTTTCAAAGTCATTTTTATGCCACTTTTATGCCACATTTTTTCTACATCTTATGCATCATTAGGCATTATTTTTTGACATTACTTTTAATTCCTGCCATAAAAATTCCATAGGAGTGAGATCTTTTGATTGGGGAGGCTTAGTCATTCTATTCAATATTTGATTGTTCTTGAACTCAGTCAAATAACTTATAAAGTTTTTCAAAAAATGTGTTTTTGATTTAAACTTTAAATTTTATTTTCTTCTTAAAAAAAAAAAGGCTTCCCATTAACCCATCTTTCTGGTGTAGCATGTTTTTTGTAGCAAGTGTCCAAGTAAACTACTTTTGTAGTTACTTTCTCTATTTTTACAAAGTCACCTGTGACACTCCAGTCAAAACAGCCCCACACCTAAACACTACATCCACCATGTTTTACTAATACATACTTTTTTATCATACATTCAACAATTTTTTTTTTCAGAAAAACAATCTTATCCTAAACCAAAGACTTAAAACTTCGAAATGTCAGTCAACATTAACAGTCATTGATGGTTTATTTTTTATGCATTTTTTCTCACATTTTTATTATTCTTATGATTTTTATCAAAGTATTTTAATCAAAATACTTTTAGATCATCTCATAGTGCGAAAATAAGCATTAAAAAATAGTTAAATAAAAAATAGCATTTTTAAAAAAACATAACATTATATTGCAAGTTGGTAGCTCTCAATTTTCTCACAGAAATTGCAAATATTCAAAAAGTAGACAGGTTAACACCAGTCTGCCATAGTGTACCTTGATAGAATGAAAATGAAATCATCTAATATTAATTTTAAAAACTAAGGTTACCAGATTAGATAAATTTGTTAGCTGTAATCTAAATGTATGCAAGGACTTTATTTATAGCTATTAAATACTTTTTAATTTAGTATCTTATAAGCAAATTATTGAGCAGTTTGAGGAGATAGTTTAAGTATTCTTTTTAGATATTTTCTTTATAAAATACTGTATAATCTTGACTTTTGATTGATTTTGACAGAAACTATTAACAATTAAATGTACTAAAATTTAGAATTAAAAAAATAACTTAGGCTAAGAAAAGCTCAAAAAGGTCTTTAAGGATCAAAATAACATTGAGATTAAGAATGTTGAAATGCAAGAGTTTTTGGTATAAAAGGTTATTATAATTTTTCTCTGGCTATCAGAATCTAACAAAAAGAACAAAAGAATAAAAGAATTATAAAAAGTAATTAAAGCTATTAAAAGTAACCCCATTAATGTACCCTCATAAGTGTATCTTGATAGATAGCCAATCAAAGAATTATAAAAAGTAATTAAAGTTATTAAAATTAATGATGAATATCAACAAGTGGTAAATGCTTTCTAAATCAGTTTGAATGAAAGTTGTGAACCTTTGGACTTTAATTACTTCCCTCGTCTCAAAAAGATTTTTTGGCCACTATTCTTACTTTTGCTTTGTGATGTTTTCTTAGCTGTATCTCCCCTATGCGATGTGATGTGTATCTCTCCTAAATCTAGCATTACACAAAGCCACGAGTTTTTGTGTCTGTTGGATGCAAAAACTTAACACTCTTAAATCATTTCGCAGCAAACCTCTTTCTAGGGATTGCCCTTGGTTTGTAAAAATGTAAGAGCTGCAGAGAAAGTATTTAAAAATTATAAAAAGCAAAAAGTTATAAAAAGAAATATTAAAGTTTCTGCATAAGACACGCAACAATTACTGACTAACTGAGTTTGCATTCTTGATAAATAATCTAGTAATGTAACCAAATTGTTTAAAGCTATTGTGTATATTAATAATTTTTTCAATTAGTGCTGCTTAGGTAAAAAATCTTGTTTATAGAATGAAACATCTGAAGACTTAACTGCTCAACCAACTTAAGCGAGTGAAATACCAAATGAAAGGCTTTGATACTGATGATAAGTGCTTACTTTGTGAGAAATATATATGAAGCTAAAAATTGGGGAGAGTTGTAACATTATTAAAAAAAAAGGAGAGTTAACTGTAATAGTCCAGCCTTGGGGATGTACAATTAAAAAAAAAAAGAGATAGCAAGACGTTATAGCAGTATATCAGGAATTAAGTTATGCAAGTCTATATTATAGATATATATATCTATAATATATATATCTTGAGAAAATAGACATTTTGGTGTTTAAATATGTTATAGATTAAAAGAAAGGATTACTCAAATAACGTATTTGGGTTTACATGGTCTTTTAATGATATTATTCCTTTTTTTTTTGGTTGAACAGATGTTTTATCTATATAAGGTACTCTGAAGTATTTTTCAAATATTTTACTTGGATTTTGGATTGAGATTGTTTAGTATAACTTTTTGTTTGATTGTTTAAATTAGAATTGTAGATTTATTTTTAAGCATATTTTAAGCATATTTTAAGACAGATTCATGTTCTTTTTGAGTTTGTTTAAAAGACCAGAGACTTAATATCAGAGTGAAAACCAAATTTAGTTTTATTAATTTAAAAAGTTCTATCAATTGAACATTTAATGAAATTGACCTTGAGTGTAAAAGGCATGAAGCTATAAAAAAAATTTTATTTTAAAAAATGTCTTATTTAAATTCTGAATAAAATAATTTATGCATAAAATTGTTTTCACGATTTTTCATAAAAGTAACAAAAAAGATTTGTTGCATATTTAAAAAAAAAAAAAAACTTTTTTTCTTAGCAAGCGCTTTTTATGCGCTCTTCAACTTTTTTTTTTTTTTTAAATATGCAACAAAAAAGATTTGTTGCATATTTAAAAAAAAAAAAAAACTTTTTTTCTTAGCAAGCGCTTTTTATGCGCTCTTCAACTTTTTTTTTTGTTTTTAAACTTTTCCTGGTCTTTTAAATTAATTTTTTGTATTAATTTTTTTTTTTTTTAAATCTCTGAGCAATTTTTTCTATGGTGTTGTTTGAATGTTTGATGGTGCAAAGGAAATATTTTGTGATGTTGTCTGAAAGTTTGATGGAACAGAGCAAATGCTCCTCAATAAAAACAAATTTCAAAATTCCAATAATTTGGATAAAATTTGAAAGTAAAAATTTGAATGAAATGGTTATTTTTTTCTCACTAATCTATGTTAATTATCGATTGATAACATTTTTTTAATAAACAGTTAAACTAATAATATGTTTCTCTTAAAAGTTACTATTATCTTCATAATTTTTTACTCTGGGTTATCTGGAGGAAAACATACACACTTTTTGTTGAAGATTTACACTTTTTTTTAGTGGAGTCATAATAGGTATTTGCACATATATAAGCTTTTACACCAACCAGGCAAAAATAGATTTTTTGAAAATGATTGTGGGTTATTAATGAATTTTTTTGAGGGTCTTTTTTGTTCCTGAAAATTAAAGTTTAAATATCTCTATGTGTATGCAAGGTAATTCTTTGTACTTGAAAACATTATTTTTTTCTTTTTCAGTTTAGAAAAAACTTAGTTCTATTTTAATAGTTTTTATGTAAGTAAATTATATGGTTTGTTTTTTGGTTAGGTTTTACTTCGTGTTCATCAGAAATTACTATGATTATGAATGCTGAATATCGTAATCTAACCAAAAATTGTATTACAGAAGGAAGCAGTGTTGTAATGCCAGAAGGTGTAACATTAAGGTGGCGAAAAAATGGTCATAATAATATTAAAATAGCTGCAGGCAAAGACAATGGTATTGTTGATGAATTAAAAAATGATATAGGATTTTCTGCACTATTTCTTCAAGAAAACGATATAATAACAGCAAAAGTTACTACTTATGATAACATTACAAGTAAAGAAAATTAAAACTTGACTTTTTTATTTTTGAAATAAAACTTATTAAAACTTAATATTAATTTTTAATTTAAATACTTGTTGTGCAGATTCAACTGTTTTTTTTTAATTTTTTTTAGGTAACTTGGAAAAAATTTTAAATTATTTTTTGCCTCTAACTCCTCCATCAATACCTGCAGCTGATTTATTTAAGTCTGTTCTTCAAAAAAGTGTTGTATTTCAGATGGTTATTATTAGGCAAGGTACTGTTTCGCTTCAATGCACTCTTGTTGAAGATTGGTCCATTGCTAAAGGTTTGATTTCATTAAATGGAATTAACTTGACACTTTCTGTACCATTTAATAATTGGAGTCCTATTATTATTTCTGGAAGTGGAGAAATATTGGTTTTGGGAGAAATGGTGATTTATTTTATTTTCATAATATTTTTTTAACAAGTATTTATATTATTTTATATTTTAACACAATGTTACAAATGTCTTGCCCACTAGGATTTTTCAATATATATTTATGTATTTTTTGCCACTGAATTTAAAAATCACATTTGTTTTAGTATTACTTTAAATGCTTTGATTATTCTTTTTTTAAGGTTAGAAATGCTTTGATGTTTAAGATTTTTTTTTTAAGTGTTTACATTCATCTTTTCTGACTAAAGATCATAATCTCCCATTCTAGTAGTATCCCATTGTCATGAATACTTTATGTATCCCCCTTGCAAGCCAAGCAAAATACCAAGCATCTTGAAATCAGTACAAACCTTTTACTTGAATTCAATAAACAAACCAGTCACATCTTTACAATAACATAAATCATTATACAAGCCATAGCAAATTTTTAATTCTTTATGTTGTTTCTAGTTCACACATGTCATGCAGTCTTTGCATAGTAGATTCCATTCTATCAACCTTGATTATAGAAGTTATGACTTAGTAACACCTAAATCTCAAATTAAATCAACTATTTTTTTTCTGTTTTGGCTTTTTTTTGTTTTGGTTGATCTTGTGGTGGTTGGTAGGCTGTCATCATGTGGGGCAGGTGCTTTAGATGATGGTATGTCTAGGTATTGAAGAGCTTGTCTCCCTATAGCTTTTTTTTAGTTTGTCATATCAATCATACAAAGAACTGCAAAAGACATTGTCTTTCTTTTGCCTCAGAACCATTCTGCTAAATAGGTTTGGCAGGTTCCACATATTACACGAAGAGCTCATAGCTTGTCCTGATCACCCATGCATATTTTAAATATTTTGTCTCCACTATCCATGATATAGAATCTCTGCTTTTTGACAATATAATATCAACACAGCAAAGTATATCTGGAGAATTTTGACATTCTCTTGTATTCATTATCATAAGAATAGTGCACAGTTAGCACAAATAGATATATATTATGTAACACACATATTTTGAAAAAGTTTTTAAAACAAATTATTTTGGTCTTAAAATAAACTTTGAATTTGTTAACATGCATGCAAAACAATTTTTTAATGTTATATGAAAGATTTCATATAATACTATTTCTTAATTCTTACTATTATTATTTTCATACTATTTATGCAAATTGTATCTTGCTTCGTCAGAACATTGAGAAGGATTAGCGGCATAAAACCTATCATTACCAGCTAATGTGCTATTGTTTAAGGTAAAATAGCTTTCATCATCCATAACAAAATCCAAATTTTTATAATTTTTGTACAATTTACAACATTTAGGACGCATAGTTCTGCTGATGGCTTCTGCTCATAGCTTCTGCTGATGGCTACGATCTGGACAATTTGTTTTTTTGAAAGTTTGAATGTTAGACATTGTTTTTAATACTTGGGAAATTCAAGTTTGACTACAGTTAAAAACTTGAGCTACTTTCTATTTCTGAATTATTTTCAAAAAATGCAGCAATCTTTGGAATATTTTCTTTAGTAGCTACCTTTCGACCACTTTCAACTTTTCTTTTTAGAGATCCATTCTCCAATTTTACGATTTTATCATAAGCAGATGATCTGGGTAAACCCCATTCCATAAATTGCTTACCATCAAACGCTTTACCTTTTTCTCGATTTTTTTGGAAAAAAATTTCCATCATCATTTCGAGGTTCTTTACTTTGACCTTTTTATTTTCAATATTTAAATAATATTTTAAACTTAATTAAATTAAATTTAAATAGATTACAAAATCCTGTTTCAAATAAGTATAAAGGTTTAATTATATAATAAATGCAATTAAAATTTGTCTGAAATTTTATTTATAGGGTGTCATAAAACAGTTTCATTAAACTATTTAAAAGAGCAATAAAATCAATGCAAATGTAAAGCAATATATTTTTAAAAATTATATGAAAATTCAATTACTTAAGAATATATATGATATGTAAAACTCATTTAACATTTAACTCATTAGTTTAACAACTGGTTTATCATCAAGGTTATTAATAATAAATAAAAATAAACCAATTTTATTTAAATTTTCAAGATAATAATTTTTAATTAAAAATTTTTATATTTTAATTTTAGATTTATTGAAATCCATGATAACTATATACGTAAGTTCCAAATTAGTATAATAAAAAAAATTAATACAAACTGATTATGAAATGAACTTAGATGTTTATCAAAAATTTAAAACAATATTTAATAAGATCAAATATTTTTAATTTAACAAAGAATGCAGACTATAATGCACAATCTTGTTTAAAAAATGATACAATTCAGTCAATATATTTTAATGGTAAATAATAAAAAAGATAAAATAATTTAAGAGTAGGTTTAACAACTTAAAAATTTATTTATTTCCATACCTTTATTAAAAAGCATAAAACTTTAAAAATTCTTCACCATAGAGAAGAATTTTTTTTGGACTACTTTCAGGAGAATTTTTACAACTTTTTCTATTTGTTATTATTTTTTCTGAGAGAAAATATTCATATGAAGACAGAGAAATATAAAATGTACTGCAAATTTATGTATATAAACTTAGAAGAAATATAAAATGTAATATACGCAAATTTATGTATATAAACTTACATGTTAACAAATAAGTCTTATTTTATTTAGTTTTTTATGTTAAATACAAAAATAAAATTCCAATATAATATAAAACTAAATAGTAAACTTAATCAATAATTTGACTGTTGAAAAAATCCTTATTAACTCTTCTAATAATAATAAATAACAATAAATTGAGTTGAAGTAACTCAGCTCTTTCCAATTGCTTTAAAAAATAAAATAAAACTTAGCTAATTAGTAGTTAGTTCTTAAGAATCTAAAAAAAAGAAAACAACAAAAAACAAACAAAATTTATTAAAACTCCTAATGAAACAAATTAATAAAGTATTGCAAAAATATTTGCTGAAAAATATAACATTTTTTGTACTAAAAAGCAAAAAATTAATTTACTTTAAAAAAAAATTTATTTTAAATCTAATAGTTCAGTAAACTAAAGATTGTCAGGTCTGCTTAAGATTTATTTAGGAACATACATAATTAAATTAAAAAGTTTTTTTCCACTTTTTAGTACAAAAATGATTATATTTTTTAGCATATGTTTTTCCTATAATTTATTATCTGCTTTTTAGTCTTTACAATGAGTTACAATATTTAGCATTTGTAATTAAATTCAACAAAAGTTTTTCTTAATTAAACAAACAGAATTTTTTTTTTTAAAGGATAGAAATTTTTCATATAAAATATAAAAATATAATAATACAAGATAACAAATATTTCATTTGCTTTGCTGCCCTAATGACCCCAATTTTGTTTAATAATATTATTATTAAACAAAATTATATTGTAAGTTTTTTTGCTTCAGGTTTTTTTTAATATTTGAAGAAACTTTTCTTTTTTATATATAATTTTCAAAACCGTTTTACTGCCACTTATACTGTATCTAAAGAACACTATTTTGGAGTCTTTAGATCACTTTCGCTCTTCAGCGCTAACATGAATTTAGTTCAAATCTTTTGAAAAAATTGCCTTAATTTACAATATATCCTAGTTCTAATTGGTTCTGACCGATATTAACTGTATATAGTTGTCAAAATACAATATTTCTATCAATTTTCAACCAAAATACTATAATTCTGACCAAGAAAGAACTTATAGTTAAGAAAAATTGCCAATAAACGATCAGAACAGATCATATTGTTATGATGTTCATTTTGCCTAAAAAACGTATTTACTTAAAATCTTATCTAAATTTGGACAAGCGATTGGGATTTTAAGAAGATTTTTAAAAAAAAAAGAATCTTTAGTCTGGGTTTTTTCGCTACCGCAAAATTTATCATTTTAATTTTTTTTCGTCTTTTCATAATTTACAGACTTGAATTATTTTGATGAATGAATATAAATGATTATTTAATAGAAATATGTTATAGTCAACAAAATGTCATACTGACACTATAATATTTTAAAATTGCTTAACTAGGAGAAACTAAGAAAAGTCAGATCTAATTTTCTTGCAGACCTTGCTTGAAAAACCATGTGAACATTAAGAAATGTTTAGAAAAGTCTAGAAACTATTTAAAAATAACATTAAACAGTGAGCGTTAAATGTTAACTGTACTGTTAATATTTAGATAATTATTACTAATTGTTTTACAACCTGCCTTATGTCCCACTGCCTTGTAGGATTGGTTTTTCTAGGAGAAAAATCAATTATACAAGGATTAGGAGAATCCTACAAAGACTAGGAAAAGTTAAATTTGACCTAAAATACTCCAATGGGGTATTTTAGGTCAAAGTTTTAGTCTTGGGACTTTTGATTGAGTAAAGAGTAGAGCCTCTTGAAAAAAATAATCATTTTGGACAGATGTTAACTGCATCCAGCTGCTGTTTTGTAGAAGGCCTCTTAGGCTCTTAAGACTTATAAGGTTAACAAAAAATTTTTGCTGACTAGCCTCGCAACACTTCTTTATCTATTAGGCTGGTTTAGATGTAAACCTGAGTTATATTATTTGCTGCCTAAGATGAATGCTGGATTCTCTTGATGATGGCAGAATGAAGATAAAGGCTGGATCTTCTTGACTCTACTTATTGGTTGTTGCTAAGCTTTTTTTTGTTGTAGCTATGTAACTTTTCCTGTTTTTTCCTAAAGATGATAGCTCTAAACTTCAGTTTAGTGGCTGGTTTTTAGATTTTTCGAACTCTGTGGTAGTACTTACATTACTAACTGTAAAATATCAGAGTATTTACAACCTTTTACATTCTTATTATTACATTCCTTCTTGTCAGTTCAAAAATAAGCCTCACTTTTTTCACACTTCTTGTTCCTTTATTTTATCTTTACCACACGAACAACTCTTTATACATCTTTTTATTTCTGCATGAAATTGATGCAAAGAAGTTTCTTTATCTGATGCTAAGGTTTGTTATTATCAGAACCTTTTGGAAAATTTTTAATAATGTCATTTATAATGGCAAGTTTAACATTCCACCACTTATATATGAATATGATCTTATTAATATATCTATATTCTCCTGAAGATAAGTCAGAACTAGTTGTAAAAACTGTAATGGTTTTATTAATTTAGTTTTTTTTTGAAAACATAAAAGCTTTGAAATTCTATCCTCATATTTTCTTGACACATACAAAATAGCTTTTTTCTTTGTATTCTGTTAACTTCGAACTTTTATTCATGGTTTATTAGTGGTTGCTTGTTGTTTTGTTAAGGTTAAATTTTTTTTTAAAGTATATTACTTATTTTTATTTGATTGTAATGATACTAATTTAAATGGAATTTTGCGATGCAAAACATTTTTAGAATAAAATTTAATGAAATAATTTGTTGCTTTAATGAATATAATGTCTTCACTATACTTATTTAATGTTCAAATTTTTTAGTCAAATGATAACTTTTGGAATTTAAAAAAAATTAAAGACGTTGCTAATAATAGTGACAAAACTGATTGTATGATAGTGGGATCAGATCAAGGATTAAGACTGATTTTATGATAGAGAAATTAGATCAGGGATCAAAACTGATTGTATGATTGAGGTATCAGAGTGTTCTAAAAGTGTAGTTAGAGAGATAAGATTTAGAATCACTGATGTCATTTTACAACAGACGGGAAAACAAGATTCAGTTCAGCAATTATTAAATAGTTTAGAGAATATTGAAAGGAGTTCTGGAGAACACTTTTGTAAGACTATGACAGGAATGTTGTCTTAACCACAAGCAGTATGTGAGTTGTTATAGTGAAATAACTAAGCGGCTATCAAAACCAAATTGATTTTGATGTCAAACAATCTGTTAACCTGTTTCTCTAGAATGACATAAAGAGTGTGGCCATTAGATTCAATTCAAAGTAGATGACTAGTTTTATACAAATTGTTATTGCCTTATCCTTGGTGGGCGTAATAATTAAATAGCTTTGTATTTAATCAAAGCATTCTTTCCTTTTATATGGTAATATAGAATTGTCCAAATAATTTAAAAAATACTCTTACAAATTTTTAGATTGAAATCAAAATTGAAAAAGCTCAGGATAAAGATGAATATTTCCTCACTGCCGATTATAATATCAATAACATAAGTGCATTGGCAACTGCTGCAAATGATATAGAGTTTCTACCTGATGATGACGAATATCGCAAACTAGAAAGTTTAAAAACACTGCCACTTTCAAGTTTATACTTAAAGATAAAATTAAATTCTGAAGTTTTAAAGTAAGTCAACAAAATAATAAGCAAATTTTTTAAATAAAATTTCTTTGTGTTAAATGATCATGATAATAGTCCATAGGAAGTCAATGTCATTGTTGCTGTCGTCGTTATCATCATCATTGTTATCCTCATTATCATCATCATTGCCACACTTCTATTTCTTAATTTTATTTTTAGATTCCTGGGCACATCTTTATCATATGCTAATGTAAGTGATAAAGGAGTTTCAAATTTTTCAACATTAGAAATTGTTTTGTATAACAAAGATAATAGTGCAAGTATGGTTGTTGGAATTTGCCAAGAACTTGTTTCTTTCGAAAAATTTATAAAAGAAGTTTTAGACATTAATTTAGAGGGTGTACCGTGGTTAACTTTTGAAAAGTTTTGTAAGTTTTTTGAGTCGTATTTTATGCCTTTTTTTTACTTTGTATATATATATATATATATATATATATATATATATATATATATATATATATATATATATATATATATATATATATTATATAAAAAGGTTATATTTTTAATTTTTTTTTTAAGTTTTATGTTTTATTTTGTTCAAAAGTTATAATGTACATACAGTAGTTTTATTTAATAATTACATAAAAAAAAAAAATTTAACAATAGAACAATTAAAAAAAGAAGTTCATGATGTAAGTAAAAATCAAACCCTAACAAAGAGAGCAAGTCTGAAATATAAAATGACATTATTAAATTGTAACAATTTGATAAGTTTAAATAAGATCAAATCATATTGACGAAATTTTTTTAAAGTTTTATATGTTATATGCTAACACCTTCATCAATAAGTTCTATTTATTAAAAAAATTAGCTAAATAGTTATAAAAATAGTTATAAAAATATGTAAATATTGAGGCATTGAGAAAGCTTCAGCTTCAGTCATGGTCACATGACTATTTTAATAAAGTAAACTTATCAAAGTAAGTGGTTTCTTTTAGTACTTTTAATATGTTTGATATTTTTGGTCATCAAAACATTTAATAAATAATTTTTGTTACAATGATATGAATTTTACAGGCTTTCTTGTTGCAAAGGAAGAAGATAGTATCATTAAACAACATTTTAATACTGAAATGTATCCACTATTGAAAAAAGGTTTTTATTTTATGTATTTAATATTATAAATATTGTTATACATGACATAAATTAAAGTTTTTTTAAAATAAACTTATTTAGTTATAAGTTTATTGTATTTCACTAAAAATATTTATGTTAAAAATAAAATTGTTATTCAGTATTATTATTTTTATTAGGTATTGGTTATAAAGGAAGAATTTCTTACAACAATATTGTTTGTCAGACCACAATGAAGTCTGGTGAAGATACGCAAGTACTTAATAACTATGAAGATATGTGCAATTTTATTAAAAATAAAACTAATGACTTTATGAAATTCATTGGAGGCGAAGGTTTTTTTTTTTTTTTTTTTAAGTTTCTAATGAATAATTTCTGTATTATTTATTTGACATGTATTTGCATTTAATTAGAGAGAGAAAAAGCTGTTGGTTTGTTGGTTTTAGAGAAAATTATTTCTTTGTACATGTTTGTATATTTTTGGTAATTTTAGTAAGCAGACCTGATTTTATAAAGTACTAGTTTTGTCAGAGAAATATAATATTGAAATAAATATAATTATTTTATGTGTAATCCACAATAGAAAAATTTTAACCTAGAAAATTTAATCAGGGAAACTTTTTTATGGTAGATTCAAGAAAAGGTTTTATGCCTAATGCTTTTTTAATTATAAAAAGCATTAGGCATTTTATTTAAGTAAATTATATTCTCTATCAATATTACTGTTATAATTTATCAATCAATACATTATTTGTTTTGTATATATAAACGAGCTTTGCTGCTTTTTCTATTCCCATTATAATTCTTAACTTTGAATAAAACAACTCAAAATTTGAAAAAAAAAAATTTAATTCCTACACTAGAAGCTTGTGAAATTAACAAACCTTCAATATCCATTATAATATTACAATCCAAAGATTTCATAAATTTCCACCATTTTATTGGCAACATTAAAACAGATTCACTATACAAATAGCTTAAATCAAATAGCTCAGATCTGGCAACATGAATATTATTGGTAATAAATTTTTAAATTCTTTGTCTGTGAAAACCATTTTCATTTTCAGAATGAATAATCCAAAATATCTAGGAACTAGTTTTTCTACTAAAAAGTGAGCATCACTGACAGTCTGAAGATGTCTAGATTCTAATTTTTTTCTTTTCATTTGATGAAAATGACAATATGTTTATCAATTTTTCAAAAGTTTCAACTGTTTCAAATTTTTGTTTGATCTCTTTGTAAGTTTTCTAAAGCTGCTACCATTGGTTCGTTTGAATAAATCTTTTGAATTTTGTTTTTTCTGTATGTTACTTTTCTACCTATGATGAGGTCCAAGATCACTTAAAAGATATGCTTTACATAAGATATGCTTTTTTAAGTGAATCACATACAGAAGTGTGTTTCACTAGAAGAATGTTTTAATTTGAGTAAGGTCTCATTAATAGCATTGCAAATAAGTTTATTTCTTTAAACAACTTAACAATAGCTTTGAGCTAGGATTAGTGTATTGGTTATGTTAACTTTGAAGCTAACTAAGCTGGATGCTGATAAAGTTTGGGCACAACCTGAGTTCATTATTAAGTAATAAAATAAAAGAGATATTTAATAATAGCAAAATATGGATCTATATTGAATAAAGTTAATTGTTTGCCCTACAACACTTTTTCTTTAAAAATCAACTAAATTGTATTTGTTATTGACAATTTTAAATTCAAATGGTTTATAAAAAACCAAATACAATATCACTTATTTTCTGTTTGTTTTTATATTTATTTTACTTTTAAATCTAGGCTCCATATCTCAATCATTATTTACCTTTACAACCATTGTTAATACTGATCAGACAGTTGTATTTGATATTGGATCCTTACAAATGAAAAATCCATCTTTCAGTTTAAAAGAAGTATACCAATACACATATAATGTTATAGAAAAATCACCTAAAATTGCAACACCAAATACACGACAAACGAAACTACAAAAACATAATCGCCATAATTACAGAAGATCTCGTAATAATATAGTACACTCAGGTGAAACCCAAAATGTTGAAAAAATATCTTCTACAAGAGTGTTTGGAGTTGTTATTGAAGGTGATGTCAAAGATACTTCTACTAATTTTGAGTGCAAAGGTAGTTTTAATCTTTCATAAGTTTATTATATACTTATTTTTATATATTTTTTATTATTACTTTTATATATTTTTATTAATTGTTATTATTACTTATATATGTTTTTATTATTTGTTATTATTACTTATATATATTTTTATTATTTGTTATTATTACATATATATATATATATATATATACATATATATATATATATATATATATATATATATATAATATATATATATATATATATATATATATATATATTTATTATTTGTTATTATTACATATATATATATATATATATATATATATATATATATATATATATATATATATATATATATATATATATATATATATATATATATATATTACTGTTGTATTTAATTTTAATCATTAACTCTGGCACAAAAAATTTAAATATTAATAAAATTGAAACTAATATAGTAAGAAGTAATATGCAGGTAGAAGTAAATATAAATGTGCTGTTATTATTTTTATTATTATTTTTTAAAAATTGATATTTGTTTTTTTAAACGCAACTGATTACAATGATCAAAGTTTACAATATTTTCATTGAATATAGTAAAGTAATTCAGAAATATGCATTTTAACAATGCATAACTTGATGGAAAAAACTTAGTGAATAGAAAATAAACAAAAAATCAATATTTTTTATATTCACTGTTTTAAAAATAAATCAATTAAATAGCATTCAATTAGTTGTCAGTTGTTATAAAATTAGTAATATTCTGTAAAAAAAATTGTTGTTTTAATTTCTTTTAACTTTTATTCTTGGATTGCTTGTTGGTAATACTAGGATTTTCTCTCCAGATTCTGAATATGCTGCATTTGTCCCGGTCACTGAGCTTCAACGGTCTCCCGCAAGATTCAGAAATAACAAGTATTTTGCCTATTTGAATGTTGCTGTGTATGTCTAAGTCAAAAGTCAACTTTTGACTTAGACATACCAATAATTTGCCATTCGATCTCACTTGAAACTGGTTTTCGTCCCATTTGCACACATTTTGCAAATTTCAAACATTTGAAATTGTTTGAAATTTGCAATGTTTTCACTTGTTTTTTGTTGAATATGAAGCTGTTGGATAATGTTGTGACAAATTTTTTGACTGAAAATCACTCAATCTACTTAAGTTTATTTTTTAAAACCTATTAAAAGTTTGCCCTATATAAGGTTGGTTTATTTTAAAAATAATATTAAATGTAGGGTCAATGTCAGATTAAAAGGGGCTAGGGGGACTATAAAAGAAACTCAAAAAATAAAACCTTTGATTAATGATGTATTTTATCTTTGATTAAAGTTAAATAAAACTATATTTTAGGGTTATTTGGTTGCTGGTTGTCGTTAAAGTAAACACTCATCTGGATTGAATAAAAAACATCATAAGAGTTTATTTTCATACTTCACAGTATGGGGAACAAATATGTTTTACTGATTTTTTTTTTTTTTTTACTATGTCATTAATCAAAAATTAATGACAGTAAAAAAAAAAGTAAAAAATGTTTTTGTGGTCTAAAATTTTCTTTGCACTAATTTTTAATTATCTATGTAAAGCTTAATTTTTGATTACCAAGACTTTTCAAAATGCAGTTTTTTTAATTTATTATATAATATTCAGTGAAGGGAGGTTCTCAAATTTATTGTCTGTTTTTTTAATTTTGGTTTTTGTTTGCTGATTTTTTTCATTTTTTTTTAATTTGTTTTATGAATTTCATAACTAGATGAAATTTAAAATTGCATCACAGTCAGAGAATCATCACAGACAGAGAGGAAATACTTGTTTCTTTATATTTTGAACTTTGATAAAAAAGTTATGCGAAATTCCTAAAGGATTTTACTTTTTCTTTCTGATCTCTTAAATTCAGTGTTAATTTTATGTTAATTACATCTTGTGCATGGACAGCATCTAATTATTTATATACTTACCCTCAGAATCAACAATAAAAATAATCATTCTGTGATAAACTAAATTATTTAGCAATTACTAATAAATTAGCAATGAACTAATCTTTGTTTACCTGCCTGCTGGTAAAAGACATCTGTGATTCCATTTTTAAAATTTCTGGACATCCTACTAGCTATTGCTTAACTCTTCATATTATTGCTTAACTCTTCACACCTTTCTATTTACTGCTGTTAATTTTTTTGGCTACCCATAAAAACAGAAAGTTTTAAGGTTTAGTTAGAGGTGTGTTAGGTGAGGTCAAAAGCTATTGTTTATGACATTACAAAAGGTTTTGAAAAAGTCTGGCATGCTGGTCTTTTTCATAAGCCTGCTCCATATGGTGTGTCTTGGAAAGTTTTTTAAATTATTGAATCATTCCTTTCTAATCGCATTATTCTAGTTTAGATTAATGGTCTTATCTTAAATGCAATCTCTTTTAGTAATAGCTCACAATCTCTTTCTGTTCTGATTGGGGCAAATTTCTGTTGAATTTTATCTCAAACAAAACTCAATTGTTTTGATGCTAATAATTATGACAATTGAAATTAAATACAATACTCTCATTATTCCATAACTTCTTAGATTATTATCTTAGGTCCTTAAATTATTGTCCTTTCATGGTCATACAATCAGTTACAAAGTGAGCTAAGGTTGCCTCTCTTTATTTTGGTTTCCATATATTTGCTCTTGATATTATTCTTTACCGTTATAAATCTCTTATTTTTGATTGTATCAAATATAGTGGTCATATTTTAGCTGGTTCTTCTATTGAAGCTCTCTATCTTTTAGACAAGCTCCCAAATTCCAATGTAAATATATAGGACCTGCTCTAGCTTCCATGCTTGAGTTTCTGCCCAATCATCATAAGGCTGCATCTCTTTCTCTATTAAAGAAAAGTCTTGGTTGCTTCTTAAGCAAGGTATTATCACTTGTTCCATTAACCAAAACTCAATTTTGACTATACATTCAACAATATCAAATCATTTTACAGTATTTATCCCTTTATTCTCTAAAAACTTTTATTCATCTAATTTTTTTCCCCCTGCACTTCAATCCTTTGGAACTCTCTCCTATATTCATGTTTTCCTGACTTATACAACCTTCAACTTTTCAAGTCTTCTTTCAACCGTTTCCTTTCTTTTTGACACCATTCTATGTCTTCTAGTAACTCCTAACTTAATAGCAGTTTCTTGCAGTCTTGTTGTAAGTGAATTAGTTTTAACATAAATTATCTTTAAAATGTCATGATCAAAAAATCTTTTATTCATCTTGTTTTTCTCCTGGAGTATCAATGCTTTGGGATTCTCTCCATCTTCATGTTTTCCTGACTCATACAAGTTACATATTTTTAAGTCTTCTGTTAACTGTTTTTTTATTTTTTAATTTTTTATAAATTTTTTTTTTAATTGTTTTTTAATTTGCTTCTTTGGTTTATGTTAATTCCTCACTCAAATTGTGATTGTTTGCAGCCTTATCAGGAGTTAATTTTAATAAAAGGTTATTATGAAAAATATAGGAAAAAAAAAAGACATCAATTCAGTTTACAAAGTTGGTTAGCAAATAAAATGGAAAATTACATAAAGGTTTATAAAGTTTTTTAATCTAAAGTATACACAATTACATATATAATGGATGTGTTAATACACATGCAATAATGTGGCAAATGGATGTGGCAAGGGGCAAATTTACCATATTGCAAAAATTTGTGCGGGAAAAGCAGCAAATTTACTGCAACAAAAATGTTCTTTCACAACTCTCGCAACTATTATGTTTTAAATAATATTTTCATAAAACAGTTTTATGAAAATATTATTTGAACTTTAATGACAAGCATTTCTTGCTGATGCTTGGTTCAAAAAGTACACCCGTTAATTTTAAAGTTAGCTTTGCCCAACCTGACAAACAACTAACCAAAAGGTAATATTTGTTTGACTAGGTTATTTTTGTGTCAACATTATTGTAAAACTTTTATCCAGTTATAAAAAAATTAGCAATTGCAAATAATATATTTTCAAGATCATTAAATGACTTTGGCCCATGATTGGCCCAATTTACAATTTGTGATTGCTTAATATGCCCCTTGGGTGGTAAATATCTATTTTCCATTAGTAAAAAAGAACAATCTTTTTATATAGCTAGTGTTTTTTTTTAAACCTATAGAATGAGTTTTAGTTTCCATTGTGTTATAAATTAGGTGCCATTTCAAGTTACGAATCTGGACAGCTAATACTTAACTGCGTGGATGCTAAAATTTCAATAAGCTATAGTGAAATCACAAATTTCCCAAATAGTGATAAAGATGTGTTATTTAAAGCTTCCCAAGGAAAGAGTGTTGCAATCAATAATGTTTTTTCTGTATTTGGTAAGATTTTTATTTATTTCATAACATGCTTATGCTTGATTTAAATATTGAATAAAAAAAGTTAAAAACTAAAAAATATGTGCAAATCAACCATTTCTGTTGAAAAAATTAAAACATTAAAAAAAAAAAAAAAAAAAATATTCAAAAGTTAGCATGGTCATAATGGTCTTCTCTGCGAGTTTCATTGATATTTTTATCTGTAGCAGAATTGACTGAATGTAATGCAAGGTTTAAAAATACTATTAGTTCAAAGATCAATATATATACTTTTTTAATATTCATACTTTTCGGTTTGAATATCAAAAAATCTCATTGTTATTTCAAACTGTTTTTTTTAGAGTTTCATTCTAAAATGACGGTAATTTATGAAAACAGGGTTATGAAAATAGAAGATGGATCATTAACATTAAATTTATTAAATATGAGTCATACATATTTTTCTGCTGAATTAAAAGATGTTAGCGACTTCAAAACAATCTTAATGTAAGTAATCTTATAAGTTGTTTTTTTAATGTTGACTTGTTATGTTAATGTAGAATGTCTTGTATGAGGTGAAGTCGTAGATAACTTGCTTTTAAGTGAGAGAAGGAAAACCATGGATCATATTTCAAAAAAAAAAACTTGCAGCTTAAATTTGTCAGTACTTTGTTAAAATTTAGGTAAAATCTGATAAAAAAGACAGTAGTATGTGTTGGTTAATATAGAATTTTCTATAAATACGCAACAAAATTTATAACAAAATTTTTTAACAAATAACCAAAACAACAAAAAGTTTGATTTGAAAACTGAATTTTGTTCTTGATCAAATTTTTGTTCTTTTATTTCTCAAGTAGTTTTTTATAAATAAATTTACTTTAGATAAAAGTTTTATTTTAAAATATTAAAGTTGAAAATTACTTAAACTGTTGTTATATATTTAAATATTTAGTTTATATTCATTTTGGGACATTAATTAACTTTTCTTTGTACTTGAGTATACATTTGCAAATTTTTTAGTTAGCCTCAAATAAAAGTTTATTAAAACTAATGTGCAGTTGGTAAATAGACATTATTAAAAATTATTGAATCTGATCATTTCAAAAAAACTCAGTGTCATTATAAAACCACATTTCATAAAAACTCAGTACCATCATAAAACCACATTTCATAAAAATTCAGTGTCATCATAAAACCACACTTTATAAAACTCATCATTGCAAAACACTACATGACCCAATATCACTGTAGGAAACGCTTGGTGGTTGGATGCGTCTAAAGTCTTTGTCTAGGAATTATACCAGTTGTAATTTTTGCCAATACTGTTAACAGGTAACCTTTGCAATTATGTAAGAGATGTCTGTTTCCTTTAGGGGACATTGATGTTAACTGATCTTGTAGTGGTTCTACTATAGCCTCAATGACCAAGGCTTTTTAAAAATATTTAAGAGAAAGTAAGGTGTTTTTCAAGATTAAATATATTACTATTAGAAGTACTGCTGGCCAAAGGATGTATCCACTGAAATATTCTGGAATTCAATAAAGTTCTGTTAGAAAAAGCCTGTGCGTTCTTCAACATCATTCACAGCTCCTCCTATTTTTATATGTCATTTTGAAGAAGCCTGCAAATTATTTTTTGTTCTCTCTAGATATTTTTGCACCACTTGTTTATCAAATATATTTTCTTTTGGTTAGTAAGTGAATAGGGTTAAAATTTGACCAGGACCGCATAAACATTGAAAATCCTAAAGTATTTTTTTTAAAATTCAAAATTCATGTTATATTGTGATATATATGCATGTATATTTAAAATATATAAAAATCATCATGATCCACATAATCATTACCATCATTATTTTTATCATCATTATCTTCATCATCATCAAGCTTAAGCCTTCCCTTTATATAAAAAATCTTGATTACTTCTTTCCTTAACTAATGCTGGTTCATACCATATGTAATTCACTCTTTCCAGGTTTTCTTACTTCTACATATTCTGCTTTCTCCTAAAGCTGCCTCTTTATATGCTGTTATCTAAACAACTTTAATCTCTTCTGATAAACATTCCGATAAATATTTCATAGACATTTAAATGTCAAATAAGTTTTAGATTTACAAAATTAACGCTGAGCTCTATCATGATTGTTCATACATGCTTTTTAATTATCATTTAACCATGACCATTTAAATGGCAACTATGACCTTTGACTCTCTTGTTAATAATTGGTGCATGTTTATCAAAAAAGAAGTTTCAAATTTTTATTGGAAAAAGCTACTAAAGAATTTTCATCTGATGATTTATATATAGGATCCCAATTGAAGGGACACTGAATGGTTCTGGGTATATATCGAAAATGATTTAGTTTTTGTATGCAGAGCATCATCTCATGATCGCTCACACTTGTACTTATGGCATCATTTTGGATAATATTTGATGAATTATTTGTTTCTATAAAGTCAATTATGGTGGAAGTTTCAGGTGTAATCAATTGAGTAAATCCACTAAATTTAATGTTTTTTATTTCATGATTATTATCCTTGTTTTTAAAATCTATGTTTAAATCTCCTAATAATAATACTTTCTTTAATTTACTTAATAGCTTTACTGTTTTGTGAAATAAGTCATTAAAACTGGCGAAGGTTGATATAAAGTTGCAATAAAAAAACTTTTTGATGTTTCAATAACAATATTCTCAAGATTAGATTTTTTAAGACCTTCTGATAAATTTTCCTCTTTTATGTTAACTGCCACTCCTCCACCAGCGCCAGACATTGTCCTTTTCTGCAAAAAATTGTAACCTTGTATAGAATATAGATTATTATTGCTGTTATAATCAGATATATGCGTTTCGGATAGGGTAATAATAGATACAAGTTTGCAAATAAAAGACATACTTTTGCCGTAAAATATTGATTCAGTCCTGGACATGATTTAATATTGCCACATGCTAGAAGCAAAATTAACAATAAAAATTTACTTGTGTAACTTACATATGGTCAATTTAGTAGATAGTTCCACAAAGACCAATAGATAAAAAGTTATGTTTCACCATTAATAAATTGATTAATGATGTCGCTAATAACATTTGAAGTAATAAAACTTTTCTTTTTAATTGTGAGCACTATTATAATATTTACGGCAACTAATAACACGTCTTAAATTACTGCCATCTTTAATGATCAATGTTTTACTAATAATCTGACTGACACTCTTACATCTAAAGGGGTTCTATTTGCTGGCAACTCAATTTTATACACTTGTCTTAAAAAAAAGTATTTACTTTTCTGATCTTTCTTCTGTAATAGTTTGGGGCTAGCAGAATTTAACTCCAACAAAACTGAGTTTTGTTGGAGTTAAGTTCCATTAAAATTCCTGTTAAAACTATATATCAAAACAACTATCACAATAGTCTTGATATTTTGACAAATAACACTCTAACTTTCTGAAGCACATTGTAAATGTATTTGGACCTGCTTTATCTGCCAAGCTTGAGCCACTATCCTATCTTCGTAAAGTTGTATCTCTTTCTTTTTTCTACAAATACTACAATGGTCACTGCTCAAATGAGCTATCATTTCTTGTTTGATCAACCAAAACTCCTTCTTGCTTAGCTTTTCATTCGACAAAGTTGTATCCTTTTATTTTATCTGTCCTTCCATGCTATAAAATTTTTTATTGATCTAATTTATTTCTTTGCACATCAACAAAACCTCAAAATTCTCACCTGTTTTCATGTTTTTCTGACTCATATAACCTATGACTTTTGTTCTTCAGTTGATCGTTTCCTTTCTCTTTATTCCTATACTTTGTTTTCTGTAACTCATAATTTAATAATGGTTGCTTGCAACCTTGTGAAAAGTGAATTAGTTTATTTATATATATGTGTGTGTGTATATATATATATATATATATATATATATATATATATATATATATATATATATATATATATATATACATATATATATATATATATATATATATATATGTATATATATATATGTATATATATATATATATATCCTTATCTCGTAGTCAAAAGACTTTTAATATAAAAAAAGTCTCTTTTGACAACAATTTTGCTACCTCCACAATTAAGCTACATTTTATTGTCATCAAAATGTCAAAGCAATTAAATTAATGCATAAGTACATTAAATTTTTTTTTTTTTTTTTTTTTTTTTAAACGCAGTTTACCATTTAAGAAAGGAAAAAAAAATTATTCAAGTTTTTAAACTTTTTCTGGTCTAGTTTATTAGCACTCTCTTCAAAACTACAGTTTATAGGAAAAACTTTTCAACTACTATGCAAGGCCGGGACCCTGGTCACTTACTACTTCTGGTTCCCATGTATTTCAAGTCAAAAGAGAATCCTGCCATTTAACTAGGTATTGTGTTTTGCCTTTTCTTTGTCTTTTATCCACTATTTCTTCCATTCTAAAGAAACTGTGTCATTATGTTCGTTTTCTGGCAAGCTGTGATGAATTTTATTTGTTTTCTTGTTTTTGGTACTGTTTCTTGCTATTATTTTAAGAAATAAACTCCTCTATTGTTTCTATAGCTTTTTTTGTAGTCATCAGTATCCAAAGCTTTCTCCATATTCTTTCTTCAAAATTTCTCCAGAGTCTTTCTTCAAAACTAAAGTATTGTTTAAGACAAGAAATGTGAACTAGAGTAGTAAGTTCTTTATTGCTCATATTTTCTACTTTGAAATTCACAGGTGGTGAATTTTGAACTAATCAAAAAGGACCATGCCAGGGGCTTGTGATTTTCCTCACTAAACCTTTCTTTGTAACTAGTCTATATATCCTCACTTAATGTGCGGCTTGGAAAAATGATAGTGTATCTTCATTTTGGTTTAAGCTTTATGAATATTTTCCTGTGCAAGATTTTGTACCAACTATATGTCTGCTCGAAGGTATTTTTCCAGTGCTAGTGGATATACTATTATATGCATATACTGCTGCAGGAAGATGAATATCCAAATCATTTTGGTTGGATGCTACATACATTAAAAGATTCTGAGCTAGGACGAAACCATCTGTTTAGGGGTAATAAGTGGTAATAAGTGGTTTTGAACCCATTTTTTTCCATTGTCACACAACTCTTTTAATAATTTGCAAGTAAAATTGCTACCTCTATTTTTCAGGAATCGTCTTTGTGCTCCATGTCTGTACACAATATTGTCAAAAAGTATTTCTGCAATGTCGCTGCAATGGTGGGTATGCAAAAGATTTTATATACTTAGTAAACAAGCAATCTGAATATTTAAATAAAGGTTTTCCGGAAAAATTAAGAAAAGCTAAAACGTGTGGCATGGTAAGGCATTATTTGAGTTGGTCAAAACTATTCTGTCGTTCAGTTTTCCATTTAAGCTCAGAATTTTTTTCAAAGAATAAAATAAACTATTCAATGGCAAAGCAATGTTCAAAAATTCTTTAACGAATCTATTATATAAAACTACACAGTCCAATAAATACACTAACTTCTCTTATATTTTTGGGCAATGGATACTCCTTACAGTTTTGTTGTTTTCTTGGAAAAGTTGTTGATTTGTTGTCTGAGTCTAATTAGGAAAGAATTTTTCTGAGGTGAAAAATAGTTTTGGGCTCTTGGATTCCACTAGGTAGGTTGTGGTGATGTGTGGCAAAAATAATTTTTTTGCTGAGAAGCTTGCACATAGCATGATCTCTAAGTGTGTCCAACCATCAAGCATCTATTGCAGATCTGTTGAGAAAAACATTTTTCTCTGGGTGGGACTATTGCTGTTTCTCCTGAAGACTCTATTTGAATCTGTAATTTTTTTTATTAGTTGTTTTGTAGTAGAAATCTTGTGGTGGGTAGCAGATACATATGGTGGTTGAACAGAAGTCAGAAATAAGTTTAGCTTGGCTTCTAGATGGGAGGCAACTAAGTCTGATGCACTTGTGTCTTTTAATTTAGCAAACGCTACTGCTTCTTTGTAATTGTCATGTTGAATTAAACAACATGAAATAAAATATATGAATTAAACAATATGAAAAAAATTTAGTAGACATTCAAAATTATTTTATAGTTATGATAATATAAGTATTTTGTTATATAATATTGTATTATTATGATTGTTAACTTTCAAAATAATTAGTAAAACTTATGTTTTTAAAGTTGTTTGCAAAAAATATGCTAAAAATAGTGTTGACTTTTTTATTCATTTAGTTTATACCTTTGTTACAATGTGTAATATAGTGAGATTTTGTTTTGTTTTTTTATATATCTTTTTTTTTTACATTTAAAAACCCCTATAAACTACCCTCTATTAAAAATATAATAATTTTATCCTTAAGGCCATCTCATACATTAATTGTAACTCTAATGACAATATTTTTTTTTCAAAATTTATTACATTGAGATAAAAAAAAGATTTTTTTTTTAAATTTGATGGTCATCTGAGTACCCCAAAAAATTAATATTAATTTTGTCAAGATATTAATATAAAGGTCTCATATTTTTATTGAGACGTTTTGGACCAAATATTGTACCATGTTGTGTTCTGTAGAGTACACTGAGATTAGTGGAGCACGAGTTTATATTTCTCACTTGTGTGTGGTTAACTAAAAATGGTTTAAATCGCATAAGTACTTTAGCATAAGTAGCATGTTGAACAATAGTTGCAGCATTTAGATTAATAACATAAGCCTTGAAGGTTGTTTTTTTTTATCAGACTGTTTAACACATCATTTGATAGTTTTAGGTGATCCTATACATTTAAACTTTAAATTTTTACAGCATATAATAGAATGCTCAAATATAAAAAAGGAAAAAACAAATTAATTTTAAAATATTTTAAAGGTTAAATAAACAATGTTAGGACCCAAAATACCCAAATAAATGAACAACTTTTAAATGATGTCAAAAAGACATTTTGATGTCTTTTTGACATCATTTTGTATTAGCATGGCAAGCACTTTAAACAAAAATCAATCAAATTTAAATAATATTTTATAATTAAAAGATCATTTATATCAAAATATGACTAGTTATGTTTTTTAGGACAAAATTTAAAAAAATACAAAGTGAAAAGATTTTAGTTTAGGTATCAGATTAAACCTAAAGTCAAGTCTAAGAAATTTTATGCTGAAAACAGTGACTTAAAAAGTCACTGTTTTCAGTTAGAGATAACATTTTCAAACATACAGTTAGAGATAACATACAGTTAGAGACAAAGTTAGAGATAACATTTTCAAACATACAGTTAGAGATAACAATACAGTTAGAGATAAAGTTAGAGATAACATTTTCAAACATACAGTTAGAGATAACATACAGTTAGAGATAAAGTTAGAGATAACATTTTCAAACATACAGTTAGAGATAACAATACAGTTAGAGATAAAGTTAGAGATAACATTTTCAAACATACAGTTAGAGATAACAATACAGTTAGAGATAAAGTTAGAGATAACATTTTCAAACATACAGTTAGAGATAACAATACAGTTAGAGATAAAGTTAGAGATAACATTTTCAAACATACAGTTAGAGATTGGCATTGATTAAAATCAGAGGAAGTTTATTTTAATTTTGAAAATAACTATAAAAAACATCTTAAGCACTTCATTTAAAAATAAAAATAGATAAACTTAAAATTTAAGTATAGTTACAACTATTGAAAATTCATAAAATAAAACTAATTTAACATAAAAGTATGTAAAAATTAAAAATTTGAAATCTTTAATTTTAAATGGTATAGGACCACTTTAAGTAAAACTGTTTAAATGATCTTTATTGTATTGATATTGTTAACTTGTATGAAGTTTATTAGCTGACATATGAGACATGCTTTAAACTAGGAGATGTGAAAAGATTAAATTGAAAGAAAAAAATTTTTTTTTTAAGAAAATTTCAAATGATAAAAAACTTCAAACCCTTGCCTACCTATATATTCAGCGGTTCAAAGTTTTATGAAAGTGCTTTGCTGGTTTGGAGTGGTAAAGGTAAAAAAAATTTAAATAGATTTTTGTCATTTTTTATACTCATTTTTTTAATTTTAAAAATCTTATAAAATTAAATCTTTTTAATTTAAATAATAACGAAAACATAACAGTTCAATTAAATCATTATATATATATATATATATATATATATATATATATATATATATATATATATATATATATATATATATATATGCATATATATATATATATATACATATTTATATGCCCAATTGCTCACTTTTTTTTGCTAGCCTAATTTAAGTGAGCGTTTTTAGAAAACGATGAGGGAAAATGAAGAATAATGAATGAAAAGGTTGCTGACCCATACCAAACCCTCAGTCGATGTAGCAGCACTCCACTGCGAGTCAGGCTATTTGTCAGTCGATATATGTACTGAAGCCCCCGGCAGCAGGCTATTTGACGTTAGGTGAGTATGACATCATCATGCTCACCTAACTCAGCAGTATAAGATATTTATGTATATGTATATATATGTATATATATATATATATATGTATATATATATATATGCATATAAATCTATATGCATATAAATCTATATATATATATATATATATATATATATATATATATATATATATATATATATATATATATATATATATATATATATATATATATATATATATATATATATGAATTTCTAGGAATTAAACTTAGAAATAAAATTAAATAAAGAATAAATCAACAATGAGAAAAGCATTTAAGTCAAATAGACTGTTTTGATGAAATTAAATGTTCAAATCAATTTTGTAAATTTTGAAAAATAAAAATAGCGAGAAGAGGAACATCTAGCAGAAAATTTTTTTTTTAAATTTACATTTACATTTCTTGATTTTAAACTTATCTTTTTGTATATTTTGGAACCATGAATCATATAATTGTTTTCCTAATTTATAAAAAAAAACACTAAATACAAGTAGCTCTCAGTAAAAAATGTTTTAAAAATATTTAAAGGTTTAATGGTAGCAGATATGTCTATATTATAATTTAGGCTTACTCATACACTTTTGTTTATGGAATAATTACACTTTTGCATACAGAATAGAAACACAAAAATAAAAAAACTGATTTTTCAAAACAATCTGCATCGGTGGATGGTTATCATGACCAATGCTGATGCATCTGTTAATAGTCTATTTGTTTATGTATTATATATATATATATATATATATATATATATATATATATATATATATATATATATATATATATATATATATAATACATAACACATATATATACATACATAAACACATCAACATGTATGTATGTATGTATATATAATATATATATATATCAGGCTTTCACAGGAAGACATGCGATTTCACGTCTTTATATGACCACGCAAGTTACATTTTGCTATGACGGTTTGACCGCGGCTTATTCAAAAAACATTTTAGAAACGCGCTAAATATAAAATATTCTAAAAAAGTAAAATTAATTACATCAAAACTTCTTAACAAATGTTTTTATATTAGCGAAACGATTTTAAATAAAGTAACAATTTACTGAAAAAAAGTTTTGTTTTTTAAATATAATTGACAGTTGTATATATTTTTTTAATTTAAAACATATAAATTGTTAAAGTGTTCATTTCTAAAATAAATCTTATTAAAAAATAAAAAATTGTTATGATTTTATAAACGATGACATTCTTCGACTACGAAAGTCTCTTTAACGAATTTAAATATAAGAATGAATAAAGTTAATGCATTTAAAAAGATAAACAAAATTTCGTTAAAAAAAAAGTTTTAGAAAACCGTAACAATTTTATAAGTTTGATCTTAAATGCTTTTATATTATCGAAACGCTTTTAATGAAGTAAAAAAAAAACACTTATAATTAATTTAAAAAAAAGTATTTATAAAATATTTTTTTATTTTATTTATATAACTATGTATTTTTTATAAGAAATATTTAACTTTTGAACATATTAAACAAATAAAAAATATATATGAAAATGTTGAATCAAAGATTGAAAAGGTTTTTTAATGCATAAATAAAATAGACTAAGCATTTTAGTTTCATCAGTTTTGTTTGAGATGCGTTATGTATATATATTTATTTTTTTGTGTTTTTGCGCTAAGTATTTTTTTTTATTTTCTCTTTTGTTAAGATTTATTTATTTTTTAAAATTTTTTTTTCAGATAAGTTTAGGTAAGTTTTTGTAGCGCGTTTTTAAATTTTAAAAATATGCCGTGGTCAAATCATTTAAACATTTTTTTTTTGCGTGGTCATATAAAGACATGAAATCGCACGTCTTCCTGTATATATATATATATATATATATATATATATATATATATATATATATATATATATTATATATATATATATTGTATATACAAAAAATGTTTCACTAATATTTTATATCACTATATAGCATTTATTATTATTTTTTTAGATTCTGTTATTGCTGCTGCAAGCAATCGTACTGCTCAGGCTTCAGTCTTAACTTTATTTGGATCAGTTAATAGAAGTTCAAGTGCAGTTGATTTTGTGATGATAGCAAAAAAATGTTATGCAAGATACGTAGAATGGCTTCCAGTAATGAATGTTTCAAATAGCAAGTTTATTGTTTATAAAAAAAAAAAAAGTTCAGTTGGACGTAAGTTATTTTCTTATACATTTGTATTTTATTTTCTTACACACATTTTTTTTCTAATTAGGATATTATTTTTTTGTTTATGTTTTTTTTTTTTTTAGCAAAGTTACAGTTAGAATGGAATTGGTGTCAATGTAACAAAAATTCAAACAATTGCAACAAAGGTATAAAGTCAATTAATATTTCTGGCAAAATTGAAACTATAGGTATTTCTGACAAAATTGAGATTATTCTGAATAAACATGGTCATTTTGAGACATCTATGAACAAATATTTATTTTTCAATGAAGCACAAGCTTTTATTTCTATAAAACAAGTAACAGATCTAGAGGCTTTAAATGATATCAACCCTCAAGTAAGTAAACTTTTTTATATATTGTAATTTCATGACTATATAATCTGAAAATCTTACAGCTAAATAAAAGGAATTACAAAAAAATTGCAGGATAAACCATAAATGACAATGATGTTTATCTGATGGGATAAACTGCTGATCTCATGTAACTTGTAAAATATTAGAGATAACTTTGTTTTGTAAAAAGATACAAAAATGATAATAAAATTTGTCAACTTAAGATGTTTAACAAAATAGTTTAACCTTTCCAGATCTTCCAACATGCAGATTTGATGATTTAAGCAGAATTTCAATAAACTCATGCTTAAATCATTACTGATGTGCTTAAACTTGTGTGCAGTAAAGAAACAAGTTGTGAGTGTAGAAATAAATAAATTGTTTTATGCTTAAAACATATCAGTTTAAAGAAAAAACATAAAAAATAATGTTAAATCAACTTAACATTGGTATATTAAACAAGTAACTCAAAAATTTCACTCAAAAAAGATATCAAAATATGAGGACGCAAAAATGATATTAAAATGTGAGTACACAAAAATTAAATTTGATATTGGATAAAATTAAAATATTGAATTGTTGATGCTATTTTTAATATTTTTTAGTTATTTCAAGAAAAAAGTGTTTTTTTTTATCACAGTTCTAAATTATTTAGTAGCACTATTTATTTTTTTTACACAATTTTTCCGTCTTAAGATTCAATTTAATTTTTAAATCTGTTAAAGTATGTTGACGTTTAAATATGAAAAAAAAAAGCAAACTTCATCCCTCTGCAAAAAATGAAAACAACATTAATCGAACTTCTATTCTTGATGATGTTATTTAGACACTAAGCATACGCCATTAAAAGATGGATACAAAAAGCTAATATTAATAATAATATAATAACAGTATTGACAAAAAAAATATATATTAAAATTTATGATTTTTAAGGTATTTTTCTAACAGAAACCTGTAAGTGAAACCAAAATGAATAAAAACAATAACAAATTGAAAACAATAATTTTAAAATACATGTTTGGTATAGCCTCTGGGGCCATATTCTGGGGCCTGGGTCTGTATTCTCATTTCTTTGTTAAACTTGGTGGAGCGTTAGTCAAAAATTTCCTTTTAACTATATTAACAATAAAATTCTTTAAAAATATAATTTTTTAAACATAAATCTTTTACTTTAGTATTAGTTTTATTTAAACGAATTTAAATAAAGTTTTCTTCATTTCTTTTTCACTCCAGCTTCTGTATCTAAAGTGATTTCCTGCTTAGACTCTTCTACAGCTTGTGGCCCAGACAACATACCTGTTATAGTCTTGCAGAATTGCTCTCTGGAGCTGTTGTCTATACTTTCAAAACTATTCAACAAGTGCTTATCAGAGTTTTGTTTTCCAGCTTGCTGGAAAGTAGCTTCTGTTATCTCTATTTTCAGAAATTCTGGAAAACGGTTTGATTTGTCTAATTACCGTCCCATTAGTCTTCTTTATATCATAAGCAAGGTTTTTGAATCTTTAATTAACAAACACTTAATCTTGAATCTTGAATTTAATAACTTACTTTCTGATCATCAATATGGATTTCGATCTTCTCGATTTGCTAACAGTAATAACCGATAGGTTTTATTATGCATAAGGGGGAGAGGTTAAGGCCATTGCTCTTGACATTTCTAAAGCTTTTGATAAAGTTTGGCATGCTGGTCTTCTCTGTAAGCTTTCTTCTTACAGTATATCTGGTAACATCTTTAAGACTATTGAATCCTTTTTTTTTGACATGTAGTATAAAAGTTGTCCTCTATGAAGAGCACTCTTCTTCATATTCAGTAAATTCAGGGGTTCCTCAAGGTTCAATCCTTGGCCCTATACTCTTTTTAATTTACAATAACGATCTTCCAGATATTCTCACATCTAAGGTGGCATTGTTTGTTGATGATACTATCATTTACTCTTGTCATGTTAAGAAGCCAACACTCTCTGATTGCTTTGAGGGAACATTTGAGCTTGAAAAGGATCTCACTTCTGCTGCAGCATGGGAGCTCACAGTGTCTGGTGAACCTTGATTCATATAAAACTCAATTTTTTTTAGCAAATTGTTATTGCAATAATTTTGATGTTCCTATATTTATGAGTAGTAATTTACTTGATGAGTCATCTACCCTTCATCTTCTAGGATTAACTCTTACTTCCAATCTTTCTTGGAAACCATAGATCAAATCCGTTGCAAAATTAGTTTTTGCTAAGGTTGCAACAGTATTCCATAAAATCTAATCTAATGATGCCCTTTCTCTTTTAGACAAGGTTCAAAAACTCATTGTTAACATAGTTAGACCTGCTCTTGCAGCCAACCTTCAACCATTACCACATCGTTGTAATGTTGCTTCTCTTTCTCTTTTCTACAACTACTATAATGGGCATTGCTCTAAAGAGCTAACATCTCTTGTGCCATCTACTAAAATTCTTTCTTGTGTTACTCGTCATTTAATAAAGTCTTATCCTTTTTCTGTGACTGTTTCTAAGTGCTCCAAAAACTCTTATTCCTCTAGTTTTTTTTCCTCAAACATCAGTTCTTTGGAATTTGCTTTCTTCATTTTGCTTTCCTGATTCATATAATTTGCAATCTTTTAAGTTGTCCTTCAATCATTACCTTGCTCTACAATCTTAAGCTTTTCTCTTCCAGTAACTTCTAACTCTAATTAGTGGTTGCTTGCAGCCTTGTTGGAAGCAAAGATGTTTAAAAATATATATATATATATATTGAAATGAAATTTCAGTCAAAACTTCGTTAAGCTTAACGGAGAGAAGTGAATATGGCTGCTGGTCAGCAAAAATTTCTTGCATATTATAATTTCTAAATTCAGATAAAATACCAATATTAAATATTTTCTGAACAAGTTATTTTACAAAAAAACAATACCAGCATTCCTGTGCAGAACCAAAACTTGTATAGGTACATGGTACATTAACACAAAATTAAGTGTTATTTTCAAAATCCAAGCCAAGTGAAAGCTACAAATGGAAACCATAATGTTCATGTTGTCACATTCTGAATAACATAAACTCAGGCTGTAGTTTTTCTCCTAACAATGTGACAATCATATTGCTCTCTAAAATTTCCTGATTCTGGAGCATCAATGATTTACTCTTGCAAAGAGTTCCAGTGTTTAACTATAGGAATGGTAAAGAAATTTTGCCTCCGTTCGCAATGCTTTACCAGTTGACACTTTAATCTCATAGCATGACCATGAGTACCACTGGCAGGTCCAAAGAAAAGGAGGTAAGTGATTTTGGTAGGTGATGCCAGTTGATGACATCAATCCGACTTATTATTCTAAAATGTTGTATCATGTCATATTGTATCATGATTTGTATATGTCAGGGTGGAAAGTCGTAGTGCTTTGAGTCTATCTTTGTATGGCAGTTTTGATATTGAAAAAGTTAATTTTGTATTTTTTTGTTGAATGTGTTCTAAAATCTGTATGTTTCTTGCTTGATATGGTGACCGTTATTGAACTGCAAGTTCTAAATGTGGTCTAATATATGTTATATATAGCAAATTCCACAGATTGAAACCTCTGTGCTTAAATGCTTTTTTAAAAACTTCAAATATTTGATTGGCTTTTATAGCAGCAGAATCTACTTGCTTCTTAACTTTAAGGTTCATCCACCAATTTCTTGACCATTCAAAAGCTTTATTGATATCAACTTGTAAAAAATCCACATCTGATGGTGAGCTGATTATCCCTATGATTTTGCTATCATCAGTATATAATTTTATATTGTGTGTTAAATTATCTGGCAGGTCACTGATATACAACACAAAAAGAAGGGGTTGGACAACTGTTCCCTGTGGGACACCACTAACTACATCTTTCAAATCCTTTCCACTTTCCTGATGTATTTGGTCCTAATTAGATTTGTTGTTGCTTTTTGTTTAGCCATGCTTTAATCCATAGGAGAATCTGCCTAGTAACATCATGCATAAAGTTTATGTAGTAGTCTTCTGTGAGGCACTGTATCAAAGGCTTTTGCAAAGTCAGTAAAAATAACCTCAAAAGTTTAGAGCTACTCCTAAAAATTGGTGTAACACTTGCTTTTTTCCATATCTCAGGCACGACACCAGTACTAAATGCACAATTATAGATTATACTCAAGGTAAAGCCATACTTGAGGGATAATTTAAGAGGACTCGTGGCAATCAAATTTCTCAAAGTTTTTTGGGATCAAAATGCGTACAAACAACTTAATAGCAAATTCAGAAAGAATTTTAATACCAAATTCAGAAGAAAATGTGTATAAAAGTGCAATAAGGCAATGTTATTAGGATTAATTCTCATCAGATTTTTGCTACTGTTTGCCAGCTGGTGTAATTTTAAAAAAATATAAAGAACTAAAGGTTCAATGACAAACTTGAAGGATAAAAAGAAAATAAAGCTTTCAAAATTATATATTTAAACAAAAAGTTTACATTTTTTAGATTTTCTTTTTGAAAAGAATGAAAATAATATTAACATAGAAACAAATAATATGTATAGTCATTATAACAAAGAAATTTGAAAACTCTTCATTAGTTCATGTATAAATACAGAATGCAACATTGTTGAATTTATTACTAGAAATAGCCATAATTTTATTATTGATTTTTTGTACCATTTTTAGTCTATTAGTTGAAACAATGTCCTGATAATTATAAACATGTATCATATTTTACATCAGTGTAGCATTAGTGATGTGGCTATATATCAGAAGTGTGGAATTATGGAGTATACTATAGAGTATAATGAATATATGTATTTAGATTCAAATAAAAATAAACAATCCAATCAAAAAGGTAATGCTTTATTTAGCAACACTTGCATCTTAATTTGTTAATGTTACTTCATAATTGGTAAACATTAAACAATCCTTGTGTTCTCGAATATCTTTGTAAAATTTAAATTCCGTTTTTACAAATTTAGTTGTTTATTTATTTTTTTTACAAATTGCATTTTTTTTTTTTTTCCTATGTACATGTAAAGATTCCTTTGTGTAATCTTAATACAAGTGCTGATACAAAAAAAAGTAAATTTAAAAAGAATAAAAACTATTTTGAACAATTTTTTTAGAGTTGAAATTTAAGCTTTCTTAAAAATTATGGGTTAAAACTTATTAATAAATATTTTTGTAAATATGTACTAATATTTTTTGATTGTAACTTATAAAAAGAATTTTTTATATATATTAACTAAATATTTTGTTAATATTTTTATTTTTAAAATATGTTTTTTAACAGTTAATGCTTAGAGAGCTGGTTAATATTTTTCTGACCTTGTCAAATTCTTTTTGTTTAAGTGTTTAATCCCAAGTTCTTAATACAAAAGAGGGGTAGTTTGTTAACTTTTGGAAAATGTACACACCCTGAGCATATAAGGATTCATTATATTTATTCATTTATGAAATTTCATTTATCGGCAAAAAAAACTATCTACTGATAAAAATAAAAACCTGGTGTAATCAGGCTTTATAATGTCAAATTTAAAGTACTTATCAAAATGAAAACTTTCATTGTAATCAGCTTTTTCTCATTAAGATTTTTTATTAAAAACTGAATAACTTGTGTTGTTGCTGTTAATCATTTTTGATTTGTTTGACCGTATTTCGATCCTGGAACATTTAGTTTTGATTTATTCAATTTTTGCGTTATGAAAGCAAAATGGTACCCTATTGGTTTTAGTCTGTTTTTGATATGCTCATGATTAAAAAAGTGGTCAGGAATTTCATTGCATTGTATTTAAGTTTGATTTTTAAAATAAGTTAGGCCAGCTGATGGTTCTGCAACAAAAACAGAATGAAAGAAATTACTTATAGCACTGCAAATTAGTTCACATTTAGTTAGGATTATTCGATCAGTGTTTTTCAAAGCTTGTATAAAGTTTTTTGCACTTTTTTTTTTTTCACACATAGGAATTGAGTATTTTCGGAATTAGTTTTATTTTTTGAACAATGGTCTCTTCAAATTCCAAGACTGATTTCTTTATAATTTTTTTTTACTGATATACAAACTGCTTTATGCTCTAATTTTAGTTTGGCATGACCAAATTGCCCAGCAGATTTATATTTTGCAATAATAAAAGTACTTTATAATATTAGTACTTTTTAATAATAATTTATAATGTTAATTGCTAATTATTGAGCGTTAAAATTCATTTTGTTTTTACTAATTTAATATTTTTATATTACCAGTTATTTTGAAATTAAACTTGAAAACTTTGAAGAAGTTCATGAAGCGACCGAAACTTGTTCTACAAAATGCAGAAGTAAATTCTTTAATTACAAAAAATTGTAAAAATTTTCAGAAAATTACCAACCAAGAATGATAAACTACTGCAAAAATATGTTCAAGAACCTCTCTGAAAAGAAGTTTCTTTAATTTTAGATTGTAAACTAGATATAGTAATTTATTAGGCATGCTGGATTGGTTTTTAAAGCATAAAGATGCTTTTCTAAAAAGATTTCAAAAAGGGACGTAAATTTTAATGAAAGCGAAGTTTTCAAATATAATATCAAGTTTGAAAAAAGTTGGTTGTTGAAACATTCTGCACTGAAAAAGTTAGTTTATATGTAGCCGATTTAACATTAAAATTTATGCTAGATGAATTAAGTAACCAAAACACTTTTTTAAGTATTGCACTAAAAAAAGAATGAATAAGATTAAAATTATTTAAAGAGAGAAAAACAATGTTTTTAGACGTTTTAAACTATATAACCTTATGTGGTACTTACTGCTAAAGACAATTAAGGTAATTTTAATATTAGCAATAAAAATGAAATTGTATGAAACAAACAGACAAGAATCAAGGAATAACTGTCTTAAAGAAAGTAACAATAAAGATCTGAAAGAACTTATAAAAAATGAGTTAATGTACTTTTGACAAAAAAAAAGGCGGGAAGTATATTCAAATAGTTTTTAATTTTGATTTAGCGACCATTCGTCCAACAAGTGTTGAACCTTAAAGGGTATTACATTGTTATATTTGTATTATTCTATAGATGTTAATATATTTACCAGTATTTTACTGTTATACCGATATTTCAAGTTTTGTTTACTAAGTTACAGGTAAATTAAAAAGTCAATAAATTTACAAACCCTAGTATATATTGAGCACATGCTAAATTATATTTTCAACTAATAATTTTGTAGCAATCATTTGCTGATAAGCCAGCAAATATGTTACTCCAGTTTAGTGATTCAAAATATTTTGAAATTTTCTCAAAATCCGCTTTTGCCCAAACAAGTCTTGGTGAATTATTGTCATTAAAATTAAGTTTTGGTGGATTGATTTGCATCAGTACTAGCAATGGCATATTCACATTTGTTCACAAAGTTAAAATTACAGAATGGAAGCTGCTCCAATCTCATCAAAACAGCTGATACCCATTTAACAATGCTACATTATTAGGTCCAAATTTTGTTTTCAGCAATGGCTATAATAAGAAGGTCAATTTTTTCCATGGCTGCATTACAAATTTGGCCAGCAAGTTTGTAGAGTTTGTTTTAAAGAAAATTTGCATTTGTGGACCAGGTTCTTAAATATGATAAAAGGAGGTATGTGTTTGACTTATATTGTTTATTTGATTCAGCTTTTGCTTTCGCTTTGGTAATAGCTTTATCAACTGTTGATTGAATGGTGAAGATTAAAATTCTTTGGCTGACTCTAGCATTAATGAATTTGACACAGTTAAGCTGTTGATGGATGACAAAGCAAAATTGCTAATTAATAAGACCAAGTGTATTCATTTTGTCATTTTTGTTTTTTTCTTGGTATCGTTCATTGAAGTTTACTAACTCTGATTCTGTGCTGTCCTCTCTTGCGTATAGATTCTTGTAAGCTTTCACTGTGTGATGACGTGCCTTGATAGTACGCTTACCCTGTCAGATGAATCTTTCAAAGTTACTTGAATTATGCCTGATTTACGGATAATACTACAGATTCACTGAGTTAACATTTTTAGGATGGAAACAGTTTACCTTGACAATGTCTTTATCAATTCCAACAGCATTAAAAAATTCAGCAACTGTGTTTTTGTTTGCTACATTATCAATGGCCCTTTTGAGTATCAATCTCAGACACATTCACTTTATGAATTTGATGCTCTTTTTCTTTACCAGCCATTTTATTTAGAAAAACTTGATGACCCCAAAAAAATGGATAACTGTATAAATAATAATTTTATGATTAAAATAAATCTTGAAGAGCTCAAAGTATTGGGGAAAAATCTTGAAACATAAAATACCTTCAAAAAAAACTCAAACAGTATACAAAAAACAAAAATTTATATAAAATCAACATTGACTAAGAAATCTTTATAAAATTTTATTAGTGGTTATAATTATACATAAAATCCTGATAAACATAAAAAAAATAATAATAAAGTTAAATATATAGTAATTGTTGGTTTCTGAATTAATAATAATAACTTAACTCATTTAACAAACGTTTAAAATGGAGACTAGATTTTTGACTTACTGAAATATTACTGACTTCAGTCATGAACTCGAATGTAAATCACAAATATACAAGTTAAACTTAATTTAAGTCTTTATTAATGAGTAATTGTTTTATTGAACTTGGTTATTGTATATTATTAATACGTAATTGTTTTATTGAAGTTGGTTATTGTATAGGCAACATACAAAATTTTTGGTTTTATTAAAATATTTAATAATATTAAATAACATAAGTCATGTTTGATTACTATAGCTTCATGTGAACTTAATACAAGATGATGAAACCAAGTTCTACATAAAAGACACAGTGGAAAGTCATTTTAAAACTTTGGCTAATGAGTTTGTATCTTTATATAATGGAAATTCCTTTCCTCTGATAAATATAAAGGCTGAAGATCTATTGTATCATCCTACAAAAAAAATAATAGATGCAATAAAACCAATTAACAATATGATATCAGATCAAATATTGGCTATAGAATCCATTGATAAAGTAATGTCTAAAGATTGCGTAGAAGAATGTGTTGCAAGTCCAGGTATTCTTTGTATATGTTTTATTTTTATCAGCTTTTTTTTTCTTGTTGTTTTTTTTGTTCTTGATAGTTTCTAACTCAAAGTTTCAAATGGATAATATGTTTACTACTAATTACTAATGGCTGAAGGTTAATTTTGCTTTAATAAAAAAAAATTTAACTTTTAATATCCATCATGTAATTTGTTTATTGATTTCTTATTTAGACCTTTAATTTGCTTGTCACACACTTTTTAAAATTTAGGTGTTTAAATTTATTTTTTGTTTACTTTTTGTTCATACAAATCCCACTGCTCTGAAATTTCGCCACCAGGTTAAACTTTGTGTCATTTTCAAAATTTTGATTATTATGCTTACTATATATCATTAATAAAAAAGTAAAGTTTGAAATCAAAATCATGTGCTAGGTTACTTAATTTTTAAAAAATAAATCATGCATAATCTTTTATTTTTATTTTTAAAAGTCAGTGAATGCGCTAAGAAATCCCTAGGAACAACACAAATTTAGATAAATACGTAACTAAAATTAAATTTATTTTTAAAAGTGACTTCAAGGCTCAGTTTTTGCTGCGTTTGTTTGTAGCATAAAGGAGCATGATCAAAAAAGTTATTTACAATTTCTGAATCTGTCCTTAAAAAAATTAAGCCTTCCATGAAATAGGTACTACATTGGCATTATGTTAGCTGCCTTTCCATGAAATAGGTACTTAATTAACATTGGCATTATGTTAGCTACCGTCCATGAAATAGGTACTTAAATTAAGTAATGATTTTTTAAATAAAAAATTTATAAGATTAGAAAAAGCATCTACACATTTTTTTTTTGCACAAAGGGGTTAATCCCATTTGATCCAACTTATTTTCTTATGTTCAAAGCATGTATCATATTAGTAACTTCAGTTACTAATATGATACATGCTTTGAACATAAGCAGAGGAATTGTTAATAGATTGTGGTAAATTAAAAAACTTATCAAAGTTTGTAAAGTTTTATCATTATTTTCTATAAGTACTGATTGAAAATGTTTATTTGATATATCAGCCATATGCTTTTGGTCTGTAATAACCAACACTTTATGATTTCAAACTTTTTTTAAAGATATTAGTTTTCTTAGATATTTTTCACTTGTAATGTATTGCCATGTTATTATGTGATGTTCTTAAAATTTATTACCTAAAAGTGTACTATGTTGCGTTTTTTGACACTATTACCATTATTTACTATTATCAAGTCAAGTATGTTTGATTAGAGATAAGTGGCTCTCTCAAATGTTGGTTTATGATGGATTGGTATAAATAACATTTACCAACTTAAGAATTTCAGTTATTAGTTTGATAGTTAATTAGAAATGTTTCTAATTAATTTCTAATTAATTTAATAAATTGTTCTCATTAGAAATGAAAACAATTTAATTGCAATAAAAATCACTTTTAGTTATAAGATCTGTGAAAACTTTTTTTTTAATTAATTTACTAGTAATATTAATAATATTTATAATTGTGTTATTAGTAATTTCATTTGAATTTGGGGGCCTGTTAATACAGCCATCTATAATTTTTAAATTCCAAAACCCAAACATGTTCAGTATTTGTAAAAGCTATAGTTGGCAAGGTTACTTCATATGAATTTATTTGAATTTTTACATAAAAAAAAGTGCATGAAAAAGTAGAAAGTACATAGGATTTGATTTGGAGCAAACTCTATTGTTTTCTTAACTTTTAGGCAATAGGTTCACAAAAGATATAAGATGTATACAAGATGCTTTAAATATGTGGTTTTAAGTATTAAAAATTTTCTTTTGGTGAATACATAAAAGAAGTCAAAATAGAGATTGAAATAAATATTGGTGGAAAGATAAATATTGATGACATTTCTTTTCTCAGAGATACAATCAGATCTGTTGTTAAAGCAGAAGAGATAATGGCATGAATAAATTGTGTCTTGCCAAGTTCTGAAATGATATTCACACTTGTTCACACAATAGCAAGAATAACACTTATGTGTTATACAAAACATAAGTTCAGAGTTTTATGATGTATGCCAGTGAAACAAGCTGGAGAAATAATATTATGAGAAACCTCTTACATGTGCAGTTGCAGAAACTAGAATGATGATGATGATGATGATGATTATGAGAATGATCATGTTGATCATAAGAATGATCATAATGACATAGTACAATCTGGTGTTTTCTGTTTTTTTTTTGTCTACATGGTGTGTGAACTACATCAAATTTACATCTATATCATAGATGTAAATTTGAAATTCTAAATTTAATACTCTAATAATTTTATTTTGTTCTAATTAACAAAAAACATAAAACAAACTATATATAATATATATATATATATAGTTTGTTTTATGTTTTATGTTTTTCTTATTTTTTTTTTATTTTTTTATTCTTTGTTTTCTAGTAACTTCCAATTTAATAGTATTTGCTTACAGCCTTGAATTAGTTTAAAAACATATATATATATATATATATATATATATATATATATATATATATATATATATATATATATATATATATATATATATATATATATATATATATATATATATATATATATATATATGTATATATATATATATATATATATACATATATATATGTTTTTAAACTAATTCAAGGCTGTAAGCAAATACTATTAAGTTGGAAGTTATTAGAAAACAAAGAGTAAAAAAGTTTAAAAAAAATAAGAATAAAAAATATCAATGAAACAATAGAAGATTTGAAAAGTTGTAGGTTGTATGAGTCAGGAAAATATGAAGATAGGAGAGAGTTCTAAAGCACTGATGTGTGAGGAAAAAAACTAAATAAATAAAAGTTTTTAGAACAAAATGGGATAGATACAGTATAAACATGCGACTTTGCTGAATGACAAGTCAAGCGAGAATGAGTTTAGGTTGATTGAAACAGAGGTGATATTTGATGTCTATTGATGATATGATATACATATCTAGAAATATCATTTGTTATATATGGTATATTTAGGTAAAAAGTATACTTTTTGTGTCCCCTTAATGTGAGTTTATTAATATTAAACTTTTCAGTTTTTCAAGTAAGAATAGTTAGCAAAACTTTTAAGTGTCAATCATCAAAAAATTAAAAAAGCACACAGATCACTGTTTAGATTTTTTATTGTATAATATATATATATATATATATATATATATATATATATATATATATATATATATATATATATATATATATATATATATATATATATATATATATATATATATATGTATATATATATATATATGTATATATAGATATATATATATATATATATATATATATATATATATATATATATATATATATATATATATATATATATATATATATATATATATATATATATAGATATATATATATATAAAATTATCAGTGACTTCTAAAGCCAAAAATAAAATCACAAATAACCTCTTTAATTTAAAATGCCAAAGTTTTAAAATAATAGTTTAGATTTTATAATATACATATATTCATTTAAAAAATAATATGAATTAAGTATAAACATACAAAAAAATATTTATAATATATAAAATAAATCCAGTTATTATATTACAGTTTTTTATTTCTGATGATATCAATAGTTAGCTTTTGAAATTGACTTTAGTTACACATATTTTTTACATTACTCTAGTAACGTTTTATATATGTATTTAAATATTCTTAACATTAATCCAGTTTCAGTTAAAATAAAAAAACTTTTGCTCAACATCAAATGCCCACTTTTATATTACTACAAAAAAGTGAAATTAAAAAATTTTAAGGTGCTTTCATTTTTTCCAACCTTCCTTTTTAACTGATATTCAGTTAAAAAGGTTCTTTGAAATCAATCATTTCAGCAAAGATTTAAGAAATTCTTTATGAATAACAGAAAAGTTATAAATATAAACATAATAAGTTTCAAAAAATATAAAATGATTTTTTTTTTTTAATACTATTACTGAAGCCTTGGATCAAACAAATCCAAATCCAAAATGATTTCCTTAAAAGATTGGATAAAGGACTTTCGTTCTTTAGTGTAAACAGAACTAGATCAAAATGTATCAATGTGATTCAAAAATATATATACACATTTTTTCTGTGGTTTTTTAGGTGCTCCAAGAGGACCTAATGGTTGCATCACAGAGCACTACAGAAGAGCATTTAACTTGAAAGTTTACGCTTGTTTCATGTCAAAAAAAAGCCTAGAGTAGGCATCGATCAGTGAAGGATCCAGCATTTTTTGGTGTTTGAGATGGCAGAGATGGTGCAAACTCCAAACTTATGTCAAATAACAAGGTTTTTCAAAATATTGCAATGATTGGAGGCTGGGAACAAAGAATCCCTAAAATTTTATCCCCCCTGCCCCAAACATGACAGCAACAAGTTACTAAAATTATTTTTTTGATATTTTAAACTAAGTTTTTATTAATCAATAAATTTTAAGTTTCATAGTATTATCTCTCAGCGTTCATAAATTATGACAATTTGAAGGGGTTACAAATTTTATATGGTCATAATTTTTGACACTTAGAGACACTTAGAGATTGTAAAACAATACTTAAAATTTATGGATGTATATAAATTTAGTTAAGAATAGCAAAAAAATTATTTCATCAACTTACTGCTCTTACGTTTGGGGCCGGGGGGATAATATTTTAAGGCTTTTTTAGTTCCTAGCCTCCAACCATTGCAACTTTTTAAGAAGCATAGTTATTTGACATAAATATAAACATACAAATGTTTGAATTTTGCTCTCAATCACTAAAAAATGCTGTATTTGTTACTGCCACAGATTTCTTGTTTCACAGATCTCTTGTTTCTGAAGCAAATTTGCTTTAGAATTCAGCGTTTAAATGCTACAAATGTACAATAAATATTTATATACATATATTTTTCAGCTTAAGACAAATATCTCAAAAAAAAAAGGTAAAAAAATAATTTTTAAATATACTTTTAAGGTTCAGAGTTTGCAGTTAGGTATTGGATCAAAATTCAAATTATTAGAACCGTTTCAACGAGAAAGCAAGAAAGCAGTCGCCGTAGCTAGCTTCTTAAATCCACTCCTTCTTTTTTAATAGTTCTTTACAAGAGCTCTTTGTTTGAAGTAGGTCATGAAGCTTCTCCATGCTCATCACACGCTCTACATTATCTCGAAAAAATTTTCCTTTAAGCACAATAAAAATTGAATTTTTTATTACAAAATATTTTTCTTAAAACAAGAAGTACGTTTCTTGTTTTAAGAAATAAAAGTCCTATCCTGCAATTCATTTTTAACAAAAAGAAATATATTTCTTGTTTTGAGAAATAAATTTCTTAAACTATGATCAATAGATTTACGATTTGCTGTGAGTTCTGATGAGTTGTTGGCAACTTTAAAAGAGTTTCAAAGTTTTGGAATTCAATTTGGTATTCAAAAAGTGTAAAGAAGTCTCATCCTTAGGCATTTTTTCAAACTATGACCTAGAATATTAAAAATTACCCAGTAGTCTGGTGAAATATACAACTCAAGACTTAGTAGCTGGTCTTTATCAATAAAAACTGCTTTCAGAAGGATTTCAGTTTTGATTCTATCTGCTTTTACATCATTTTGGACCTCTGCTTTTACATCTTTTGGATCTGCTTTTACATCTTTTTGGATATTGTGATCTCGGTCAAAAGATGCTAACGCCAGCACCCAACACATCTATGGTTTTACCATTACTTAAATTTCACCTCTGCAGCAGGCTCATTATGCATCTGCCATTAGTCTTGTTGATCTTAAAGGTTTAAACTAAAAATAATGCAATGTAGATAAAATAAGATTTAAATAAAACTGCTAAAAACTTATTACATTTGATTTTGACTAGACAAAATCAAAGTGCTATTTCTATTGATTTTATTTTTACTATATTTCTACTGATTTTAAGAAAAGTCTGTCTTTGGAAGAAAAAATTGGTTTACAATTGTTTTCTTTTAATTTTGCATCTCATTTTAAACCATTTTGCAAGTATTTGTTTTTAAACAATTTGTTGCTTTATGACATAAATTTTTCTTATAAAATAAGACTAAAATATCAAAACTTATGAAATTAAGTTTTGTTTAAAAATTGCAGAATTAGAAAAGTTACTGGTCAAAAGCCACAATGCCCTGGAAAGAGAAATGTGGTCAACCATTCTATTGATCTTTTTGAGTATTTTATTACTCAGAATAAAATATATAAATAAAACTGCCTGATTTTAGAGTAAAGCAACTTGAATTTTATGAAATTCAAGGCATGTGAAATAGCTCTATATTTACAAATTTTTACCTAATGGTCTGCTCTTTTCCTGCATTTGTATATATTTTTTACAAGTATATACTAATGTAAATAATTTTAAAATTAGAAATTTATACATTTTGATTTTGCAAAAAAGTATTTTAAAGTGAAGTAGTTATATTTACCTTACTTTTTTTTAACCTTTTATGGTTTTATATAAATAGTTGATTCGTCGGCTTAACAGATTTATTTATGGCTACGGCTATACAAAGCTCTCCGACATGATGGCAGGAGGTTATCAAGAATAATGGTCTGCCAGGAAACTTAGCTAATCTTGTACAAACCCCTTTTAAAAAGCCAGGGCTTGAAGTGAGTGAACTACATGATATCAAAAGCATCTAACAAATTTCTAATTGCTATGTATTAAGCCTCAATACTATTGTGTTTAAAAACCAAGAGGAGGAAACTAAATAAACTTATTTTATCTTTAAAAAACTACAAAAATACAAATTAAAAAATTAGAATGTTTTGAAAAAATATTTTGAATGCTTTTAAAAACATTTTGATATCATTTTACTTTAATTTTTTTGAGAAGGCTACTTGTCGTTATAACCCTCTCTCAAATGTATAACTCCGAAACATGAACCTTGACGAACAAGGCCACTGATATATATATATATATATATATATATATATATATATATATATATATATATATATATATATATATATATATATATATATATATATTATAAATGCTCATTTTCTTGCTTTTGTATTAATTTTTTACCTTCTTAATTTAATTGTCTACCATTGAATGGAATAATTCAATAATGTCATATTTGTGTTAGTACTTCTAACAGTTTTTTTTTTTCAAACAAGGTTCAAAAATCATTGTAAATCTTCATCGAAAATCATTGTGTACCTTGTATAGCAGCTGAGCTTGAACATGATTTATAATTGTTGTTATTGTTGAAACTTTTTCTACAAATTATTATAAACTTATTTCTGTGTGACATCTCATTTCTGTGTGACATCTTATTTCTGTGTGACATCTCATTTCTGTGTGACATCTCATTTCTGTGTGACATCTCATTTCTGTGTGACATCTCATTTAATGAAGTGATTGCTTATTCTTGCTCCAAAGAATTTTCCCCATTTTATGATTTCTTTGTATATTTTAGTGATACATATAATTTGCAGTTGTAAACTTTTTTCCCACTAACTTTTAACTAAAATAGTGGCAGCTTTTTCCTTATTAATCTTTTTTTTTTTTTTTATGTAAAAATTGTATAAATTTGTAAAATAAATAATTGATTTAAAGTTATTTTTCAAATTACAATCTATTAACTATCTACTGCTGTAATTGTAAAAAAAAAATGTTCATGATGTTTTAATTAAACTTTTTGTTAGTTAACATCCCTGGTATTGTTACTCAACAAAACTCAGAAGGAATTTCTTTTAAATGGCTACCAAATAATCAGAGAGCAATTAATGTGTCATGTGTTACTGATTGTGAAATTATTAAAAGTAATCAAAATGAAAATTTAGATGATAAAATTAACAACATTAAGGTATAATTTCTAAATAAATGTTTTTATAGTTATCTATATAACTTCATTTTGCTGTTATTATCATTTAATTTCATTTTATTTTTTGTAGTTAATTAATGGGTTTATACTTTAATTAATTTAATTTGTCATTTTATGAAAATATAAGTTTATTAAAAGAGTTGATTTTTTTTTAATTGCTTCAATAAATCTAATATTACAATTTGAAAATAATGTCTACCAAAAATATTAGACACCTTAGTGTTATTTTTCTATTTATATTTTTTTTAATTTTATTTTTAAAGAAAGAAGTCATAATCTATGACAAGTTGGTGGGTGAAGCCAAGGAGTTGACTGATTTTTACTCTATATTTGAAGAAACAACTAAATCAAGTTCTACAGCTTTTGATAGTAACAAAAAAAAATTTGAACAACTTTTTAATCTTCTGAATAAAGATATAAATGGAGATTTTTTTAAAATTGAAAAATTTGAAATAAATGCAAATGTAAGTGAAAATGCTAAAAAGATTGAAAATTTAAATAATTACTTGAATTTTATTTGTAAAATATAAAGTTTATTTATTGATAATTAATAAAATTGTTTAATATATATGCAATATCAAAAAGAAATAAAAATTGCTCATTAAGTATAGAAGTGATTTTAATTGTTAGGTAGCAGATATTATGGTGCTTGGGTCCAATTGTGTTCAAAACTTCAAAGCTACTTATACTATGTTTAATCAGCCAAAAGAATTTTCATTCTGTCAGTGTTTTAATGGAGAATATGCAACCTACTTTGCAAATAGTAAATTTTTTGTATTCATTAAAACTTTTTTTATTGTGTGTTATTTATTATGTTATTTTTTTTTTAAGTTTGTTATTATTGTATAGCTGTTTATTATATTTATTTTGTTATTATTGTTTAGCTGTTTATTATTATTTATTTTTGTTTGAATAAAAAATAGAATAATTAAAAAACTGATGTAAACAATAATATATATAAATAATATATATATATATATATATATATATATATATATATATATATATATATATATATATATATTCATATATATATATATATATATATGTACAAATAATTTTAAAGGTATTGTACAAAATAGAGTGTCCAATTTTTTATCTCAATAGTTTTTCACACAATTGGTTTAAATTATTTCACAAATGAGGAGATACCACTGCATTCTAATCTTTGTTATCAATTACTTGATTTTTTTGAAAAGGTGACTTGTGCCGCTTTTAAAATAAAGATAGCACATTAACCCAGATATATGTAGATATCCCAGATAGCACATTAACGTTGGCCCAACTTCAGATCAACGTTGAAAAATTTGTTGGCCAATGGTTGGCAACTGACGTCGTCACAACATGGATATGAAAGTCAGCGTAATGTCACTGCCAACCATTGGGCTTATGTTGGCCCAACAACGACATCTGACGTTGGGCAAGCATTGCATTCCAATGTTGGACCAACGTAATATTATTGTATATAGGAATCTTTACAATTTTGATTCATTTGGCAAGCACGTGTTTATTGTTTTTTATGTAATGTTCATTAAAACAAATACATTGATTTTTTTTTCCTCCAAATAAGTTTAAATAATATTTTTTCGTAATAAACGAAAATTGATTTTTATCCTGATAAATGAAGCAACTTGATTTCATAATAACACAGAAAACCAAATTTGTTGTAATAATCAATATATTAACATTAAAATATTCGTACAAATTCTACACATATTAAAAAATAATGTTTTTTTTTGACTGCTTAGCATCCTTATGAATTTTGAGTCTTTAATTTGCTTGAGAGGAATATTCGAAGTAGTAGAAAATCACTTAGCAAAAAAAAAAAATTTTTTTTTGTTCTTAAATGATTTTCTATTATTATTATTATTATTTTCTATTATTATTATTCGATATACATTAAGCACTCTATTTTGTAGAATGCTTTTTAAATTGTTTAAGTATATATATATATATATATATATATATATATATATATATATATATATATATATATATATATATATATATATATATATATATATATATATATATATATATATATAGATATATATACACACACACACATATATATATATATATATATATATATATATATATATATATATATATATATATATATAATTATATTATATATATATATATATATATATATATATATATATATATATATATATATGTATATATATATATATATATATATATATATATATATATATATATATATTTAATTAATTTAATTTTAATTTTAATTCAACTCCTCAAGGCCGAGAAGGCCACTACAGACGAGGAGGCTACTTATTTGTGGTTATAACCCTCTCTCAACTCTATAACTTCGAAACACGAACCTTGACAAACAAGGCGGCTGAGCGGAGAAACGAGTTGAGCGTGGTACTACCAGGGACATGGTGGGGATCGAACTCGGAACCACTCATTTATGAAGCGAGCGCTCTACCACTATACCACTACCGCATCTACAACTACACCACTACCGCATATATATGTGTGTGTATATATATATATATATATATATATATATATATATATATATATATATATATATATATATATATATGTATATATATATATATATATATATATAAAATAGTATCAGAGTAAGAGAAGACTTCTACTGATTTTATTTATATATATATATATAAATAAAATCAGTAGAAGTCTTTAATGCAACTTTAATATAATTTGCATCTTTAAGAAATAACAAAATATTTAAAATATATGTACATAATACTATATACAAAAAATGTAAAAAATAATATAATCAAAATGATGTATTACCTGGATAAACATGAAGACAAAAAATCTATTTTTTTTTTGAATCAAATCTGAACAGAAAATTATTGAATAATAGTATCACTGCAAACATAAGAGTTAACTTGCAAAAAAATTCCTTTATTCAAATACTAGTAGAAATCAAACTAAAAAAGAATCATTTTGAGTCTGTTGTGAAATAATTTTCATAAAGATCATTACCATTTTAACTTCATACAGGAAAATTTTTTCTTGAATTATCACTTTCATATACATTGTCATTATAACAAACAATTCAAAAATCATTAGAAACATTAGTGGATTACAAATTAATTTTCTAACTATAACTTTCAACATAAATTTTTTTTATATTTCTATCAGCTTGATTTGTAACTCTTCTTCAATTTGTTATAATCAGCCATGAAATTTCGGTATAGAATGTTAGCTGAAAATGTATTTATATATTTAGTAGCCTAAAATTGTTTTTTGATTCTAATACTGTTTAATATAATATATTCAATTCTTACTTAATTCTATTACAATATTATTAATGTTAATAAAATAATAATAATAAAACCATCTTATCATTAGACAGTAAAATATTTAAAGTTTTTTAAGGATAATTTAAATTCAAATCAACAGATGCTTAAATCAATTCAGATATTGCAATGAAAATGATATTCAGAAATAATAATAAAGTATAATGATTTTGGCCTAGAAAAATCTTTAAAAATAAAATAAAAGTATTATCTTGCATCAAGACTACATAAATTGTAGTCTTGATGCAAGATACGGTAGCTTTATAAAAGCCTTATAGCAAAATTTTGTAGATTTTCCTGCAACCAATGCTGCTCCATGAGGGGACACCCTTTAGTTCTTGATAAATTATATTCTCTAAAAAAATGTAGATAAATTTATTTACAAGTTACGTAAACACCTAAAATATACATTTTTGTTGTATTTTGTACATAAAAAAATATTTTACTTATCATTCCATTTTATGTAAGAACCCTGTTTCCATTTTATGTAATAATCCTTTATCACAAAAAAAAAAAGGAAATAGAGTATTTTATATTTCTCTAAACAACAATTAGTGTTATTTCTTTTCACAATCATCTTGTCTCTTGATTTAATCTTTTTTGACTCTTTTATTGGCACTTCTTGTTGTAATATATAAATATGTATATATATATATATATATATATATATATATATATATATATATATATATATATATATATATATATATATATATATATATATATATATATATATATATATATATATATATATATATATTTTCCTCGTCATCATTAGTTCCACCTGCATGATGATCCCTATCGTATTTTAACCATGACTTTATAATATCTTCAATAATTGCAACATTTGCTTAAAGGCACTTATTCATTTGCATGGCAGTTGCTTAAAACAAGCTGAATAATATGTACGTAAATATACATTTATCAAAGAGTATATGAGTTATGGTCTCTATTCTAATTTTATTTCAATTACAAATAAACAAAATTCTCTAATTAAAAAAATTGCGCTAAAATAAAATAAAACAACATTTAAAAATGGCCGAAAACTATTTCAACATTAAAACCTGTAACACACTATATGCATTCTAAAATCGTTGTATTACGACGTTAGCCTAAAAAATTGCCAAACACTTCCGACGTTGGCCAACGTATGCATGCTAGCTGGAATATATATATATATATATATATATATATATATATATATATATATATATATATATATATATATATATATAGATATATAGATATATAGATATATAGATATATATATATATATATATATATATATATATATATATATATATATATATATATATATATATATATATATATATATATATATATATATATATATATATATATATATATATATATATATATATATATATAATATTGTTTTCACCAGTTTTTTAAAAGTTTGTAAAAAAAGTTACTGTTAGAATAAGAGCTCTGAAATCAACAGCACTAAAACAATAATGATAATAATTATGATGAGAGGGAATAACTTCAATATTTAAAGATTTGACACTGTGACATTAGTTGAAATAAATAACTTTCCTTTTATTATGTAAATCAGAACATTGTTAACTAACATTTAGTTTTAATTTATTTTTGCATTGTTTATAAAAGATTAAACTTATCTCAGGAAACAGGAAGATCTTTACTTTGGTTGAAATTTAGGCATCATGTTCGTAATTGCATATTGAAGCAATTTCACAAGGCAAGCATTGCATCAATTACTCTATTAGTTGTTGAAGTATGCTGGAGTAGCATTTGTGGTGATTATTAGTGATCATGTGAAATTAAAATATTAATATAAATTCATCCACAAGTGTTAAATCCATCATGGTTTTCTGGAGTATGACTGAGCTGGCTCGATGTAAGTTTAGAGTTAAACCTTCTAACCCTTTTGCTGTACAACGCATTGCATGTAGGTATGGACAGGAATGGTGATCTACGCTGTAACTGATCGCGCTTATAATATTTTTCTTTACAATTTGACCACGCCAGTTTTGATGTTTTAGCAATTTAAATGCCTATCTATATATATATTATCTATATATATTAACAATTATCATATATATTAACAAAATTAAATGTTTTAACAATTTAAATTAAAAAAAAAAGTTGTAACATTATAAATAACTTTGATTTTTTTTAAACCATTTTTTTTAAGCAACTTTTTGGAAAAAATACTTAAAATGTTTAAAAACGTTGATCTTTTCTAAAGTTTTTATTTTACGCAAAGACTTTGAATAAAATAAAAAAGTAATTATAGTGATTGATTAAAATTATTTTGTGGAAATTAACAAATAATGTTAATTTTAATTTTTTTTTAAGTAGGCATGTTTATTTTTATGATAAAATTTAAATATAATAGTTTGTTTAAAACTATTTTTCCATATCTTTCTAAAAATCTTTTGAAAGATAATTTTTTTTTTAATACTTTAAATTATGAATAAGTTAAATTAAATCTTCTGTTGCGATCGAATGATTTAATTGCCTTATTATTTTTGTTTTTATTTTTACAGAGAATTGTTTAAAAATTTTTAACTTGATTAATTAGAGCATGAATTGATTAAAAATTACTTATTTAAATAGACTACAGCATTTTTTTTAAATCATTTTTTTTAACCAACTTTTTGGAAAAATATTTAAAATGTTTAAAAATTATCTAAACATCTAAACTGTTGTGGTCAAGTTGTCAAAAAATAAAATCATTTGCCTGGTCATCAATAGCACTCAATTACATGCCATTCCTGTCCAAGCTTGATTGCATACAGTCTTTGAATATACCATTCATATTTTCACTAATTTCTAATAATGAACAAAAAAATAAATAAATAAAGCTTATTTAATAATTTACCCAAGTAAAGTAAGTTCCTTCTAGTCAGTCAGTTGTATATATATTGTATATATTGTCAGGTGATAAAAAGAATGATCTTTCAATTTTTTTGAATTGATTGAGGTCAAAGTAAAAATCATAAAATGCAAAATTTATTTTAATATTTAAAATTCAAACAGTTTATGCCTTAATGAACTGAAATAAAAAAAATGAAAAAGCTAGTAGAATTAATATACCCAATCATAAAAATAAATAGTCGATCCTGTGATCCTGAAGGTATGCTACAATTATATTCTAATATGAAGTGAAAATTGATTTATTTTTCCTTAAGCAAGTAATTTTTCAAAAGATATTGTGAGAAATTTAGTTGAATACCTTGTATCGTGGTAAAATTGATTTTTTTTAGTTTAAAATTTATTGTTTTACAATATTATAAGATTTTTATTTATTCCATTTTCCTCATAGTTTTACATATACTTTATCTATGGAAAAAAATAGTTTGCAAAAAAAAAAAATAGTATCAAAGGCTTCTGTTTTCAAATAGAACTTTTATATAAGTATAGTAAATAAAATGATTTTTATTAAAATATATCATTTATACTGTATTGTTTTATAAATATATGTCAAGCTAGTCACTTTTGTTACTACGTTGTAGTAGCAATTTTATTATTTTATTTTATCATTTTATTTTTTTTTTGTTTAGAGGTGGTTGAGAATTATTTGGGAGATGAATTCCCTAATCTGAAAGCATTCTATGAATTTCACGACAGTTATGTTGTAAAGCAAGAAGTGTATTATAAATCTTTAGAAGATAATTTAACAAATTTTTATGAAGTATGTTGTAATTTTTATTAGGGTAGTTTAAAATCTTTTGGTTATTTTTCTTTTTTTTTTTAGTTTTTATTGTTAAATAGTAATATAAAAATTGTTTTAGCAAGTTTGTAAGTACTTTAAGAATATAAACAATATTCTAATATAACACCAACACCATTTTCAGAACCCATTATTTAATTGACACTATAGTATGAATTGATTGTCATTGTCATGTTTGAAGGAGCTTTTAGGAGTGAAACAATTTTTAATTTAATGGTTTTTATATGGTAATAATTAACTTAATGAGAGCATTTCAGCTTGAAAAAGAGGAGTTTTTAAGAGTGAAGCAATTTTTAATTCTAACTCAATCGTTAACTTAATCAAAAATAGAGCTTTTAAGAGTAAAACAATTTTTATTTCTAAGTTAATGTTTTTTTTTTGTTTCATAATTCTTTAAAATTTCAACTAGAGATGGTGTCTTGATAAAAATATTCATCTTGGGCAGACGTTAAATGCATCCGGCTACTGTCTTGTAAAAGGCCTCCTAGGCAAAGACTTAAGGGGTAAACAGATTATATCTGTTGACCAGCCTTGCACCCCTTCTAAGAAGGAAGATGAAATAGATGAAGAAGTTCTTCATCTATTAGGCTAGCATAGATGTATTTATAACACATTATTTCCAGTTTAGGATATTGAATGCCGAATCTTCTTGACTCAATGTGTTTCTGTTTTTATGACTAGGCAACTCATTCTATTATCTCCTAAAGAGGGTACAGTTATAAAACTCAGTTTTATGGTTCTAAGGTTGGCTGGTAGTCAGGTTTCCTAAACTCTGAGCTCTCAGAGAGGCTAATTCCATCAACAGCTGTAAAATATCAGGGTACTAACAGTGCCATGTTGTGCATGGTGTCCCTGTTCAGACTTTTGATGTGGATTGTCGAGGCCACCTATGGAGCCTTTTATTATGGCTAACAGTTTATTAATAATAATGAGGCAATTGCTTTGACTATTTAATAGTGTACTAAGTATTGTAATGTGTAATATCTTTGCTTTGAGTAAAGTTCTTTAACAAATTTAAAAATGACTAAAGTACCAAAAACTATAAAACACAAAAAACTATCGTCATCACCAAGTTCTCTGAATCTATAATTAACTAATATTCATGGTCTTTGAAGTAAACTTTGTTGAGTCTTATCATTTCCAAAGTTCACCAGACCTACTTGCTCTTTGTGAGACTAATTTGAGTTCGGCTATTGCATCTTGTGATCTTAGTGTTGATGGTTATCTTCTTTTAATTTGTAAAGGCTCCAATAGTAATATACTTGGCCTGGGCATTTACATTTGTAAGAATTGACCCTTTTGTAGGGAAACTAGATTTGAATCCACAGACTATTCTTTTGTTTAGCACCACTTCACTCTATCTTTCATCTCAATACTGCACTCTATTTGATGTTATTTCTGATCAAATTGAGCAAGCCCTCTCTCTTTTTCCTTCAGCCAATATTGTTGTTGTTGGTGACTTTAATGCTCATCACACTGAATAGCTTAGCTCTAGTGTCAGCAACACAAATAGTCAACTTTCCATCATGCTTTCCAGACATCCCAAATCATTTACCTTCTCTATTCGACTTATCTCTTATTTCTAATCCTAGTCAATGCTCAGTTTCTCCACATTCACCCTTTTGATCACGGTTTGATCTCTCTAAAACTATTATCTCATTATTCTGAGTTTAGTTTTTCTAAAAATACTTGGTATTTTTCTAAAAAAACATGGTATCAACAATAAAGTTAGGGTGGTCCTTAATTTTCAAAAAATGATTTTTGCATTAAGTACCCTTTGAATTTTGTTCATATGTATAAATTAAAACCACCCTAATTTTATTGTTGATACCATGTTTTTTTAGAAAAATACAAAGTATTTTTAGAAAAACTTGACTCAGAATAATGAGGTAATAGTTTTGGAGAGATCAAATCTCATTATTGCGTTCTATCTGATATAGCCAACAAATACGTTAGTCTATTGTCTGATTTTTGTATCACTTCAGCTTCTGTATTCAAAGGTTTGGACAATATACCTGATAAAGTCTTGCAGAAGTGTTCGGAGCTGTCATCTATACTTTCAAAACTATTGAACAAGTGCTTATCAGAGTCTTGTTTTCCATCCTGCTGAGAAGCAGCATTTGTTATTCATATTTTCAAAAATTCTGGAGAGCAATTTGACTTGTTTAACTACTGTCCCATTAGTCTTCTTCCTATCATAAGAAAGGTTTTTGAATCTTTAATTAACAAACACTTAATCTCTCATCTCGAATCTCATAACCTACTTTCATCAATATGGATTTCAATCTTCTTGTTCTACTCCTGATTTGTTAACAGTAATAACTTATAGGTTTTATTGTGCATTAGATAAATGTGGAGAGGCTAAGCCTATCACTCTTGAAATTTCTAAAGCGTTTAATAAAGTTGGGCATGCTGTTCTTTTCCATAAGCTTTCTTCTTATGGTGTATCAGGTAACATCTTTAAGATTATAGAATCCTTCCTTACCAATTGTAGTATAAAAGTTGTCCTCTATGGATAGCACTCTTCTTCATATCCAGTAAATTCAGGGATTCCTCAAGTTTCTATCCTCGACCCTATACTCTTTTTAATTTGCATTAAAAATCTTCATGAAATTCTCACATCTAAGCTGGTGTTGTTTGCTGATGATACTACCATTTATTCTTGTCTTGTTAAAAAGACAACACTCACTGATTGCTTTGAGGAGCATTTGAGCTTGAAAAGGATCTCACTCCTGCTACAGCATGGGGCTCACAGTGGCTGGTGAACTTTAATTCAGATAAAACTCAATTTTTTTAGCCAATTGTTATTGCAACAATATAGATCTTTCTTTATTTATGAATGGTAATGTACTCTATGAGTCATCTACCCTTCATCTTCTAGGATTAACTCTTCCTATCTTGGTTGGAAACCATACATCAAATCAATTACAAAATTAACATCTGCTAAGGTTGCATCTGTATATTGTGCTGGCTACTTTCTTACTCTGGGTTCTATTCTTTATCTTTACAAATTTCAAACCTGTCCTTGTATTGTATAATGTTGCCATATCTGGGGCAGATCTTACAGTGATGCTTTCTCTTTTAGACAAGATGCAAAAACACATTATAAATGTAATTGGACCTGCGCTTGCAGCTTACCTCCAACCATTATCACATCATTGTAATGTCTCTTTTCTATAAATACTATAATGGGTACTGCTCTAAAGAGTTAGCGTCTCTTGTGCTATCTACTAAAATTCATAGTAAATTTTTATGTATAAATATCTTGGCAGCATAATAAAAATCTATCAATAAAGCATATATATATATATATACATATATATATATATACAAATATATATATACATATATATATATATATATATATATATATATTAGGTTCACCAGAAAGAAATCCATTATTTACAAAAGCTCTGTTGCTTGCCGTTAAACATTACTATAGAAATAAAACACTTGTGATGATGTTCACTTCATGGTGTGCAGAGGCATTCTCAAATAAGGCATGGAAAAAAATGAATTTTTTTCTTATATATATATATATATATATATATATATATATATATATATATATATATATATATATATATATGTATATACATATATATATACATTTATATATACATATATATATATATATATATATATATATATATATATATATACATATATATATATATATATATATTTACATATATATATATTTATATATACATACATATATATATATATATATATATATATATATATATATATATATATATATATATATATATATATATATATATATATATATATATATATATATATATTTACATATATATATATTTATATATACATATATATATATATATATATATTATATATATATATATATATATATATATATATATATATATATATATATATATATATATATGTATATATATGTATATATATATATATATATATATATATTTACATATATATATATTTATATATACATATATATATATATATATATATATATATATATATATATATATATATATATATATATATATATATATATATATATATTGTATATATATATATATATATATATATATATATATATATATATATATATATATATATATATATATATATATATATATATAGGCACACACACATATTTTGAGTTATTCTTTTTTTTATAGAAATACGGAAATGTTCATGAAGAAGAAGTTGAAGAATCTCCTAGTCAGCGTTTTACTGTTCAATTTAATGACTCGTTACTTGACTCAAGTGAAGTTTTGAAATTTCATACAAAGAAACTTTATTTGCCACTGCTAACCCAAAGCAAACGTGGTCTTTTAGATGAGAATCATTATGCAATAACACGCAGTATTAAAACAAGAAAAGCATTTTTGTATAGTTCTCCTTGGGCAGCTTTAAGTGTTTTTGATCTTGAAAACTCATTAAAAGGAGCACAATTAGCTGTTCGAGCTCTGCCAACCAATAGTAAGAAGTTAAACATTTTTTTAACTGAAAAATAAAAAAAAAGAATAAATATGCATATAATAGTTTAATAATTTATTATATAAATAATGAAACATTTTAAATCCCACATTTAAAAACTTTAATAAAAAAGAAGAGATTAAAAAAAAGACAATTATTACAAAAGTGAAAATAATAAAACAAAAACATAAATCTATTAAACTTATAGTCCTTACAGGAGGATTGGGAGTCATTTCACACTTTTTCAACCATTGAAACAAAATAAAATGATAAAATTTTAGAGTTTGTTCAACAGCACTCAAACAATTGATTCAACCAATTTACAATTCAAAATGGATTTTTATGTAGCAGATTTAGCTGTCTGTATGTTTTATAATAATTTATCTGCAAATAAATTTAACTAGGCAAATTAAATTCTTGTTAAATTGTGACTGATATTATGCAACTACAGAACCATTAATGATACTCAACTGGTAAAGGTTGAAGGAACCGTAAAATGTTTTCAGATTTAGCTAATTTTTTGTGCAAATTTTTAATTTATACATATGAACAAAATTCAAAGGGTACTTAATGCAAAAATCATTTTTTGAAAATTAAGGACCACCCTAACTTTATTGTTGATACCATGTTTTTTTAGAAAAATACCAAGTATTTTTAGAAAAACTAAACTCAGCAATCAACAGTTTGTGAGATTTAAAAGCTGAAAATAATATAAAAACAGCTTTATGTTAGGCCTAATCAACACACACTTAAAAAATGTTAAAAGAAATAAAGAAATTCAAATAAAGTAAAGAAAATCAAAATGAAATAAAGAAAATTTATATATATTTAAATAAATATTAGGGTGGTTCAAAAAACATTTTTTTTTAAATAGTGTGCTGCTCTTAATTAAATTTGTTCTACATAATACAAAAACACTAGGCTTAAAATTTTAAATTTGACAGGTTTCTAATATTTTGAAAAAAAAAGTTTTTCTAAAGTATGTCAACCTGGTACTCAAAAGAATCGAAATTATATAAAACCTTTAAAAATAGTAATCAATTTACTTAAAAAAACATGTTTGAAAAAATTATTTAAAAAAAAACATGAAAATATTGACTTTTTTAATGTAATTAAAATTTTAATTTCAGTTTTTAGGCAATTTAATATGAAAAAATTATTTTTATGTAAATTGATTATTATTTTTAAAGATTTTATATAATTTTGCTTCTTTTGAGTACCAGGTTGACATACTTATCTGTGTGTGCACACATAAATGCATAATATGCTAAAAATATAAAAACATTACAAACTTAACATATACAAAATTTTAGAATCTCACTGTCATGCAGTATCAGAATCTGGAAATCAATATATTGGATTGTACTCAAGTATTCGCTCAATTTCTGACTCGTATAGTCAGACTAAAGACCAACTAAGTTTAATACATCAATCAATGCGGAACGAAACTAATGTTTTAAAGAGATACACAGGTATGTATCGTTGTTTTTTAATTGATAATTTTTAAATGGAGGAATTGTTGAGTTATCATCTTAGCATTAATTTATATCATCTTACCATTTTTTTGAGCAAATATTTATTATTTTTTATCTTTATTTTGTTCATACCTTTTTTTTTTTTTTAACAAAGTTTTATTTTTAATTAAATTTTTAAAGTTGGCTCATCAAGTGAAACAAAGATTGATCAATTGTATTGGATCAGACAGTTAGAACGAGGTTTTTTATATTTCAGTATTAGTTAAAAACTATGATGTAATTTAGATTTTATTATTTAGTAATTAAATATTTAAAACATTTTGTTTGAAATCATTGTTATAGGTACACAGCTCTTTTATGATTTAATGCAAAAAAAACTTTCCACATACAGTTCTCATGCATTAGCTGCATTCAAAACAAAATTTGAGCGTGCATTAAAACGAAATGGTTTTCTAAATATTAGCAGATTTATAAAAAAATTAAAGGAGCAGGTACAAACAGCATCAAGATCAGTTAAAAAACAAACAAGTGGTATGGCAGCAGTTTCAAGATTGTCAGAAGTGAGTTTTTTTTTGTTTACCTTTTGAGAGCTTTTGAGGTTTGAATAGTTAAATATTTGAGATCATTTATGAAATAACTAATTATTGTTCAATAATTCTTGTTTGTCTATTATTCTATTAGTAAAAATATATTCTATTAGTAAAATATATACCATATAAAGTAAATAAAACATGTATTATAAAATAAAATATGTATAAAATAAAGTAAATAAAATATGTTTTTTAAAATAAAATATGTATAAAATAAAGCAAAATAAAATTTATATTATAAAATGAAGTATATTTAAAATAAAGTAAATAATGTATTATAAAATAAAATATATTTAAAATAAAGTAAATAATGTATTATAAAATAAAATATATATAAAATAAAGTAAATAAAATAAAATATATACCATATAAAGTAAATAAAATTTATATTATAAAATAAAATATGTATAAAATAAAGTAAATAAAATATGTGTAAAATAAAGCAAAATAAAATTTATATTATAAAATAAAATATATATGAAATAAAGTAAATAAAATATGTATTATAAAATAAAATATATATGAAATAAACTAAATAAAATATGTATTATAAGATAAAATATATATGAAATAAAGTAAATAAAATAAAATATATACGATATAAAGTAAATAAAATTTATATTATAAAATAAAATATGTTTGAAATAAAGTAAATAAAATATGTATTACAAAATGTGTAAAATGTTGTATTTTATTTGTAAAAATTATTTAATAATCTTGTTTAATACTTATTGTTATTAGTAAAAACTTGTTTTTTGGGGTGTTTTTTTTTGGTTTTTTAATATATGAAAAGATTTTTTTCAGCATCAAGTTTTAATTTCTGTTTTTCCAATTTCGAAATTTTTATTTTTGATCATTGAGTTTTAATTTGCATTGGTTGGTCCAGTTGTGTTTAACTTGAATGGGCAGCTAACCTTATAGTTTTGAGTCATTAACAAGTAATTTACTTGATAATGAAATTTCTGCAAGATCATTGATATTGATAACAAACAGCTGGCACCAATATACTGACCCTTGAAAAATGTCACTTATTTTGTCCACTAATCTTAATCTTTGGCACATGCAGATGTGCCAAAGATTAAAGATTAGTGGACAAATGACACTTTATGACAAAATGAGGTTCGCTATCAAATTTGTACTTTCAAAATTTATCTGCTAGTGAACCAAATGTCATAAGAACTTCTTTCTTATCATAGGCCTGTTGCAATTACAACAAGAGTTTTTTCCAACGTGATCATATTTTTTAAAAAAAAAACATTTAAGTATTGTTTATTTAAAGTTTATATTGCATCCAAAGTCAAGAAAAAAAAAAAGTACTTGCAGATAATTCAATAATGATATTGATGAGCTTAAGATTTAGGGGGTAAATTTGAGTTGAAGGAGTTAGAGGATTGTTTCTAGATTGTAATGACTTCTATTAAAATATAAATCAGGCCTTATATGATCACCTTTTTGAAAATTTGATGCTTATGAGTCAAACACCTTTATGACAATGATTAGATGTTCCATTTACAACAGAATTAAAAAGATCGAATTTCTTGAATGAACGCACTTCATTTACTACGATAGAAGTCAATATAATAAGCAACATATTTTTCAAAAAATGTTTTTACTGCTCTTGGATTAACATTTTTTAACATTACAAATATATCCAGGTAGTGTGACCTGTTTATAACATCAGCATAGATCTTCTCCAGTATTCTCCCGGACTTGCTGATATTTTTTTTTTTATCTCCCTCGTTATTCCTAACATCTAGGAGATAGTGATTTTTTTTCATGTTCAAAATGGTTTTAATTTAGATCTGTTTATAGTTGAAAAATTAGTTAAATTAGATAAAAAGTTACTATTATATATATACAATACTAAAGAACAATTTACTTTTCTTTCTACTTGATTTTCAATTATCTAAAATTTATATTAGAAGAAGAGTTGTCAAAATCAAGGAGGCACAATAGAAGAATAGCCAATATCAAGGAGGCACAAGAAAAATCTATACGTAGAGTCCATAAGATTCAGTATATTTGTCATTTTAGACAGGAAAAAAATGCAACACAGGTTTACATCTACGCCATCCTAATATATAAAGAAGGGTTGCTGAGCTGTTAAACAGAAATTTTCTGCTTGCCCCTAAAAGCTTTGTCTAGGAGGCCTTCTACAAGCTAGTAGCTAGATACAATTGACATCTGCCCAAGATGAGTATTTTTATTAAGACTCTATTTGTAAAGATTTTGCACGAACCACTGGTTTAAGATCTTTGTTCACTTTAAAAGGAAGATTGTTTCCTCTTCTTGCAAGTTTTTTATTTGTGCTGTCACCAACAACAGATAATTTCACATAGCCTGCAATTTTGTCAGCGACGTTTTAATTAAAATTAATTAAAGTGTAGCGATTTTGCTGTTTTCTTTTGTTGCAAGGGTGACGAATACCATGACCGACTATTTGACAACGTTCTGAACAAAAATGATTTTTTTTTCTAAATAGAGTCTTTTCAGTTTCTTTGTAAATGAGAAGATTAAAAAATAACAGATTAAGATATTTTGTTTTAGTTTTAAAAAGCACAAGAGCAGGATCCACTAATTCATTTATCAATAAATTTTTTTTTTCAAGAGATTCTTTGTCTTCTGACATATCTGAAGCAGATCTGTTCTTCTATATTCTGAATTAAGTCTTGCTCTTTTAGTTGAAAGCTCATTTTAAAAAAAACAATTTTGAAAGCTCATTTTAAAACAAAACGTTTTTTTGTTGAGATTTTATGTAAGATTATTTTAAATTTTTAAGTTAATATTTTGACAAATTGTTTTAATTTAAATAAATTATCAGACGGTTGATGTAATTTATTGAGAGTATTTTATTTGAATTACAGCATATTTTGTGCCAATCTTTGTGGCAGGTTAATACCTCTTAAAAAAGTGATTATGGCACTGAAACAAAACTATCTTCAAAAAACACTTTCAGCAATCTCCTAGTTAAAGGAAATTAATTTTTGAGAAAAAAATCTCTTTATTATAGGCTTATAGTTTACAATAAAATTTTGAATTTCATTAAAATATAGTTGCTCTCAAAAGTTTACGTTTAGAACCAAAAACAAATTAATCGTACTAAATACGGCTAATTTGTTTTCAACTGTTTCTATCACATGTCAACTAACTGGAAAAAATGCTTTAAAAAAATCTGAGGTAAAATTAACTTTAATAAAAGCTTTTAAAAATAGAGCAATAAGATTACATTAGGAGAAAGAAAAAGTAGCAGTGTAAAGGAATATTAATAACCTCAGGACATTATTAAATTTTTTAAAATATTTATTTTCTTTAATTATTTTTCAGTTTTTTTAAAGTAATTTTGTTCGATTAATTTTTTCATTTAATTGTTTACCTGTTTTCATTTTAGGCGATTGTAGCTTTGTTTAGCAAGCCAAACCAGAAATTAGATTTAGTTGCTAATCGTATCAAAGAGATGGAAAAATATGTAATGAATATTAATGGAATGGTTCGCACCTGTAAACATTAATGATTGTCATAATTGTCTCTTTATCTTTTTGATGACGGACTTTTATCCCGCCCCAAAGTTTTATCCCGTTCCAAACTTTATTTTACAGCCCCTATTATAAATGCTGTAATATATAATATTTTTAAATATGTAATATTTTTAAATATATAATATTTTTAAAGGAAATAAGAAAACATAATCATAAGTTTTAAAAATTAGTTTTTATTTAACGATTGTATTTTATTCTACTTTATTATTTTATTTATTATTTTGGTAAAGTTAAACTAGGCGCTTTGTCTAACTGTATTAAAGTTAATGATAAAATCTTATATGCCCCAAGCGAGATAGCTGATAGCAACTAAATAAGCATTTTAATTTAGCGGGGCCTAACTTGGCAAAAAAATAATCCATATTCTTATAATACTTTTGAATTTTTACCTCAAAAAAACAACAAATTTTAATTGCATTAAATGTCTTTTCAGGAATTTGAAGTTGCTTTTAAAACGATTAAACCAAATAAAGCAATAGTATTCGACGATATCGACGGAAACGTCGTTATAAATTCTTTCAATTTTATTAAAAGTATTATGTTTAAAATCTTTTCGTCTCGCGTTAGCCAAGGAGTTTTCCCTGATCAACTTAAAATTGACAAAATAACACCGATATTCAAAAGAGGGGATGCAAATAATGTATATAACTATAGCCAAATCTCTGTTCTTCCAGTATTTTCAAAAATTCTAGAGAGAATCTTATATAACAAAATCAACTCTCATCTTTCTGTAGATAATATTTCATTTAATAATCAATATGGTTTAAAAAAAAATAACTCCACCGAGCATGCAATACTTCAGTTTACACGTAGTATTAACGAGTCGTTTAATAAATCTGAATACATACATTAGGAACTTTTATTAATTAATCAAAAGCTTTTGATACATTTGACAATTAAATTCTTAATAAAAAGCTCAAATTATATATATATATATATATATAAAAAGACGTTTTAAAATGGGTAAAGAGTTATTTAAATGATTTACTCAATATGTACATATTGACACCATATCACCAAAAACGTTACTAAGCATTACTTGTGGCTCGACACAAGGTTCTATACTCGGACTTTCTCGGATTTTCTTTTAGTTATATATGTCACAGATCTCCATTAAGCATTCAGCCTGAGAACAATAAAGTTTGCTACAAACTTTTTAAAAGTATTGGAATATTATGCAAATCAAAAAGCTATTTAAACATGCGAACTTTAACGCAACTGTATTATTCACTGCCATATCAACTATGCAATTATTGCATGGGGAAGTACTAACAAAAGTAACAACAACAACAAGATATTTATTTTCCTTTTTAAATCATACAATAATATTATAATTATAATAAATATAGTAATAATTAAAAAAAAAAATCATAATTCTATTGATTGTAGTAAGTAAAAATAATTGATTAATAAAATATATAAATAATATTAATATAAAATAATACAATAATGAGTAAATTAGTTATATGTATTTAATAATAATAACTATATGATTGATAAGGATGGTGTCACTCAAACAGAATTATAATATAATATGATTAATAATAATCATACACACATAGAACATACTTAAACTAAGTAAGCATTTAAAAATCAATTTTTGATGATAATAATAAAAAATAATCAAACAAAAAGTTAATGATAATAGTTGTAGTTATCATAGTTTAAAAAAATAAGAGTATATTTTAAATATTAAGTGAAAATCATATCAATAAGTTAGAACAAAATTGTTCTCAGAATTTTTTTAAATTGATTTTGTTTATGATAAAAGACGATAAAAGTGTTATAAAAGTGAAGATATCAACTTTTTGATGTGATAGTTGCCATTTTGACTCCAAATTTGACAACAGTAACTAAAATGTGAAAAACAATCCATAGTAAATATTTTTTAGTGTTGATTAATTGACATAATGACGATTTATTGAAAGTACACCGTGAGCTTGAGTTAGTTTCTTGCGTAGCTCATCAATATGAAAGTTCCACGAAAGATTGCAGTCAATCAAAACACTGAGATATTTAATAACTTTTGTAGGATATAACCATTTATTATTTATTTTGATTTGAATTTTAGAATTGTTGTTTAGATTGTGTTTTTTTCTAGAAGATGAAAAAAAGATTAGTACAGTTTTTTTCGGCGTTTAGACATATTAGGTTAGCATTTAACCAGTTAACAATACCTTTTAGATCGAATTTATGTTTTTACATAGAGAATTATACAATTTTTTGGTGTGCAATAGGTTTGTGTCATCAGCAAATAGATGAATTGACGAGAAGGGAATTGAGTTGTTTATGTTATTAACATAAACTAAAAACAAAAGAGGACCAAGAACAGAACCTTGAGGAATACCGCATACAACAGGTTCATAAGTAGAATTAAAACTATTAATACTTACAAATTGTTTCCGATCAGTAAGATAAGATCGAAACTAGTCACTTACAACACCACGTATACCATAGTGTTTTAATTTAGAAATCAAAATGTTATGATCAACGGTATCATAAGCTTTTTGTAAATCTATAAAAATACCACAAACAAAATGACCAGTGTTGAGAGCTTTTCTAATTTTTTCAGTTATACTTATTAATGCATGGCAGGTAGAATGTTTTGAACGAAAACCAAATTAAAATTCATTTAAACAGTTAAAAGAATTTAAAAAAGAGTGCACTCTAGGACTCATTAGTTTTTCAAGAAGCTTACTAATGTTAAATAAAAGAGAAATAGGTCTGTAGTTAGTACATAAAAGTTTAGAGCCGTTTTTAAATATTGGAATAACACAAAATAATTTTAAAACATTCAGAAAAGTTCCATTTATGAATGATATATTAAACAGTTTAGAAAGAATATTTGAAAATTTATATTGTTTGTGGCAATGCTATTTGGGCCTATTGATTTTCTCGGCTTCAAATTAGATATAAGAGATAAAACTTCAGGAATATTTGTTGGAGATAGGAGTTGACTTGTAAATGTAAATTTGGATACTTAAGATATTTTGTTTAGTTTATGTAAGACGAATGAATAATGGATTTAAGTTTTTGCGCAACGTTTGTAAAAAAAGGGTTAAACTTTTCAGAGATAAGATTTGGTTTAGTTATATATAATTCATTATCTTGTAAACAGTGGGAGATGAGTGATTAGAGTTTTTGACATAATTGTTATTTCCTTTCCAAAATTCGCGAAGATTTTTTACATTTTCTGTAAAGAACTTTTTTAAATGCATTTTTTTACTAAGCTTAGTTAAGGTAATTATCATGTATTTATATTGTTTGAAAGTAGTTTTAAATGTGTTTATGCTCCTAATATCTTTTGATCTTAACATTTTTTTTTTAAAAAAAAGATTGCGTATTTGAATCGATTTAAAGATTCCTTTTGTAATCCAAGATATACATCGACGCTTGAAGTTCTTAATACAAATTTTTTTAAGTGGCGTGTAGCGATTCAAAATCAAGGTTGTTTCAGAAATAAACGTTTGGAAATAAGAGTTAACATCACTGTTCTCTATCAGATTATCCCAATTAATTTGTAATAAATCTGATTTGAGGTTTATTTTATTGAAGTTTACAAAATTGAGGTAAGTGATCAGAAATTGAAGTTTTCAAATTTCCTGAAATAATTTCATTAGTTATTAAATTAGAAAAAATATTGTCAATGATTGTAGTAGAGTGGTTAGTAATTCTGGTTGGCAAAGTGATAAAAGGGCGAGTATTATAAAAAGAAAGTAAGTTTAAAAAATCAGACGTTGCAGTGCCATTATTTGATTGTATCAGATCAATATTATAATCACCTAGTAGAAAATCGATTTATTTTAAGCATTTATTTTTTGAAGTAGGACAGACATGATACTTCAAAAAATAAATGAAATAAAGCAACCTAAGTATAAAATGAATAAAAGTAAAGCTAGCGCAATAAAAAAAAACATGCCAATAGATAAACTAAACATTAGGAAATACTTTTTCTTTTAATTAAAAGATTGTCTGTCCAAGCTAAAACCCTCGCCATTGTATTTATACTACACTGTGCCTATCCTTAGATAAGCAGTCAATATGCATTACGGTGTGCATATCCTTCAAAGGTCAGTTAAAATAAGTACTGCATTAGTACTCCACTGCGCTAGTTTAATTTTAAAGTTTCAAACAGTGATTCCCAAACTTTTTTGTGTCGTAGACCCCTTGCTATGTTTTTCTGTTTTGGGTAGACCCCCAACTTACCTGATATTGATTTTTCGTTAATTTTTAACTGTAGTAAAGTTTAGTTTTAAAAATGTCAAGTAAAAACACATGTTAAGTTTTATACATTTGTTAATTGCATTTAAATTAAAAATACTCAAAATAAAATTGTGTATCTGTATACGTAACATAAAATAAACACAAAAAATAAACTCAGCAACTAAGCAATAAGTAAATTTTTTTTGTGAGAACGATGAACCTGATCCTTTAATAATGAATTATCAACATTTGGCGCCAACTTCATAAGGTTTAATCTTAAATCTCCTCGGCTAATGATGTCCAGTCTGTTTCTTTTTTTCGTTAGGAGATCCGTAACAACACTGAATCCTCTTTCCACTAGGTATAAGGATAGAAAGGAAATCAAAAATTTCCTCGCTATATTCCATAATACAGGATAAGTAAAGGGTATGATGTTTTGCATCCAGAATTGCTGAAATCCGTTTTTAAACTGAACCTTACGTTCTTCGTTTGTACTTAGTGCAATCAGTTCCTTTTTTATTATGGCATTTGTTTCTTCTATCCAACCATATGGGTTAATTATCCACGATGGTATTACCATAATCAAAACATCCTCAAACCTAGTTTCGAAATCTGAATAGAGGGCATTTAAATGTTGAAAGTAGGTTGATTCGTCTTCCGGACAGTTTATTTGTGACAAACTGGGGAATTGGGAAAGGTCGCCCCGTCCAATATTTTGATTCATTAGTTTAACTCTGGCTGTTAAGATAGATTTTGTTTTAACCAAATTTAGATTGTCGCCTTGTAACTGCAAGTTAACCATATTAAATTTTGTAAACAAACCTGTTAAATAGGCAATGTCTGTTTTCCATTTTATGAAATTGTCTTTTAAAATTTTATCTTTAGTATCCAAAAATTCTAAAATAGTCTCAAAAAGTCCAAAGAATCTTCTCAAACAAGCCTTTCGATAACCAGCGTACTTCAGTGTGAAGAGGTAACTGATGAAAGTGTTCGTCATTTTCTTCACACAGCTGCGCAAATAATCGCGTATTCAACGCGTTGCTTCGGATTCGGTTTACTGCATGAATGACTAACTGAAGAGATTGATGAAATCTAGCGCTCAAATTTTTAGCAACTAAATGTTCCCGATGGATGATGCAATGTATTGGTAACACCCCTGGCACATTTTTTTTAAATAGCTTATAAATCCGCGATAACGTCCAACCATGGCAAGTGCTCCATCTGTAGCTACTGATATGATGTTTGATAAAGGGATTACTTTTACAATAAAGTAATCCTTCAAAACATTAAATATTGATTCACCTTTAGTATCGGTTGTCAACGTTCTTGCGAAGAGCAGTACTTCGTGAATTTCTTGATTCATTATAAAACAAACATATGCCAATAATAATGCTGCATTACCAGGTAAAGTTGACTCGTCCAGTTGTATAAAGAAATGTATCGTTTGAAAATAATTACACAAGAAGCATTCAATATCAGAACTTATTTCATCAATACGCCTTTCAACAGTATTGTTGCTTAAGGGAATTCTTTTAATGATATCAGATGCAGGTTTGTGTAAAACAGTTTTTAAAACCTCTTCAACGACTGGCAAACTTAAATTCTCTCTGATAGTATGCGGTTATCCGGATTTTGCTATAAGTAGCGAAATGTTATAAGACGCCCGCAAACCATCATCGTTTCTTTGTGATGTCGAAGCGAACATTCTGTTAAGTGTGGGTCTATTCTGAAGTTTTACCTTTAAGTGTTTGAAAGTATTTCAAATCTTTATCTGTTTTATCAGAATGACATCTTTTCAGATGATCCTTCAGCTTAGATGGTTTCATAGCATCATTGCCCAAAATTTTGTTGCATAAAAGAAACATAGGCAATTGTTTATCCGTCAATGATGGAATGAAGCCAAACTTCAAATAATCAACACTGTACTGTCTACATTTCTTTTTACATTCGGGCATGGCATCAGTCATCTGTGGGCAAAATTATTCTATTTATAAGACATAAAGTTCAGCATTTAAAAATCAAATTCAACATTTAAAAATCAAAGTCATATTTAAATCGTATAGTCTTAGATTTTATGTTAGGCACAGGTGTACAGCCATTATAAATGAATGTCAAAACAATACTATGAATATTAGTTATGTAATGTACTTATGTAATTTTGCATGATTTAAATACTTAACTACCAATAACTGAAGTCATTATAAACGTAATTTATTTATCTTTGCTAACTACGATTACACAACTAAAATATAATAAAAAAATTTATACTTACTTTTCTTCGGCACTCTCAAACAAAATTACGCTGATTCACTATAATTTTATTAAAAACACAACCATATTATATCAATCACGTCACACACAGTCATTAAATTTTTTCTATTATTATAAAAACTCTTTCATTTCTCTTCTTTTTTCTATTATTTTAAAAACTCTTTCATTTTTCTTCTTCTTTGTGACTAAAAATGTCGTCGAATATAAAAATTTTAATGGCATTTAATTTCCAGTTGGAGAGCAACAACAGTTTAAAAAGTAATTAAATGTATTGTGAAAATGTTCGGTACTTTTATAACTTTTTTAAGCTAAGGAACTCAATTTTTAATGAACAAATGCGGGTAACAAGTTTAGTCAATCAGCTTTAGTCAATCAGTCACGTATGGTAGTGCTTTGTGCGTGTCTGCTCTGCCGCGATCATTTTACGGTCGCAATTAATTAAATTTAGTGAATCAGTGGGGGAGTATAATGTAAGTAAATAGGTACTATCAGTGTATGTTGAGACCACTATAGTGGACCCCCATTTTCATTTCATAGACCCCCAAATTTTTATTCCGCTGACGTAGATCCCTTGCAGGTTGTCATAGACCCCTGGGGGTCTATGTAGATCACTTTGGGAATCACTGGTTTAAAATCAATAATAAAAAATCTAATTGTTTTAAATTCCCTTTAATTTTAATAATCTTTACCTTTTTTTAATCAAACGTACGAATAGACTATAATTAAATACGCCTTCAAATCAACGCCTTTTAAGTTTGACTTTCTCCAGCGCGATCTTGAAATTTTCGAAAGTTTTGAAAGTTTCGTTTACGCATTTGGTCAAGTTTTTTTTTTTTAAGTCAACTTGACAAAGTCAGATTTCAAAGTTGAAGTCGAACTTCACTCAAGTTTGCTTCTTGCATTCCAACCTATATTGCTATCATATTATCTGTCTAAAATAGCTTTAAGAAATTTTTTGTAAATTTTTTATTTTTTTATTTAATTCTTTTTTCTTGATATGATTTATTATTCATTTATTTACGATCTGCAAGCCTATATTGCTGTTATTTTATCTGTCAATATTATCTTTAAGAAATTTTTTGTAAATTTTTTGTAAATTTTTTCATTTTTTTATTTCTGTTATTAATGCAAAATGCCCAACTTTTTTATTTACTACATGAAATATTTAACATGTAAATACGTAAAACGTCATTTTAAAGTAGTTCTCTAACGGTCTTTTATGAGTTTCCGCGTTATTTTTTTATTTTTTATATATATATTAAAAATCTTCACTTGCAATTGTTTAAATTATTATATTTTAGATTGTAAGTTTTATGTAAGAACAAAATAAAAAAAATAAAAAAACTTTCTTATTAGTTAACAATGTTTATATTTTATCAAGCATTATATTTCATCTCGTTATATATATTAACAACCAGGGCTGTGGAGTCGGAATCGGAGTTGCGACATTTTTAGCGGAGTCGGAGTCGCGATTTTGTTTAACGACTAAACAAAATCGCGACTCAGACTCCAATAGTAAAATTTCCCGGTATTACACGTGCATGTACAAAACATTCGATTAACCTTATGTTCATATTAAACTTTAAAGAACGTTTCTTAAATTTATCAAAAAAGCAATTTTTAACTTATCGCGTAATATTTTTTTAAGAGTTCAAAGAATTTTTCAAAAATTAAGCTTTGGAGTTGGAGCTGGAGTCGAAGTTGAAGTCGGAGTCAGAGTTGTGCTCAAAAAATTTCAACAACTGGAGTCGGAGTCGTTACTTTTTTTTACGACTCCACACCCCTGTTAACAACAAATCAAAATTATGTATTTTGGTTTGTAAATGCATAACAGTTTACCTAATTATCTCAGTCTAATATAATATTTGCATATCGTCGGTATACAAGGGAAATGCACTAATTACATCTCTCGTATGCATTACGAGATTTATTGTTATTGTATTGGTGTGATCAAAAGTAGTTACAATAACTATTGTATTATTTTTGTTTTGTGATGTAAAACAGTTAAAATAACTTTTGTATTGTAATGCTGGGATTAAAAACAATTACAATAGCTATTGTATTGTTTTGATGAATAAAATTACAGTAACTGTTGTGGTATATTGTATTACTATTTTAAAGTCCAATAGCTATTGTATTTTAGATTCTTTTTTTATGCAATTTATTATTATTTGCAAACTAGAAAATTCAGAGGAGCCCGTGACGTTCATTTTTAGATGTCATTTACATATATAAACTTTATTTATTTTGAGAAGTGAAGTGAAGCCAGGAAAGCCAAAGAAGTATATATATTACGTATACTTAATAAATATTAAATTCAGGGGCGCTCGTGGCACCCTTTTCTAGCAATTATTTACATATAAAAATTTTATTTATTTTGAATTCAATAACATAACAGTTTAAAGAATAATTTTTTTAGAATTAACAATAATGATACTCATTTAAAATCATACAAATATATAACTTATTAAATGTTTGTAATTAAATAATTATTTACTATGTGAAGTTAAAGTTTTGGTTTTTTTCAAAATTTTGTCTAAACTGATATTGAAATGTTTTACCGGATGATGACGTATAAAATAATTAATTAACAACATAAAGCGCGTGAAAATATATTTTTATTATTATTATAATTAACCGCTAATGAGTCATAGATTACAGCATTATGGGAACCATTGAACTTATATTAGATTGTCTAAACATGTAAACTACATTTATTTTGCGACAGTATTTTCTACATTTTCAGATTGCTTATCACCTATTTTAAATTTATTTAGTTAAATTTTGTAGGGTGGTCACTTATGAAAAATATTGCAGTTTAGAATATCAATTAAATATTGTTCTTGATTTGTGTAATAAAATTCTTGTATTACAACACTTTTTTAAGATAAGTATTTAAGAACTTGAAAGTTGTAATTAAGAAAAGTAAGATGTAATTGAGAAGATAAAAGTTGTAATTAAGAAACGTCAGATGTAATTGAGAAAATGAAAGTTGTAAATGAGAAATCGCAAAATGTATTTGACAGCATGATAGTTGTAATTAAGAAAAATATAAAAAATACAAAGTTCTTTGTATTTTGAACTTTGTAGTCCTAATATACTTTGTAATTTAAGGCTGGAAATAATAATATAATATCAACAAAATATAAAAAGTCATGTGTCAATTAAAACTTTCCTTTATTTTTGTTTGTGAAAAATTTAATTGAGATTTCAGATAAATAATGAAAAAAACACAAATAATTTATATACATAAAAATATAAAATTTAAATAGAACTTAAACAACTTCATTAAAAATCATTGCAATATTCAGTTAAGCACCAACTTGGACGTCTTCCATATTTAAAATCGTTGCGTAATGCGTGGTCGTACGTTGTGCCAGTGTACAATCACCTCCATTATTGCATTTTTTGCCGCAGTAAAAATTTTTTCTAAATACTGCATTCGTTGTTCCATAATCCCAGCACCGAATACAGGTGGAATGCGAATCACATTTTTAATGTTAATTTTTATTTTGGTCCAAAGAGTTTCCACTGGGTTTATGATTGAATTTTAGGGTCCTAAACATAACAACTGAGCTTATGAATTTTTAAAAGAGCATTGTCTATTACGACAACCAAATCAACTTAACGATTCCCGGATGTAACCCACTGGTGAAATATAGCTAACACCCACTCGTTAAAAGAATCTCGAGTGCACTAATTACATCTCTCGTATTACAATACAATATTACTGTATTGTAATGTGTTATTGTATTAAACTTTTACAGTTACAATTACAATAGTCCGAACTCTAGGTTCTAAGTCAGTATTAAAAATGATGGAAAAATTTTCAAAAAACAAATTATGTACTCATTTTTTCTAAATAATGTCATTTTAGTGTCACTTTTAAAAAGAAATCCAGCAGAATGAGTTTGTACAACTATCATCTTCAATTCTCTTACCTTTTATTCTCCCCATCCTCCCTCTCATTATTACGGGGCGACCTTTCCCAATTCCCCAGTTTGTCACAAACAAACTGTCCGGAAGACGAATCAATCTACTTTCAACATTTAAATGCCCTCTATTCAGATTTAGAAACTAGGTTTGAGGATGTTTTGTTTATGGTAATACTACCGTGGATAATTAACCCATATGGTTGGATAGAAGAAACAACTAAAAATTGAAAAAATAAAAAATAAAAAGTAGCAACAAAAGTTTAAACTTTAAAGCTTAAACTTTCAAAGTTTTTTTTTTTTTTTTTTTTACGCAAACATTTGTTTTAAACATCATTTATTAAAAAAAATTTAGTATAAACTTTTTCTCTATCTTTTTAATCGTGTTTCCTTAGCTCTTTTGAACAAACTAAGCGATACAACAATAGACTTTAAATGGGCAAATTGACTGTGTAGAGTAATTCTAAATCAGAGTTATCTCTATGCTACAACTGATTAAATGCATGTAGTTTTAACACATAAACGGTAAATTACCACTACAATAACGCGAATTATCAGAGCATGATGATGTTTGGGTGCAAAATTATTTAAAATGAAGCAAACAACGTAAAAGAAAGTTTTCAAATATAACTTTTCTCAGATTCACTGAAGTATTTAATTTAATACATAAACAATCATTTTATAATGAGGTATAGCATGAAAATGCCGAATTATTATTCGTAACAATGCACTTTGTTTACTTTTTTGAGTGGTGATTTTTATGCTCATGTTTAAATAAGCAAAATTTTTATTTTTAAATAAAAAATGAAAATGAAGAGATCGTTGTTTATTGCAACAATAAATATTTTTTGTGAGTTAATTTCTTTTCTTATATTTTATTTAGAAAAACTAAAAAATAATAGCAAATAAACAAATGATAATTTTTTTTTCAACAAAAAAAGTTATTATTTTCTACGTTAAATTTTCTTTTTTAATATATATATATAAATTTAGTTTCTTATATTCATCTTCTTTATTTTTTATGCTCACACATAGTTTTGATTGTAATGGTTGTAAGTAAAGGTCCTTAAGGATGTAAGTAAAGGTTCTTATGGTTGTAAGTAAAGATCAGCGTTTAAAAATCATTCTAATTTCATATCAATACCACAACTACATGGTCTTGAATGATTTCAAGACTTACCAATAATAGTTTTTCAATTTTGCTTCAATTCTAGCTATATTTTTTTAAAAACAAGATTTAATATGACTTTTCAAGATTACCAATTTTCGGACTTATTATATGTTATTTTTCATTACTTATTTTTTTCTGTTATTTTTGAATAATTTTTTTCATAATGGATGAAATCGTAACATCGATTCTAGGTAAATAGTTTTAGTTTAAATTACTAATTGTTAAAAAAACTTTTTACCAACTAGTGTTAATGATAGCAGCTGTTAAAAGAATCCTCAACTAAACTATAATGTGAGAAGAACTTTCCCTTTTTGACTAATAAATAAATTTTAATAAACTAAAAGAGCTTTTCTAATTGTTTTTTCCGATTTTTAGCTTTTTCTTGTAACAAAGGTACAGTCATAAAAAATATTTCTTATTTTTCAATATTGAAAAGTTCAATGTTAATAAAGTCATTTATTTGACATTCATCTTTCTCTATTTATTTTGTTATATAAAATATTTGCAAAAAATGCAATTGATCAAAGCATTACTTAATTTTTGTTTTTTTATGTCTATCTATAGATAAAAAAACATTTCCTTTTGTACTTGTATCTTTTTGTACCATCAAATGAGTTCGCAAAGAGTATTTATATGGCATGGATAGACATTTAACCCTTTTATTTGCAAGTAACTTTGGATGCTATTAATCCAAGTTTATGATTTTCAATATAAAAAGATAACATATAAAAGAAAGAGTGCATTGCATTGAGTAACAAACCAGCATATGGTCTCAATTTACAAGTACTGGGTAGTAGTTATCCAAAAAGTTAACAAGCTTCTGGAAATTAAACTTATTTCCCTTGAATTGATATCTTTAAGATAAATAACAATCAAGTATTCTGTAATCTAATACATAACTATGTTAAGTAATTTTATAAGAGTTTACATCCATTTTTTAATTTTATTTACAATATTCTGTTTTTTTATTTATAGTTTAATCTTAGAATTATATTCTACATAAAAAAGTCTGCGGGTGTTTAATTTAGTTTTAAATAATATCTTTATTTAGTGAATACCAATAGTTATGGGTTTGAAGTTGTTTTAAAACATTCTCAAAAATAGACGAGGCAAAAATAGACGAGGCACATTACAAACATTGTGCAAAATCATTATTATGTAACGGTGGTTCTACTGATAGTATAATAAATAAACTATGTTTAGTTAAACTGTAAGTTAAAAACGTTATGTTCAGTCAAAATTTTAATTAGAAGAATATTTTGCTTTTTTGCTGCTACTTAGTGCAGAGATTCGAAGAGTTTGTGTTTCTTAAAAACCAAATTTATGTTTTTAAATTTTAATTATTTACGTTTTCCGCTTGTTTTCGACTTATAAAGCTTTTCTTATATAATTAATTTTTTTTTTAATTAATAATTTTTCAAACCAAGTATCAAACAAAATAAAACTATTAAAATACATAAAAAAAAATTCAATATATGACTAAAAACCTCATATTTTACCCTTTCGTAAACAGTAAAAAAATTAAAATCGAAGTTTTCACATTAAATTCACATTAATTAATCCAAAACCTATTTAAAGTTGTTTGAATTAATTGGCAAAAATTATCCTTTTAGCTTTTATATAACTCTTAGCCCTTAGTAATTAACTAAAACTCGTAAAACTTCAAATCGTCGAACAAGTATAAACAAAATAAAGCTTCAAGAATTTATTTTAAAAAGAACCAATCAAAACGCACGAAAAAAAAAGGGGTATTAAAAAAAAAAGAAAATGCTTTTTTTCGGATCTCTTCCTAACTGAGATCCTGTCCAAATCCAATTCACTCCCTCCCCGAAAGTTTTAAAGTTATTTATTTCAAACGCAATTAAAAACAAAACTTAACTAATTTACACTTTGAGTTTTTAAGTTTTATTTTTTATTTTTGTTCTTACATATTTCATTTTTCATACGAAATTCTTATATTATTTTAAAAAAAATTTTTAATTTACTTTTTAGTTTTTTTTAGTGTTTTTAGCTCATTTCTAAAGTGTCTAAAGGTCAGTTTCCACTCATTCATAACAAGTTAACAATTTTTTACAAAAAAAATATTTTATTTGGCATTTAAAAACAATTATTAAGGTAACTTGAAACAATTAATATCCACATGATTAATTTTTCATATATATTTTCAACTCTGCAAGACAATAGAATAAGAAGAAAAGAATAAACTACAACAGAATACATTTATTTTTATTAAAGATTGTAAAATTAAAAACACTCAAGCAGTGGCGGAACTTCAAAACTTGGGCCCCCCCGCAAAAGAATGTTTTTTTTGCGGAAAAGAGTTTTATAGTATAAATATTATTGAGAGTATAACTTTTTTTATATGAGGGCCCCCTATAGCTGGTAAACCCCCCCCCCCCCCCCGCAACGCAGGGTCCTGCGTCCAGTAGTTCCGCCACTGCACTCAAGTCATCATGTTATAGTTTAGGTATCGATACTTAAAGTTTCTCAGCAATTGCAATGTCTTTCCGCTTTACTTTATGCTATTTTTCTAACTCGGCTATTCCTTGCTTTTAACTGTTTTTAACTTTTAACTCCTTGCTTTTAACAGTTACTTTTCGTTCATCGAAGTAGATATTGACGTTCTGTAAAGATGAAATGCAACTTCTATATATCTTATATAAAATAGTTTTTTTTATACTAGTTTATTTATAAAATACCCAGCGTTTCTCATGCTACGTAACATAATGTGAAATAACAATTTAGTGACAATTTTACTTTTCCCCCGAAGGCACGGGACCTAAAAGAAACTTCTTTTGAACTTTCAAAAAACGTCAAAAACGTATAATGTTCAAAAGACATCAAAAACGTATGACGTTCAAAAGACGTTCAAAAGGCGTTTAAAGTACTTCTTTTTTACGTCACGTGCCCACTGGGGTCGTTATGTAAAAATGCTAAGGATCGTCCATAAATTACGTAACGCATACTTTCACAATAAACCAAACAAAAAAAAATCAAAGTTTTCCCTCGCAGAATTTCAATTTAAATAAAAACCAAAGTAGAGGATTTAAAATCTCCGCGTTAAAGAGCTTAATAACTTCTACTTCTGTATTTTGCAGAAATAGAAGTTATTAATTTATAGACTATCCCTTTCGTAAAAATAAAGAACATTTGATGCGTGAATTTGTTACCTAAATTTAACGTTAATAGTGTACTTAAACATAAAATAACGAAAAATTACGTCATAACGAATCTTAACGAATAATTTACTTACCAACATATAACATAACGAAAAATTGTTTTAAGAGCACTTTGCATTACTTAATAAAAATATTTTTTTGTTAAATGTTGTTTTTTAAGTTTTAAAAAGCCCCTGCCTCGCCCCCCTTCCCTCCCCCTCCTCCCCCCCCCCAAAAAAAAAAAAAAAAAAAAAAAATTTTTTTCGAAATCTGTTCGAAAAATCGATTTACGTATATCGACAACTTGTATAACGTTTAGCATTATACAACTTTATATAACATTATGTTATATAAAATTATGCAATGTTTTTTATTTTTCCAATAAAAAATTCAATTTTGTAAAAAGCCAATGTTTATTCATATATAGTCATTCTGTACCAGAAAACAATTTTGTCACCGATAATGCTACTGAAGTTAATAAATACTTTGCACAGACAGTTTCTGCTCCATCTGGTGAAGTTCTGCTGCATAGTGTCATTAGATGTGATAAAGAGGATTGCTTCAATTGGACTTCTCTTGAAACTCATAATGTTGTTAAATTATTGGAATCTTTGAATGAAAGAACTGGAACTGGATGTGATGAGTTACCTGGCCTGATATTAAAAAGGGCTGCCTCTGCTATTGCACCAAATTTACAACTAATAATCAATACAAGTTTTGAACAAGGCATCTTCCCTAATCTCTGGAAAAAAGCTAACATTACAGCAGTTTGGAAAAGTAAAGGTCAAATGTCTGATCCCTCTAATTATAGACCGATCTCTGTATTACCAGTACTAGCAAGAATGTTTGAGCGAGCTTGTGCAAAACAGCTGGCTCAATACTGTTATGATAGAAACATAATACCACCGCAGCAATTTGGTTTTAGATCAGGATCAAGTTGTGAAATAGCCTTATTGTCGGCTAATGAATACTGGAAGAATGCAGTTGATGAAAGAAAAACAGTTGGTGCACTGATGATTGACTTATCGAAAGCATTTGACACTGTTCCACATCAGGGACTACTTATTCAACTTCAGATGATAGGATGTAGCTCTAATGTTATCAACTTTTTTGAAAATTATCTTAGTGATCGGAAACAATGAGTAATTTCTTCTCAACTAGTAACAGATTGGAAACCGGTAACACGAGGAGTTCCTCAAGGTGGAGGTTTAAGTCCACTAGCCTACAATATATATGGACGAGAACTTCCAACTTGTACTAAATCAGTAACTCACCAGTTTGTAGATGACACAACCATATCTAATGCTAATAAATCACCTCAGGTTGTTATAGAGAGGCTCTCAGACAGTTTCAACAATGTCAAGAAATGGTGTGATGAAAAACAATTAATAATTAATGCTGAAAAAACACAATTTATCATCTTTAAAAGCCCAAGTAGAAAATTGCCAGATGAATATCACATTATTTTGGGTGGAGTTTTGATTAAACCATCGACAACAGTTAAACTTCTCAGTGTACTAGTTGATCAACATCTAGCATATGGTTGCCATATGGATGCGATTAAAAAGAAATGTAAAGGTCTGCTTGGTTTACTTGCAAGATCAGCTAATGAACTTCCTCAGGAGCTCTTGAAATTGGCCTACACTTCAATCATACGCTCTCAACTTGAATATTGTAGTGCAGTTTTTGCTCCAGCAGCAAACATTCATCTTCATAAATTTGATGTTATTCAGAAAATAGCTTCAAGAATTATTACCAGAGCACTGAGTAATGCTCACTCCTCACCGTTGCAGGAAAAACTTGAATTGGAAAGTCTTAAAACCAGACGAAACAATCATATCATTAATATGATTAATAAAATGATTATGGGAAAAAGTCATCTTGCATTTTCTAATATGTTTTTTAATACTGAGGGAGGACTTTTGTGTAGTCGTGATGATAGAGCTTCCAGAATCAAGATTGGTGACAAAAGATTCAGCAGATATGCAGTAAGCATATTCAATGAAATGAACACATGATTGTATGTGTTCAAGTTGAGCGCATGAACATGGGCCGGCTATCACAAGAATATATATAAAGAACACACTAGCTACAAAGATTACTAAATTATTGGATATGATGAACTGAACAGTGCTTCTGACATGGTTGCTCAAGCGTTATCAACTCTAAATAATAGATCAACAACAACAACAACAAACCGAGAAAACCCTTCGTTTGCTTAAATTTTGGGGGGTTTTCGTCCCACGAATAAAATCATTCATTTTTTTTTTTAAAAAACATTTCCAATTATTGAATGATTTATATGATACTTACTGCAGAGTTTTTCCATGAATTTCAAGAGTTTAAGGCATGGAAATCCCTCTGTCCATGCATTCCACATTTGAAATGTTTCATTCTACCGGCTTGGTTTGGCTTGAAAAATTACAAACTTTTTTGGATACTGAAAACCGTAGCACTTTTCGTTTTCCAAAATCATTGTTTAAATTAGTTTCATATAAGTTCCAAATATTTTCTAAAGTTACAACTTTTTAAATCTCCTTTAAATTTTCAATATAGGCGTGTATTATATCTTCATTTACAGCAGCTCTGCAGCATTTGATATTTGTTGCAAAACGTTCCTTTATTCTGGGTTATTATATTAAAAAAGATTTAACTGGTAATGATTGGCATTACCAGAAATATTGTTTAAAAACTGTTTACCTATTTTTATATTTTATCTATTTTGTTTAAGTAGCAGTTAAAGTAAATCTCAAATCTTCCTGAGTCAACGAGAGAATCAAAAAACTGCTTATGGTGACTATGTAAAACAAAGCAATCTTTTTCTTCTCTTGAAAAAATAAGCTGCTTACCTGGTTTCCTTAAAATTTTTTTTGAATTGCTTTTTGATTTTTGCTTTTTTTTTTTTGTATATCAAAATGGTTTAGGGCTGTGTGTCAACTTCAAGTTCCATTTCATAATAAATTTAAGCATAAATATAGTGTTTTAGTTAAATTATTTTTTTAACAACAAGCTCTTATCTTTATCTTATAATGGCTTCCTATCCTTAAAAAAATTTGTATTTGTTGGCAAAATTTTAAACCATTTAAACCATTAAGTGTAGAAAAAACAGAATTTATTGAAAGTTTTTTTTTCACCATTTTCTTAGCTGGTTCAAAATAGCCCCTTTTTGTTTGAAACATGAAAGTGTAGACATTCCAATTTTTGTTTAAATTGGAATTTCTACATTTAAAAAATTTACACTGGCTAAATCTAAATGTTCTTTTTACTTACAACATTTACAGTTAACCAAATTCATGAAGTAATTTGTAGTTATAAGGGTTTTACATATACTCTAATTCTGTCTCACACAAAATCAATTTGTATTTTTGAATCAAATTAAAGTTGTGGTTTATATGGCATTGAACTAAATTACTGGTTTTTATGGCATTTTAAAACAATTTTTCACTTATTGCTTTAAAATCATTTTTTAAACATCAGAATAACTAAAGTATAATAAATTATATTAATTTATGTATAAATAATGTTAAAATTTTATTTGCTTCATAGTGTTGCATGTATCAACGTACTCAGGAGAGTCAGGAGATTCTGAATCAGAAGCATCTGGTGACTTAGCTTCAGCAAATGTAGACAGTTCATGTATTCTAATATCGCCGGTAAATTTTAGATCACTAGTTTTTATAAAGTTTTAATGATGCTAATTTGAATAAAATAAATGTTTTTAAAAAAAGTGATACTTGTTTATATTTATATCTGTATTATTCGTTAAATTAGTTCTTAAAAGCTTTTTAGTAACTAATTTGAATTTTTCTAATATTTTGAAAAAAAAAGTAATTTTTATTTACTTTAATTTTAGTTTTTATCATTGTTATTATTATTATTATTGCTGCTATTATTATTATTAATGTTATTATTGCTATTATTATTATTATTACTATTATTATTATTATTGCTATTATTGCTATTATTATTGCTATTATTAATATTATTATTATTATTATTATTATTATTATTATTATTATTATCAAATTACAATGACGTGGTTGTGAGAAATAGCTCTATAAAGAACATTTATGGTAGTTGTAAATATGCATTTTTTATAAATTTGTCATAATTGTTATTTAAAATGTTTGTTGTTTTTGAGTTTTGACAGTATACTGGCAGTTGATTCCATTGTTTGACTACCCTGTTTGTGAAGAAGTTATACAGGATATCAGACTTATTTTGTTCTCTGGTTAAAAAGTTTTTTTGTCTTGTGTCATGATTATGTTTTTTTTGGGTTAAACTTGAATAAAAGTTTATTTTATTTAGTCCATTTTTAATTTTAAATTGTTGTATTTGGTCTAGTCTTTATTGCCTTTCTTCCAGTGTTGTCAGACCAAGGCAGCGGATCCTTTCCTTGTATGTTTAACCACTAACTTCTCGCACTAGATTAATTGCCCTTCTTTGGTCTGATTCAACTGCTTTGATATTTGTTAATCTATTTGGATTCCATACTGAAGCACCGTACTCTTTTCAATAGATTTTTTTATTATATAAAACAAAAATAATACCAAATATAAAAAAAAACAATGTTTTATTTAGGTTTTTCTTTTCTCATTAAGGGTTTTATACTTTGAGTAAGTCATTTTGGCTTATCAAATAGAAACACTGCAAAGTTGTTTAATTAGGTTTTTAATTGTTCATGGTGTAGAGATTTTTTAGTAAGAATTGATAAGAAGCATTCTGTTTAAATCTTAGAAAATCTAGCAGCAACTAACTGCTTTTTTGATATTTAGGTAAACAATAAAAATAAATTAATCAAAGAGCTAAGGAATTGAAAGGTGCTGTTTAAAATTAATAAATAGTAGATAAAGGAAGTCATGAATTTTTTACAACTGAGCAATGAGTACAGAATACAGAAAATAAATCATTATAATTATGCTAGAGATTTATTTATGGTTGAAAGTTAATTTTTGAAATAAAGTATAAGCAATACTACATTATTAACATCATAAATTGTGTATTGTCAATAAATGTCAATTCACCTCGCTAAGGTTGTTAAGTCCATTTTTGTTGATACACATTCCATAACTAGTTTTATGGTATTATTTAAAACACAATGAGCAAAACAATACAAAAAGTTAAATGATCAGAGAAAGCTTGTGATATGTGGCAAACATTACAATCTTTCTAAGTGAATAAGTAAGTGAGTAAGTCAACAAAAGGTTAATCTTTCTCATTGAAAGGCTGCTTGACAGTGATGAAACATCACAGGTGTCTAGGAGCACCAGTCATGATTTCCACTTCTTTAGAAAAAGAAATGTAAGTGTAAACAATGAAACCAATCTCTACAAAAAATATGCACACATATGAAGATGTAGAAAAGGAAATTCCAATTGCAAATGAAATTAGTATTTACATGAAACTGCATAAATTGACAACAATCCCCTATACATTATCCTAACAGAACTTGGTAAAATTATCTTATTAATTGAAGGTGGCAGTGTAAACAATAAATGGCTATTTTTGGAAGTATTTATAATTTATGAGGAATTTAACAATAATTTGCATCAAACAAAAGTGTTTTTTTTCATAATTTACCACCTTTTAAAATGATTTTAAGTATTAAATATTTGTTAAAATAAAAAATAAAACAATAGCTATATGTAATCCTTTTTTAGGATTTTTTATATTTTTTGTTACAATCTGGTATTTGGTGAAATATTTTACAATATTTGGCTGAATGTCGAATAGTAAAAAATCATTTAGCATTCTAAGATATAAGTTCTGCATCAAAAAGTATTCTAAAAGCTTTTCAGAATACTTTGAATAAATGTCATAAAAACTTGGTCACTGAGCTCAATACTCTCTAATGCGTCATTCACATACTCAATTAAATCTAAATAGGACTCATTAAACTCCAAAACAGCAGTTTTAATAATATCTTCTAGTATCAAGACTTGTTTTTTAAATTTAAATATTCTAAGACAGTTTAAAACTAGAAATAAGTTATATTTTTCATTATTATTAATATCTCACTCAAGTATATCCATCAGTTTTAGGCTTGCTTTTTTCCCATCTAATACTACACCTTGTTATCCCAAAACATAAATTGGAACACTAAGGCTAAGGAGTAAGATTTTATCCAAACTATTTAATTATACAATTTGGATTAAATAAATTGTATTTCAATACAAACCTTGTAACTTGTAAAGCAAAACTTAAATTTTTCTAGACTTCTCTCATAAAATGATATATTTTCTTTTAATGTTTTAGAGTTCAGAACAAAGTCCTTTTTCTGGTGAATGTTCACTTGAAAATGCACTTACTGGCTATGTTGGACAGATGGACCCTAAAACAAATAATTTTTTGAAATCAAGGTATGATTAGTTTTTTTTATTATTTTAAGTTTATTTAATTATTTTAAGTTTTTTGATTTTTAAAGAAATATCAAAAAAATGAGTAGTAAATAGTTTTATGACCAAAATCAAAAATTGTAACTAAACTAAAAAACCAAAAATTGTAACTAGCTAACTAGCTAAACTAAAAAAAAAAAGGAAATAAAATTATTCAGTAAATTTTAAGTTTGATTAAAGTTAGTCAATTAACTTTAAACTAAAAATATTTTATGAATTTTATGTAATAAAAAAAACATTAAATAACAAAACAGTTTTAGTTGACTAACTTTGATTAGACTAATTTTAGTTAAACTAAAAAGTTATTTGACTTAAAACTAATCCCATCTCAAGTTATAATTAAAAAAATAAATACTTCTAACTATTATTGATTAAAAGATAAGTGCTTGATTACTGATATATATATATATATATATATATATATATATATATATATATATATATATATATATATATATATATATATATATATATATATATATATATACATATATATATATATATATATATATATATATATATATATATATATATATATATATATATATATATATATATATATATATATATATATATATATATATATATATATATATATATATATAAATATATATATAAACAGTGTGAAAAACATTTCAGCTGATCATTGGCCAGTGACCAATGGTCAACAACCACCTAAAATGACTAAAATTGCTATTTTGACTTCCCAAAATGAGTTCTTGCTGGTTATGTTTCATCAGTTAAAAAAAAATCAGGTTTTTGAGAAACAAGGTTTTACAAATAATCATGATGCATTTTGAATAATGCATATGCTAAAATTTCATAAAATCATTTAAATTTTATATAAACGTTTAAAATAGTTTTATTGTTTACAACATGCTACTTAAATTTGCTTCGTTGACGAGTTTATCATTTTACTGTTGGTGAAAAACCTCTTTTCCATAAATGATTGAAGTTCTTATTTTATTATTGTTTTAATAAAAATATTTTGTATATTATTTTTATAGTAATATAAAATTATGTAATAATTGCTAAACTAAGAAGATTTTTTCTTTTAACTGTACTTAGTCACTTTTCTTTATTTTTTCTTTATTTTCTTGTAAGTTTTAATGCTTTTGTGACGGTTCATACAGAACTTGTTACTAAAGAGTTATGATATTGTGGGGGGGGGGGGGGTCTAGAACAGTCAAAAATTTTGTGACATAATTTGTGGGCAACCTCTTACAATTTTCTTTCTATTATTGAATTGTAATAGAATTATCAAATGTCAACCCATCTTAATGTAGGCAAGTAAAAAGAGACAAACAATATCTTATATTCAAACTTCATTTTTTATTTAAATGAAAAATTGTGCGTAGAAGCGTTACTTTAAAAAATGTAAGATTAGCATTAGTTATTTGCAAGTTTAAATTTAAAAAGTGTATAGATTTTATTTAAAATTATTGTTTTAAAAAGAATACAAGTTTGTTAATTTTTTAACATTAAGTTTTTATTCATTAATCTTTGTGTGTTTAATTTCAATTATTATATTATTATATTTTACTATATTATTATATATTTTACTATATATTGTTATATAAATTGTTATACTATTAGAACTATTATACTCAGATGAAAATTTAAACAAAGAAAAAACTATAAATATATATGTATATATACACACACATATATATATATATATATATATATATTGTATATATGTATATATATATATATATATATATATATATATATATATATATATATATATATATATATATATATATATATATATATATATATATATATATATATGTATAATATATATATATATATATATATATATATATATATATATATATATATATATATATATATGTATATATATATATATATATATAAATTATATGTTGTATATAGAAATAAAGTTTTTATAAACACTATAGTTTTTACTTTTTTTTTTTAATAAAAGCCTAGATATATTATTTAAGAGTTTTAGAATGTTAAACAAGAAAAGCATTATGTTTTTTTTTTGTTTTTTTTTTATTAAAAAACTTTTCTTAAAAACTGCCAAACTTCTGTGGGTAACAGAATTTAAACAAACACTGTTAGAAAAATTACTCTTTGTATGGTGTTAAATTTATGCAATTAGAGTTATTCAGAATTACCTAGAGTTGGCTAAGATTAATTATTGATAGTTAGGGTTGCAGCTTTATCAACTGCAAACCTATTTCATATGTTTGCCTTTCAACCCTCAGTAATATATTCTGTTAGTCAGCTTTGTAATTCTTTAGCCCCTTGTTATGGCTACTTTATTTTACTTTTTTCTGTTGTATTACTTTTAAAGTGTAGTTTGTTATACATAAAGTAATTCTAATAAAAGTTAAACTTGTCAAGTTAAAGTAGTGCAGTAGTGCTATAGTGGTAGTAGTTAAACAAGAAAAGCATTATGTTTTTTTTTTGTTTTTTTTTTATTAAAAAACTTTTCTTAAAAACTGCCAAACTTCTGTGGGTAACAGAATTTAAACAAACACTGTTAGAAAAATTACTCATTGTATGGTGTAAAATTTATGCAATTAGAGTTATTCAGAATTACCTAGAGTTGGCTAAGATTGATTATTGATAGTTAGGGTTGCAGCTTTATCAACTGCAAACCTATTTCATATGTTAGCCTTTCAACCCTCAGTAATATATTCTGTTAGTCAGCTGTGTAATTTTTTAGCCCCTTGTTATGGCTACTTTATTTTACTTTTTTCTGTTTTATTACTTTTAAAGTGTGGTTTGTTATACATAAAGTAATTCTAATAAAAGTTAAACTTGTCAAGTTAAAATAGTGCAGTAGTGCTATAGTGGTAGAGCACTTCAGTGTTAAGTTAACTTGTTTCTATGTGCAGCAGCCTTGTTCTTCAAGGTTTTTGTTTTGGAGTTGAGAGAGGTTTGTTAGCACAAAAAGTAGACTCCTTGACTGTAGTAGCCTTCTTGGCCTTGGGGAGGGGAATAACATTAAAATAAAAATGAAAATTAATTCATTAATGTCTTGAAAAATTTGGGCAAAAGAAATCAGTGTAAAGTATTAGCAAAGAATTTCAAAACTTTTAGTGGCATGTAATATAGTGCTTTCATTAGATTCATTAATTATAATTTCTATTACAAATTAAAATTTTTGATTCAAATAAAAGTTAAATTTTTTATTCAAAGAAAGTAGTAGTTTTAGGCTATATAACAAATAAAAATTTCAGTAACTGTAATCATTAGTAACTGTATGTGGCTAATGTAACTGTATGTGGTTCAGTAACTGTATGTGGCCCAATATGTGGCTAGTTTTTTTTTTTTTTAAGTTGATTAAGGCGCCCCAAGAAGTCCTTACGGTCTTATCACAGAGCACCGCAGAAAAGCATTTAATAAGAAGTTCACGTTTCCTTCCCAACCGATGTTGCAAAACTTGCCCAGAGGTGGGGTTTGAACCACGGATCTTACGCTTCTGAGGCAAATGCGTTACCACTGCACCACGGCTGCTTATGATACAACTGCTTGTCTTTGATACAGTTCTTTAGAAAGTTTTTGCAACTTGCAAACTTCCTGAAGAGCTGGATTTTGTTAAGCATTACCTGGCTGTTGCTGAATTTAAGAAGTTTAGAATACCAAGATTGGTAATGAAGTTACACAATTGTGAAAAAAATTTTTTATGCAGGCAAAGTATAATGAAGAAAAGACACGAGTTTAATTAACAAACACCACAACACATTGAGACAATGTTAGAACATTGTTGGCCCTATGATTCCTTTGTTGTTCTGACATTGTTCTGACCCAATGAATCCTTTATTGTTTTGACATTTCCAACATAGTTAGCTGCTTAGGAAGTATAAAAAGAAAAAACTGAATTACAATTTTCAAATTTATTTGATGTAGCTAAATCTGATAGAGTGGTTCTGTATCAAAGACAAGCAGTTGTATCATTTGCAGCTGTGTTCTAAAGGTAAAAATTTTTATCACTGAAAAACAAAGACTAATAGAAACTATTTATTCATTCATCATCATCAAAAAAAAGTAGTAAACACAGAGATAATCACAGTCAGATCTTATGAACTGTAAAAGTCTGATTTTTTTTTAATTGCTGAAACATAACCGGCAAGAACTCATTTTAGTAAGTCAAAATAGCAGTTTTAGTCATTTTAGGTGGTCGTTGACCATTAAAGATGTTTTCAATGAGTTCTCTTGAAAGTGACAAGTTCACATCTGATAGTTATGAAAATGTCAGCAATGATCTAGTAAATTAAAAAAGAAAAAAGAAAGTTCACTATACTACTAGAAGTAAAAAAAGAAAAAGAAAGTTCACCACACTAGATGTTAGTAAGATACGCAAAAGTATAATCAAAGAAAACTATTTTTGTATTCTTCAAGAAGACATTCCTCATATTGCAACTTTATCTCAAAAAGAGAAAATATGCTCAGAAACTAGAAATACGTAGAAAACTCGAAATATAGAACTTTTTCTTTCTGGTTTATTTGTTTGTAGTAAATTTAATTTTTGTCGGACAGAATTAATTAAACTTAAAAACATAACTCTTTTCACATTGTTTTAGAAACCTTTTTTTAGGTTATTACTTGTACTTAGGTTATTAATAAATTATTCTTTATTTTATATTTAGAAGTGCACCTAATTTTGTTATTTTTGCAAATTGTTTCTGATTTTAAATGCTTCTTTATTTGATTGACTTATACTGAATTGAAACCAACTTGTTTCAATTTAGTAGAAGTCAGTGTTAATAATTATTTGCTAATAAACAAGCTTTGCTAATATTAACTCTAAAAAAAAATTTTAAGCTGATGTAACAAACTTAGTAAATGATGTTTTACTAAAAAGTATGCTTTTAGTAAAAGAAAACAGAATTTTTATATTTTCATAGAATTCAGAAAAAAGTTTACATTTTAAGTTTTATGGTTTTCTTCCTAAACTTACATCAAAAGAAAGGCATTCACCAACTTAATACTCGGCAAGCTTAGACTGATTGTTCATGTTTAGAGATTAAAATTTTATTAATTTCTCATTACAAATTTGTTCAACTCAATTGCATAAAGTTACCACAAACATTCTTAACTCATTAATTGGTTTAAAAATATTAAGAAGTTTTTTTAAAACCTTTTTCTTAAGAGGGCCAACTTTTAAACATATTCTTTGTAATTCTTTTGATTCTAAAAGTATAAACTGTTTCCATTCATTAACTTTACATTATACCCTATTTTGAAATTAAAACAAACATTTCGAAAAAATAACAAATTAATTGAAAAAAAAAATGTCTACAAATAAAAACTGGGACTTTTGGGAGTTTTACAAAATTGAAAGCTAACATAAAAGCTAAAGCTTAAATTAACATTAAATTCAATTCAATTCTAGTTTTTTGAAAAAACTATAAGTATTAATAATTGGTTAATTAATATAATTAATATAAAAACTAAAATCTACAAAGCACATATAAAATAAAATTTTAAATTTCAAAAAATCCAGATTTCCACCAAATACCACAGCCCACCCAAATACTGATTGGTATCTGGGTGTTAATGGAAAGTTGATCAGTAAAGTTGATCACAAAGTTGTGGTTCTTAAAAATAAGACTTTCTGTTGGCTTTTTTTTTTGATCCCAAATCAAAAACAATAGTGCAGGCATGTATGGTAGTCAATAAAAAATGGTTATATGCATCAACAAAACTATCAACATTGGTTTCCAGTATCACACACTAGATTAGAATATTAAATAATAGAGAATGTATTTGATCAGTTGAGTGGTCAACTTAATTGCTTGATATTGTCTATCAAACATGTTACAAAAATGTGAACATCTTAAAACATTTTACCAGTCAGAGAAAATTGGAAGAAAAAGATAATGGGGACAAGATGATATGTTAGAATCTTTAGCCATTACAGATAGTTCAACAAGATAATCAAAGTGATACTTCTTGCATTATCAGGTTTGTTGGAATTTTAGAGTAGTGTTTTTACTAATACCATACATTATTTACTGAAATCTTTACTAGAATCTTGGGAAAATCTATATAAAAGTGTACTTTTATCTCTGGAAACTGTAGCAAAGTATGGTTTGGTGGAATAATATTTAATGAAAATTTTTTCAAAGCTACTGGGTGTAGACAAGTATCCTAAAGTGGCTATCTGTTTGAATAAACACTAGTAATAAACTGGTCTAGAACCTTTATCTCTGAACACACAGCATTTTCAAGTCTTGCATTTTCTTTGCAAATACTAAATTAAATTAAACAAAACATAACTTTTATATTTATAGCCAAAAAGATCTGTCCACTCATAATTATTATAGATAATTACTTATAAATCCAAAAAATGAGTTAGTAATTGTATAGTTGACGACCAATGGGAAAATATTTTATATGTTCTAAACACATTAAAATCATCAATTCAATTATTGCTACTTACAAGTAAGGTTACTACATCACTTGATAAATGTGCACTACTACATCTTTTATTGAAAGAAATCTGAAAAAATAATAGTTGTACATTAGAAGATGTTCAAGATTCACTATTTATAAAATCAATCATAAACAGATGTCTTAGGTTTTTAAGTCAACAGATGCCATTAATCCAAGAAATTTCTGCAGAAGCCCAAAAATTGCCATTCCTAAAACTGATAACATATATGTTTGGTTTCAAACAACAAAGACATACAGGTTTCAAGCTTGCAAGTTCTTACCCACTTGCCTCCTAGTGTTATGTTAGTGCACAGTCCAAATGGTAGTGCCTGCACAGTTTGAAGACATCTTGCTAAAGATTTAAAGCATTAATTAAATTAACTTTTGCATTAATTAAATTGCATTTTCTATGAACCATTAAAAATTATTCAAAGAAAATAAAATTAATTTATGTATGTATATCAATGATAGGGTTTGCCTAAAAATACTGGTATATTGTCAAACAAAAATCAAAGTGCTGGATAAAAAAATATTTCTAAATACTGCATTTTTTAAATATTCATCAAATATATGGGGCTTCAAAAATTTCAAAATATTAAAATCAAAAAAATTTTTTTTTGAATTTACTTTAAGATTGTGAAGTTGTTAAGTTGTTAATTTCATTGAAGCCAAATTTTATTTATTTTAATTTATAGTTTTTTTTTATTATTTAATTGCTAATAGTTTTAGTAAATAAACTCAATCAAATTTTTTTAGTACATTTAAGTGTTCATCATTATCTCAAAAAGATAATGTAAAAATATTTGAGTGTGAAGCTAGCAGATTTGAAATATTACCACGTGGACAGGGAACTATAACAATAAAAAATGTCAAATTAAAACTTGAGACAAATAGTGTAAATTATAGAGACATGAAGATTCAAATGGAAGGAGATGAAAATGCCAAGGTAAGGATAAACTTATTTTTTTACAAAATAGTTTTGAACTCATTCAAACTTTTACAGAAATTATTAAACAGAGCATTCTATTTCACTGTGCTGTTATATTAAATAGAGTTGCTTCATCTTTTAAATTGACTATTTATTTACACTTTTTTTTTTTTACGTATTTGGACATTTATTTTTATTTAATGTTTAAAATTTATAAACAGTATAAAAGCATAAGTAGTTTACTATATTTATAGAGATGTTGTAAGTTTTTTTATTTCTAAACTTTTTAGTGTACCTTCAGCCACTCTTTTATAATCAAATTTAAATTAGATTTATATACAAACTTAGAAAAAGATAATATAACAATTAAAATGGATTTTTGTTTTGTAATTTTATTTTGCTTCTATATTTTACTTTTTTATTTATATATATATATATAAGTTTTAAGGACATTTTTAAATCTATATATAACTTTTTCATTGTAATCATTATTTTTCATTGTAATATATATATATATATATATATATATATATATATATATATATATATATATATATATATATATATATATATGTATATATATATATATATATATATATATATATATATATATATATATATATATATATATATATTGATATTTTGTTTTGCAAAAATTTAAGCTATATTTTATTATTTATTGATATTCAGATACTCTTTTGTTTTTTAGATAATTTATTTAGATAAGCAAAAAAGTGAGCAAAAATATGCTATAGTATATATATATCAGGGTGTAAACTAGCTCTGCGGCGCCCCGTCAAACGCGGTTTTCCCAAATGCTCATAAAATTAAAATTTCCAATTTAAAGATGAAAAAATCCCATTCTCCAAATAAAGTTTCCAAATTAAAGTTTAATAATAATTCTAAAAATAATTTAAAATTAATTATTATTCAAAACTAATAGAAAAATAACATAAAAAAATTCTAATTCATTAATTGCGTGAAACATGAAATAAAATCGCCATTATTGGTATAAAAACGCAATTGCATAACTGCGATAATTGGTTTCTTGGAAAAAAACATCATGAGAGTTGGGATTTTTGGAGCGATTTTTGGGATTTTTGTGGCAACTTGCAATAAAGTTTGAAAATAGTTTTTTGCAATGCATTCTAACAACAGCAAATATTATATAAAATAGTTAGCAAGAAATAAAATACTAATCTAAAAGATCCAAAATAATAACAAACTTGTTTGGTTTAACACCCGCAAATGCTATTTCTTTAAAAGTTTCGTCCTTTTTGGCTAAAAAGTTAAATAACTTATTAAGTCTTACCGTAAACTCAACTTTAAGTAGTATATGTATTTCATCAACAAAAACATCGAGAAGGTTATGTCAGATACCTTTTGATTAATTACGGTTATTACGAAGTCTTTTAGTTATGGTTTTTCTTTTTTTTGTTTGGTATTTTATATCAACTAAATTTGGTAAAGTTTTTTACTTTTTTACTGGTATTCTTCAATGACACGCATGCAATCGCTTGCTAATAATATTACTCTATAATTAAACGACATTTGTTGTTGTTTTTGCTGAGACTTTGTGATTATAACTTTATTTCGCTATGTGATTTATGTATAAAATAAATTATTATTAATTATAAAATTGAACTCGCAATAAATGTGAAATATGAAATTTCTGAGCTATTTTTAAAACCTTATCTATTTTTAAAAATTTCTTTTGATGACACAATTTATTACATGATGATGTAAGGGTTCGTCCGTAAAGTACATCGAGCAGAATTTAAACAATAATTAGAAGTAGAAGATCATTGACTCATTGGAGATCGCTATTTTACTATATTACATTGAAAAAGAAATATATATTCAAAATAATACTCTTGAAATGTAAGCGGAGACAATATATAAAGATTAAAAATAAATCAAATTAATTATTCTCAATAATAATTAATATACAATGATTATTTTATAATAAAAAAGATATATCATTCCTAATATATGTTTGGAAATCGGTTCTTAGTTTGCCGTGTCGTCGTGAAACAACAGTTAATTTTGTGCTGATTTTTAATGATACAGATGGTATTTTATTTTCTTTTTGGCGCTGATCAATCAATGTATGCAGCGCTGAAGTAGAGTAGAAAAAAAAAGAACACCAAAAAAGGACCCCATGCTTTCCTACAACATATTTTAATCTCAGGGGAGGGAGGAGTGATTGAGAAATACTTTGACAAATTCCCAATTCAAATTTATTCCTGGTGAACACTCTGTATATATCAAAAAAACTAGCCACATATATATATATATATATATATATATATATATATATATATATATATATATATACATATTTGTGTGTGTGTGAGTGTGTGTGTGTATGTTTTAAGAACAACTTTTTAAATCTATAAAACGTTTAATAAATGATTAATGTTTTAATCATGGTTAGGATTTCTTATATTAGTCATGTTTGAAAAAAAGAATCACAAAATATTAGCAATTTGATTGAATGTTGATTAAGCTGTTATTGAAATATTGCCAAATAGAAAAGTTTTTAGTTCAGCTACAAGCAAAATTTAATTTAGCATCAACTCAATGGAAGAGTAAATTTTTTATTTGATTTAACAATTTCTTCATTTTAACGTGTTTTTTATAAACACGTTAAAATGAAGAACTCATCTAGTTTCTATGCACAGCGCCTTTGTTTATCAAGGTATGTGTTTTAGAGTTTTACAGTTAAGCTTTGTTCATCAAAGTATATGTTTTAGAGTAAAAGAAACATCACCTTTTGATAAAATGCAAAGATATAAGCAATTTTTTTGCAATATTTTTTTTGGAGGTCAAAAGTAGTTGGTAAAATTTTATAGTTGCCACATTTTTATTTCAGAATAAATTATAGTTGCCACATTTTTATTTCAGAATAAATTAAATCAGAGAGAATGATAAATTAAGAAAACATCAGAGAACTTACAATAGAAGTTGCCCCTAAATTAATTTTCTGAAACCAAAATTTGTTTGATACTTGATAAAACTATATTTTTAGGTAACAAAAGATGCCAATAGTGATGATATAAAATTAGATCTTTCTCCTAATGAAGAAATAGTTGTGGAAACATATTTAAATCAACACTTTGGTGTTAGCTACCCTGAATTAAAAAAAGTAACAAAGTTAAATGAATATTTTCCTGACAGATTAAAACAAGTTAAATTGACTGCACTGTTTAATCAAACATTTGATTATGTTGAAGTTATTTTTTGGTAAGTTCAACTAGTTGTTATGTTTAATGAATATATTGAACAATTAAATACAGATCTTTATATTAGTTTATTTTAATTTATGTTTTATTTAATATTATTAGGAATGATGACAAGTCTTTCTTTATCTTTCAAAAGTTTGAGAGTTCCAATAAACCTTCTGTAGGATTCTTTAAAGTTATTGACTCAAATTCTGTTGAAGTCTTAGATAAAGTATTGAATGTTAAGCCTACCGAAACATTTCTACCTATTTTCAAGATGTCAAATAGCTGTAAGTATTTGTATTTTAAAAAGTAGCAATGAATAAAAAAATACGTACATTAAAACAAATGTATATAGATAAAATAAATTATATATTTTAAATTATAATTTTAGGAACAATTAGCAAGTATTGTTATATATTAATTAGACGATAATTAAACTCAAACAAAAGAGAATTTTTCCACAGGTAGTAGACTGGTAGATAACTGGTAAATTTATTATCAATGTGCAGGATATTAGGTAGATTTATTAATAATGTGTAGCCTGGTAGTTTAAAACAGTTTTTATCTTATTGCATATCTGATGTCTTATCTACTGACTTATTAAAAAATATTTTCATTAAATGATTATATTCATTGTACATATAGTTTTTTTTTCAAATCTGAATTGTCATTTGTGCAATATTTTGATGTTTTTGTAGTGTCAATCCTTACAATAATATCAAAATACTGTACTTGGAATGGATTTGATACATGGTTTCCAAGAAAAATTGGAAGTAAGAGTTAATCCTAGTAGATGAAGTGTAGATGACTCATCCAGTGAATTACTATTAATAAATATAGGAAGGTCTAGATTATTGCGATGACAATTAGCTGAAAAACAGCTACTGAGTACCCCATGCTGTAGTGGAAGTGGGATCCTTTTCAAGCTTAAATGCTCCCTCCCTCAAGTTCAAATGCTCCCCCTCCAAGTAATCAATTCTTTGTTTTTTATCGTTGTTCTTTTTCTCAAGACTTCACTCTTTTAGATGTAATTTCTGATCAAATAGGCCATGCCCTCAAAAGTCTTTAGAGCCTATGTTCTGAGATAAGATCTCCCATCTTATCTCAGAACTTTGGCTATAAAGACTTTTAGAAAATCTTTAATAGCGTTTTTAGCAAAGGTAGGTTTAATACTCCATCTATCATTCATGGAACTGATCTTATTACCTCTCTATTTGCAAAGAACTTTTCTTCTAATTCAATTCATGAATCTTATGGCCATACTCTTCCTTCCATTCCAGTTAAATAGGTTAACTCTTTTTTTAGACATTCAAATCACTCCAGCTTCTATTGCTTAATCATATCTCAATTAAACTATTTTATGGCTTGTGTTCCAAACAACATTCCTGTCATATTATTACTAAAATGTCCTCCAGAACTCTCTTCAATCTCCAAATTCTCTAAACTATTTAATAAGTGCTGAATCTTTTTTTTTTTGCCTGCTGGAAAATGGCATCTGTTCTTCCAATTGGTGAACTGGTGAACATTCTGACCCCTTCAACTTGTTCAATTAGTCTTCTATCTGTTATTAGCAAAGTCTTTGAGCCTTAAATCAAAAAGTTTTGAGTCAAATCAGACAATTAATACAGTCAAATCAGACAATTAATACTTTTCAACTGATTTTCTAACTGCTGTGACTGAAAGATTTTATTGTGCATTATATGGAGGCAACCAGGAGCTGTTACTCATGACATATTTTAAGCTTTCCATAAAATTTGACATTCTAGTCTTCTTCATATATGGTTCTAGTCTTCTTCATATATGGTTCTAGTCTTCTTCATATATGGTTCTAGTCTTCTTCATATATGGTTCTAGTCTTCTTCATATATGGTTCTAGTCTTCTTCATATATGGTTCTAGTCTTCTTCATATATGGTTCTAGTCTTCTTCATTAGTTTTATATGGTGTATCTGAAAAAGCTTTTAAGAAAAATTTTTCTTTCTAACCATTTTATAAGTCACCCTCCAAGGCCAACACTTTTTTTTATTTCCAGTAACTTCTAAGGCACCATAAGGTTCTATCCTTGGACCTGTTTTGTTTCTTATCTGCATCAATGATCTTCCTAACAACCTTACATCTGAAATGGCTCTTTTTGATGAAGACTCAAGTTTATACTCTTGTCTTGACAAAAAGTCTTTTCCATTGCTTAAAACAGGCAGTTGATCTTGGATCTGATCTCACTTCTGTAACAAATTAGGACTCACAGTGGCTTGTAAATTTTAACTCCAACAAAACTCAGTTATTTACTGCAAGCAACTATCGCGATACTTTCAACATTCCTATATTGATGAATGGCTACCCTCTCACTGTGTCCTCCTCCTTACATCTTTTTGGATTATCATTCACTACTGAACTCTCATGAAAACCATATATACAATTATTTGCTAAATTAACATCTGCTAAGGTTGCTTCTCATTTTTGTACTCACCATTATCTTACTCCCAATTCCATTTCCTACCTCTAAAAATCTCTTATTTGCCCATACATCTTATCTTGTATATTGTTCATATTATTACTTTCTTTTCCATTTGGGTATGAAATATTACTGTTGTATTTGGACTACTTCTTTTAATGATGATCTTTCTCTTCTAGACAAGGTCCAAAAATGCATTGTAAATATTGTTGAATATGCTCTATCTTCCAAGCTTGAGCCTCTCTCCCATTGTTGTAAAGTTGTATCTCTTTCTCTTTTCTAAAAATACCATCATGGTTGCTGCTCAAAGGAGCTATCATTTCTTGTTCCATCAACCAAAACTCATTCTTTCATGACACGTCATTCAGCAAAGTCTTATCCTTTTACTGTGTGTGTAAGTAAAGGGTATGCGAAGCAAAATAACAATGAAATTAATCTAAAAAGTTTATATTTTTTAAAAATGATTTATTCAATTGTTTAGTTTTTATTAAAAAAAGTTTTTTATTTTATTTATATATACATTTTATTTAAAAATGGCCATATCTCCAGTTGCAGAACTGATGAATCAACTAGCAAATTCAACTACTATGTTTATGATTGCCAAAGAAAAAAAAAACTATAACAACAACAACAACAACAAGATATTTATTCTTCTTTTCAAATCATTTAATAAAATTATAATAATAATAAATACTAGCAGAGAACAACCCGTAATATGGGTTGTGGTTGGTCTGTTACATAATTAATTTATAGTGGATGTTGATATGAAGTTAACTTATATTAAACAGGAGTTGATTTTTCTCTAGAAAAGAAAATTGTTATCTTAAAAATGTTAAATGCACGCAACTAAATAAATCTATTAAAAATAACTAAGTTTGTTATAACTAAGCAATTGAGTACAAATACGTTTCAAACAAAAAAAAATTACAATCAAACATGTGTATAACATTATTCACATAAGTCACAGCACTTTGAATACATGGAAATAACATAATGTAAACATATAAACTAACTATAAATATATATATATATATATATATATATATATATATATATATATATATATATATATATATATATATATATATATATATATATATATATATATATATATATATATGTATATATATATATATATATGTATATATATATATATATATATATATGTATATATATATGTATATATATATATATTTTATATATATATATATGTATATATATATATATATATATATATATATATATATATATATATATATATATATATATATATATATATATATATATATGTATGTATATATATATATATATATGTATGTAAATATATATATTTAACCTTATATACATATATTTAAACACATTTATAAAACAATTATACAACACATATTAACACATACACAAACAATAAAAAAAAAATGTTACATTATTATAAAAACATATTGATAAAACAGCTATAAATTTATTAAAAATAACTAAGTTTATTATAACTAAGCAATTGAGTACAAATACGTTTCAAACAAAAAAAAAATTACAATCAAACATGTGTATAACATTAAAAAATTTACAATCAAACATGCGTACAACAAATTTTTAAAAGTCAACTTTGATCTTTTATATAGCATTATGCGTTACAAACCTAAAATAAAAATTGTAACAGAAAAGTAGACATAAACGAAAAAGAAAGAAAAAAAAAAAAATACTGGAAAACAATTTACCTGCTTTTGGTAACCTGTTATCATACTTCAGTTGCTGTCATGATGCAGCAGTTCTTGTCAGTGTTGTTTAATGGCATTATTTCATGTTAGCTTTTAGTAAACTTTAGTTTAATTTAAAAGACATCACAATAGATTTAAAATATTTAGATTAAAAAGCAAAATATAAAATGCTTCAAGGAGCCAAACTATAAACATCAAAGATAAAAAATCAAATTGAGATATAAATAAATTGATTTATATTGCTAAATATATTGTCTTGGCTTATAGTAAATTTTAAAAGTGATTTAATTTACTGAACAATGAGTTCAATAAATTAAACTACCAATTAATTATTTTTAACAATAGAACTTAGCATCATTATCTTATAATAATTGAATAATGAATCAATTTAACTCTATTTAAGTTTAATTAGTGAAAAAAAAATTAAAATTTTAATTACAAAAGATCATAACAAATCAAAAAAAATAATAATAAATTACAAATTAGGAAAAAAAATTTATAATCTGGAATAGTATTATTTCTTGCTATACAATGCATTCTTTTGTATCTAGCAGCATATTTAGCATTTTGTCGATTATTATTTTTATCTGGCCTATACCTATTTCTTTTATTTCTGTGACGATTATTTTCAACTCGCTTAACTACGCTCTCCTCATTTGGCTTCAAATTATTTTCTGCTTGCCAAGAAGCATACCTAGCATTTTGTCGATTATTAATTTTATCTTGTCTAAGCCTATCTCTTTCATTTCTGCGACAATTAATTTGCCTATTAACATTTCCATTTTCTAAACGAATATCTGCTTCTAGCCTAATATCATCCATTTAAACTTTACTTTTAATTGAAAATAGTAACAAAAAATCTTAAAACAGAATCTTGAAGACAATCTTCAAGATTCTGTTTTAATCTTTTCTAGATCTTTTCTATATAATTTTTTTTTTCTACTCTAAATAGCACACACAAATAATTTTTAAATATAAGAAACATTTAAAATAAATTATACAATAATCTTATGAATTTAAAAAAAACAAAAAACATATCAGCTAGAAGATGTTTAAACAAAAAATTAATTTCTAAATTTTTTATTTAGATTTTAAAAAATGAATCAAAATAAATATATAGAAAATAATTCCAATTCTAATAATAGGAAAATTAAAAAAAAAAAATGTTGTAAAACCCTTTTTAGCAAACTTCAATATTATTTCTTTGAAAAAATTATTAGTAAACATTTTAAAAAAATTTGCAAAACTTAACAATATTCTGTTCTTCTATACCACATAAATACATCATTTGATAAATCTAAAATAAAAAATGTAACAAATAAGTAAATAAATAAGAAAAATATTACATACAAAAAACGGAAATCATTGTACCTGATAGAGAAAAGCTGTTGCGATTTACCAGAGTAGTAGTAGTAGTAGTAGTAGTAGGCTTTTAGTGAATATGTATATATATAATACAGAGTAGGAGGCTTTTAATGAATGATTAAAAGCAGTGAGATCTAATAATGAAATTACCTATATATCATTTTTAACAATAGACAACAATTTGAAGGTAAGCCAAATGTATATCAACTCAAAAAAACAACATCACAACCACAATAGCATTCACCATAAGTTTATATAATATGCATATAACATAACTTAAGAAACATAACATTCATATATAACAGAACATAAGTAACAACATTGTGCAAAATGTTATTAAAATACATTATTATGTATTTTCAGAGTAATTAATAATAAAGACTTGAAAACACTTAGACCTAAAGTAGTAACAGTTTGACACTAAAAACTGCTGTGTAACCCTGCAGTAAGTACATGACTTAGCTGGCAATGTTGACAAATCTTGCTTTACACGTTTACCAAGTCACAGCACTTTGAAAACATGGAAATAACATAATATAAACATATAAACCAACTATAAACACAATATATATATATATATATATATATATATATATATATATATATATATATATATATATATATATATGTAAATATATATATTTAACCTTATATACATATATTTAAACACATTTATAAAACAATTGTACAACACATATTAACACATACGCAAACAATAAAAAAACATGTTACATTATTATAAAAACAGATTGATAAAACAGCTATAAAACACATATTACAATACACACATAATTATCAAAAAAGCAATCCAAACAATAAACATATATAACTTGAATTGTGCAAACACAAATTTTAAAAATGGCATGAGAAAATTTAAAAAGATTCAAAGTAAACAAAATATATATATATATATATACAAACAATATTCTTTACCTTTTTTTTTCATAAGACATGTCACTGTTGGCACAAAATTTTCTAAAAAAGAGCAAAAACAGTTAATAGCATCACAGAAATTTCATGGTAGTAATAACCAATTTTATTCAAATAGCATTAATTTTTTTGTTGCATAAAAAATGCATAAAAAATAGTTAGACCTCATTCATACCCCTATCTTCCTTCTAAAAAATAGAAGATATGCTCAATAAAAACAAAACTGCTAAAAAAAAAAACAACCAAAAAAAAAACTAAAACAAACAAAATATAAACGATTTAAAAAATTAAAAGGAGTGATCCTTTCTACTTTATTTTTAATAAAAATGTTATATAAAAATTGCTAAACTATTTTCTATACTTACTTCAATTATAATATGATCTTAACAATGATTATTTATCTTAATATGATTCTTTATTTAATATTCCTAAACTAATAAATAATAATTCAATTCTAAAGGTAAAAAAGTTTGACAGGTCTTTCTTTTATGACCGCGTGCATTTTGAGAACGTGCTCTTTCAAGTTCAGAAAAGCCTAGTAACTAATTAAAACTGCTTTAAAAACGAAAGCAAAACGACATTGAACATTGAACATTGACTGTGGCAATTATATTAAGATAATAATAATAAGAAATTGAAAAATATAGATTAATTAATAATGAGCAAATTAATTATAAGTATTTAATAATAATAACTAAATGATTGATTAGGATGGTGTCACTCAAACAGAATTATGATCAAAGGAGTTACACCAGTTTTTAAATATAATATGATTAATAATAAGTATACACACATAGAACATAAATAAACAAGTAAATTTTTAAAAAACCATACTTTGATGATAATAATAAAAAATAAATATATGGAACCTTTTTTTCCAGCATTTTGTTTTTCTGGAACTTAAAAATGAAAAGAATTCACTATCCTATGAAAATCGTTTACACAAACTAAAACATGATCTTTAATTAACACTTCCTATTTAAAAAGACACAAAACAATGATATAAATTGCACAAAACCATACAATAAAAACTTATATAACAGAAATTTTTTTTTGTTTAATAGCACTAATAATGAAACTATGAAAAGGCCTCTAGTGCTAAATATTTAAATAAAAGTTGTACAACAATTAAATCATTTTTAAGAAATATAAATTTTTTTGAATAATTTTATTGTTATTTTGCTTGGCATGCCCTTAACTTTTTATATTGGTTTATATTATATTAATAGTTATATATATATATATATATATATATATATATATATATATATATATATATATATATATATATATATATATATATATATATATATATATATATATGTATATATATGTATATATATATATGTATATATATATATATATATGTATATATATATATATATATATATATATATATATATATATATATATATATATATATATATATATATATATATATATATATATAGATATATATATAGATATATATATATACATATATATATATATACATATATATATATAAATATATGTATATATATATATATGTATATATATATATATATATATATATATATATATATATATATATATATATATATATATATATATATATATATATATATATATATATATATATATATATATATATATTATCTATATATATATATATATATTATATATGTATATATATATATAATTTTTTTTTTTGTTAGGTTTTTCTTCGTGCACATCAGACATAACAATGATAATGAGCAGCCAGCATCGAGATTTGATCAAAGATTGTATAACAGAAGGGAGTAACACCATGATATCAGAAGGGACAACATTAAGATGGAGAGTTGAAGATCCAAAAAAAGTTAAAGTATCTACAGATCTAAAAAGCAATGGCATTGTTGAAGTATTAAAAAACAACATAGGATTATCAGCATTGATTTCTGAAGACAATGGAGTTATAAAAACTACCTCTTCTGATAATATTACAAGTAAAAATAATTTTTTTTGTAAAGCTTGTTTCAAGTTTTTGATTTATATTTTGATAACTTTTAACATTAATTTATTTCCAGCAAATAAAATTCCTAGTTTTTAAAATATTTTAGTTTTTATTTTTCATTTTAGTTTTCATTTAAAACATTCTAGTTTATAAAAAATAAATTTAACAACAAGATTAAAAATTTTAATTTTCAAGTTTCGATTTCTTTTTTACATAATTTAAATTTTTGTATATTTCGGATTTTTCTTTTTTACAGTTCTGTTTTTCTGTTCAATTTATTTTCTTTTCTTTTGTTCAATTTATTGATTTATTTTATAGGTTCACTTTCAAATATCATACATACTTTCATTCCAACATACACTGATGTAATTTTAAATGACCCATTTAAAGATGTGTTAACTAAGACAGTTACATTTAAGACACTTAATATTGATAACACAAATGTTTATCTTCAATGTATAATTGACGAGGATTGGTTTCTTGCTGATAGCTTAGTTAACTTAAAAGGATTGAACTTGACAATTGAAGGAGAGATTAACAAAGATAAATGGGCTATTTCAGGAAATGGAGATGTAATGATTTTGGGAGAAATGGTTAGTTCATTTAACTAAACATTTGTATATATATATATATATATATATATATATATATATATATATATATATATATATATATATATACATATACACATATATATATATATACATATATGTATATATATATATATATACATATAGTATATATATACATATAGTATATATATAGTACATATATATATATACATATAGTATATATATATATACATATAGTATATATATATATATATATATATATATATATATATATATATATATATATATATATATATATATATATATATATATATATATATATGTATATATATACACACATCCTTATAGTGTAGTCAAAAGAGACTTATATGGTAAAAAAAGTCTCTTTCGATTTTTTTATCTTGTCTCTTAAGTTGCATTTTATTGTCGCCGAAATGTCAAAGCAATTAAATGCGGAAGTACATTAAATTTTATTGTTTTACATGCGTAAGTGTTGCTACATCGACTATCTTATAGCCTGCTGCTACAAGGGAGTGTTGCTACATCAACTATCTTATAGCCTGACTCGCAACAGAGTGCTGCTACATCGACTGACAAATAGCCTGACTTGCAAGGAAGTGCTGCTACATCGACTGACAAATAGCCCGACTCGCAAGGGAGTGCTGCTGCATCGACTGAGGGTTTGGTTTGGGCAGGCAGTCTATCATTTAAAAAAAATATATATATATATATATATCAGTCTATCATTTAAATATATATATATATATATATATATATATATATATATATATATATATATATATATATATATATATATATATATATATATATATATATATATATATATATATATATATATATATATATATATATATGTATATATATATATAGTTTCACGCTAAATGCAATCCTCAGGTAAAAATGTAAATTTTTAAAAATAATTCTGTACAAAAGAAAAATGCCTTAGAAAAATCTAATCTTTTGGTTTGTGGTTATCCAGCAAAAACTTGTTCTTTATGACGACACTTGGATATTAGTTCTCTTTTTTTGTTTAATAATTCTTTGAGATTTTTATACTGGTTATTAGTTTCTTGAACAAGCAAATGAATAGTAGGCACTTTTTAGTTATGTTGTAGGCGGGGTTATTTTAAATTTTTTTTTTTAATATTATGTTATCAAGTTTTTTATGATGGACCATGTTAAATTAGGTCTTGTTTTTAACTTATCCTTTGTATCTCATAGGTATTTTGAAAGTGTGGTTGTGTTCGTAAATTTTTTGTTTTTAAATAACTGCTTGTGGTTTGCCCATCTAATTTTCCACACACCTCTCTGTTAAACCTATATATTTTGTCCGGTGTGTTGGTGAATGATGCAATGCACTTATAAACTACATTTTTTTTTTTTTGTCATCTCCATTCATAGGGCAGATTTCGCTTAGTTTACAATTTAAAGCTAAAATGGCTGTTGGGTTCATCAAAGTAATTTTATTGTTGTGATTCTCTATAATTCTGAAGAATTTTAGGATAACCTATTGTTAATAACAAATAAAATTTGGTTTAATAACTTTTAGGGGGTGGTCAAACTTGGTATGGATGTAAAGTAGGTTGTTATTTGGCTTTTTGGAAGGTTGAATTGAATTTTTGTCTAAAGTAAAAGTTACGTCTAGGAAGTTGGCAATTGATAGGTTTGTCCTAATTTCTTGTTAAATTAACTGTCCTAATTAGGAAGTCAATTTTTTAAAAAACTTCTGTTATATTTTTTTGGATTCTATCTTTCTGTGTGGCAGATATTTTACGCATCACAATCAGTCCGTTGTCTCGGTTAAGGGCCATATCGCTGTTGTCAACAGTTTCTAGTAATAAATTTAATACATACAAACCTACCAGCTTGCAAACCTCAGCTCCATCAAAGCAGCCCATTGTGACGTTGAAGCAGTTGTTAGTTGACTTTTTTTTCCAAATTTCATTGTTAAAAAATAATAAGGACTTTCTGTGATGCTTGATTGTTCTGATTTTTTCTTTGCTAATTATTATATGTTTTTTCACAAACGCTAAAGCATTTTTCAGTATAGTAGGTGTGATGGAGAGGTAACATGTTTATGTGCTTATTGATTTTGTCTAAATAAGTTTTGCTTACAATGACAAGTTTGCTCTTTGCTGGAATTGAGTTGGCGGCAGTGTTTTGTGAAATTGATTCTATGGTCCTTCAGTGTGATAAACGCTTCTGATTTGAAAATTATTTTAGATTTATTAGATAAACTTAATGTTGTTGCTATGCATTTTGCTTCAAATTTTATAGCATTTTCAAATTTTAATGGAGCTTTTTTATATGATTTTGTGATATTTTCTTGCAGTTCAAAGCGTGTTCTTTAAGGGGTAGTTCATCAATATTGCTAGTTTTGTCTGCAAATATTAGGATTTAATTTTATGTTTGATATGTTGTTCTTTAGTTATTTTTTAATATTTTTTTTAATTTATATATATGCATATATATTTAATTCAGTTAAATATATACATATATATATATATATATATATATATATATATATATATATATATATATATATATATATATATATATATATATATATATATATATATATATATATATATATATATATATATATATATATATATATATATATATATATATATATATATATTAATGAAGAAAAAACAACTTTTTCTATGGTACTTCAAGTTTCATGCATATACGGCAATCATCAGCCATTGAATACAAAATCAAAAATATAAGACCCGCTAAAAATTACAAAATACTGTGTAGTGGGATCTTAACGTCGCTAAGACACACTTGATGGCAACCAAAGAAAAAACAAAATATCAGCTAATCACTAAAAAATAAAAGGAATTTTTGTGTCTGCATTTTTATTTTTATTAATGTTAAAAGATTTTAGGTGATTCGCATACTGAGATTTGAATGGAGTTTCACATAAGCCAAAATATACTTTTTCTTTGTAGTCAGGTTTATTTGACGACACAGTGGCTTGATAAAAATCAGTGCTTGACAAAAAACATCATTTATCAAGCCACTACGTCTTCATATAAACCTGACTACAAAGAAATAGTATATTTTGGCTTATGTGAAACTCCATTCAAATCTCGGTATGCGAATCACCTAAAATCTTTTAACATTAACAAATATAAAAATGATATTGAGTTGTCTAAAGAAATTTGTGACATAAAGGACAAAATGTTTACACCCTTAATTAAGTGGAAAATTGTAAAACGTCGATATATTTATAACGCCTCATCAAAAATTTTCCAACTTTCCTTATTCGAAAAATTCCTCATTTTAACATATAAAGGTGATAACTTATCAAATAAACGAAATGAGTTGATTTCAAAATGCAGACACAAAAATAAATTCCTTTTATCTTTTTTGACACCGGTGATTAGCTGATATTTTGTTTTTTCTTTGGTTACCATCAAGTGTTTCTTAGCGACG